GCAGCCTCACCAGAGAGCAGCACAAATGCGTGAAAAAGGCTCAACTTCTTTGGTGGGAACCAAATCGGATGAAACCATTCCAGATCTGGAATCAGTCTGTTCATGGCTGAGGGCCCTGGATCATTTATGGATGATGACCAGGCTGCCACCAGCGTCATGCTTGGCGCCAGGAGGACTTAAGCTGGGATCAAGGAGATGCTCCTGATGCACCTCAGCATCACCAAAAATAGTGCAACTACATATTGTGCTGGCTTGGTAGGAGGAGGCAGGAGTGAGACAGTCGAGCATTTTGCCAGAAGGCCAATCCAAGGCTTTTCCTCTCAAATCCCTCTTGCTGGGAAGTTGCCCATCCCTACATGGCCAAAACCCAGAGCTGTCCCAATGCCTGACCCTGGGTGACAGGCAGCCTTGGACACCCTGGGAGGAGTCCAGGACAGAAAGGTGGGTTTGGGGAGATCCAGAGTAGGCTCAAATGTTGGTTAGTGTTGGCCCAAAGCTCCTTCAGCCTCATAAATATGACTTTTTTATTGCAGATGGGCACAAGTTTTGCACTGATCTGATTGTCTCAGGGTTGCTCCAGCCTGGCTGTGGTCAGAACACACGTTAGAAGTAGATCAAGGAGGCGGAACCTTTCTGGAGGTGCTTCCCTAGCTCTTCATATGCCTCTGTTGCTCACTTTGCAAAAGTGCGAGTGCTCAATGACTTTTGCCTTTGGCCATGTCCCATGTAAACAGAGGTATTAATTCCAGGGTGATAAAGTAACCAGCGGGGCATTTGCTCCATTAGGCCTCTGTTTTATTGTGCATGATGATTGGGTTTTTTATCAGCACAATTTATGAACAAAGGCTTTTCTCTCTGGTTGCAAATGTTTCGGGCTCCTGGATGGCCTCTGTTGTCCTGGGCTGGCAGAGGAGCTGGGGTTCAGTGCTGGGAGTTATATATGTCCGTGTGGGTTGGTCTTGACCCTTACATATGGGCCTGAGCATTGCCTGAGATCTCCTAAATCTTCAGAGAAGTCTCTTAGACCTGGCACCATCTCACGGCCAACTTGGTTTCTCCATGACATCCTGAACCAATGTGAATCCTGGCCATGGTTCCATGATGTGTTGATGGGGCCCCACCTCCCTGCTCTGATGCTACCACCCAATGTGAGTGTGAAAATTCGGGAGTTTGTCTGCTGCCAGGCAGAAAAATCCCCATTTGGTGACGTTGTGGCCTCACCTGAAAATGCAGAGACCTTTCTTTTGAATGAGGCAGGAACAAATGTTTTGCTCAGTTAGGAACATTTTGTTTCTTTTCGGAGAGAAGGTATTTCTTGCTATGATGACATCTGAATGCCTTCTTGCCGAAAATACATTTTGATATTGAATATCATTTTGAAAAAGAGAGGATTCAAATGTCCTTCAGAAAATGGCACTTGTTTCATTTCGAGCACTTGAGAAATGGGTCAGTTTACAAAATTCCATATTTTCTAAGTTAAAAAAGAATGGCTGTGGGGACAAAAAGCCAAAAAGTTCTGCTGAATCCCTTCTCGGAGCCTGAGACATTATGGTCCAGGGTGTCTTGCTTCCCTCCATGCTACCAACATCAGAGAGATGGAGAACAGCAGTCTGCAAATACAAGCTGGAAGTGATCCCTTGGACATCGAGACAAGGCGAGCAGTAGTTTCTCCCAGTAATCATCTGTCCTACAGAGCTTCCTCTGCTTTGGGCTAAGCCTTGCCCTAGCCCTTGTTAACTGGGGGTTGGGTGCTCTAATAGCTGGTGCGTTTGGCCATTAGGCCATCAAGGTTTGGCCGTCCTGCTCACTGATCCTTAGTAGGTGATGACATGGGTTTGTTTGGTTTGGTTGGTGGAAACCTCAAGGACATGACCCCGTAAGAGGGTTAATTTCAAGGAGAGGAGCATGTCTTGCCCTTCTAGGGTCCTCTGTCACCTCCTGATCCTGTGCTGCCAAAGCTAAGATGAACACTCCTGGGCGGTTGAGAGTGGGCAGTGATGCTCCTTCGCTAGGAAAATCAGAACTCAACCTTGACAGGGTGTATGTGCAATTAGATTTTTAATAACACTTTGCTGATAATTTCCCAGTAGCCTCCCTCACCCCATCCCACCCCACCACAACCCTCCATTTAACCATTAAATTCCCATTACAGTTGTTCAGAGGAAGAAAAAAATTCCTAGTGCAATCCTTGAAGACACAATGCAATGCAAATTCTTTAATTAACACATTTATTGTCTGTATGGGCTCGAAAAACAGCCCCTTATAGAAATCTTGGAGGGTGTACGGGGGGATGCTATGGAGGATGCTCTATATTGAATCAGCCCTACTGATCAGACGTCAGACATTGGACTGGTCAGTGGAAGGGACTGATAAGACCTTGGGGCTTCACAAATACAGGGAGTTTGTGAACAAGGCAGCCCCTGTGATGGTGCAGGTTAGGAACCCACATCTCACTTGACAGGTATCATTTTTAGACACTGAACATCGGACGTGGGCTGGGTGTCTACCAATCTGCCCTGTTTGATACAAGGCAATGGGAATTCCCAACCACTTTCTCTGCACCTTTCTCAAAGGATTACAATGCCATATCACTAGAATTATACAACACATCATTAACACACTTTTATTTTACAAAAATAAACTCAGGGATAGGTGTCAGCTGGCTTTGCACAGTAGCTTTATGGGGTGAGTAGCGTGGTCACGAGCCTCTGAAAAATGTCAGCTTTCCTGATCAGACACTTCCCTCTTATCACACCAGTTTGTTTTCTCTTTGTAATTACAATCATGACTTACAGAACCAACATCTGTCACCTCTTTGCGTTCACTGGTTTGTCCAATCTCTGAGATGTCTTTGAGGTGTTTCTTGCAGCTCCACGCTCCTCAATCTGAACCCTGCAAGTGCAGCCACTCACCTTCATCTGTCAGGTTCCCAGAAACAAGGGAAGAGAGAAAACAACGGCAGCACTGGAGCCTGGTTGCAACCTTGGGGTCCTGGACCTCCCATACCCACAGAGGGTTGGGAGGTCCTGTCCCTGTTGCAGCCAGATTGTGTGTCCCATGTCATCTCACAACGATGCAGTTGGGTTGTCCCAGTCTGGGCTAGCTCTGAGCACCCGTTACAGCCAAGGAGGAGGAATGGGCACTTCTAGGGTGCAGTACAGCTGGCCTGGTTTGGGATGAGTCCTGCTCAGCAGTGTCTGTTTGACCCTACAAATGCAGAGCAGATAAACAGCTGGAGATACACCAGATGTGGGCACTTATCTCACCAGGATCAACTGGCCAACAGGTTCCCTAAGAAGCGATGCAAACTCCTTGCAGTGGGGAGTGAGAGGAAGAGACTGGAGAGCCAACCAGGGCAGGTTGCACCAGGGCAAACAACAGCTCATTCCTGGCTCGTGAAGGACCGAAGCAACCTCTGCTTCTCAAAGAGCACTTTTGCTCTCCAGGGTGGTATTGTGTGTCCTAAATGGAGCTAAGAGCAAGGGAACGTTTGCATGGCTGTCACCCTCGCAGAGCAAGAATCTGGGCTGTGCAAAGTCCGTGGCTTATCAGAAAGGTTTGAGCAGAGCAGGGCAGCCAGTGCAACGATATTGACTTTATATATTTCAGGGGTGAGTCTAAACGCCAAACAACCAGATACAAAAACAGTGAAAGCAACCCAAGCTGAGACCCATATCCCCACCTTTACTTTCCTTCTCTTTTTTAAAAGCCTTCGAAGACAGAGCAAATGAACCCCGTCAGAATTCCTCAAATGTATTCTGGAGACCAAATGCTTTTGTCCTGTGGTCCAGAGGTTTCCTTCTAGGAAAGCTTGTGCCCGTGGCAGCTAACAGGCTGCTCAGCAGCAGTGATGTTTGCATTGCTGTCACAGCCAGCAGTGGCAGGAGCTGATTACTCCTGCTGTGAATGTCCAAGCTTCCTCCGGAGAGGAGGATGAGCTGTGCAGACTGACACCATGAATGGGAGCCCAGATGTTCTTGCAAGAAGGAGCCTTGTCCGGTGACCCCTTGGGTGAGGCATGGGTCCATGGGCACGGAGTTCTGTGGACTGCTCACTAGCTGATCTGGGTCAGTGCTGCTCCACGGGCTTCGGGCTGTGCCTGGAGTCCCTGGAGGCTGCAGAGACAAGAGAGACATTTGAATAAAGCAGTTTGGGATTCAGAGGGCACCAGTCCCTGAATCAGTGCAATCCTCAGCCCTCCAACGTGTTTCTCTGCGAGGTCATGGTGAGCACTCTGAAGCTGGCCACAATTTCTATGGAGTCCTGAACCCTAACTGAAAATTTCCTCATCTACTGGCCTCACCTTGGACATGAGAAGATTTAAGGGTGCTGTGTGCCCAGCACCAAGGATCTCATTTTCACCTTCTTCTTCTCCAAAGCCCTGTAAAGTTTTTGCCCATTCATAGAACCATTATTAGAGTCATTATGCTTGGAAAAGGCCTTTGAGATCATCAAGTCCAACAGTAAGATCATCAAGTCCAACTGTATCATTCCCAGTACAGTGTGTCTCTGCCCCGCATCAGCTCTAGCTGGTGGTCTCATTTGAGATCCACCTGTCGCATGAATGTGGCATGAGGTGACAGAAACCAAGGCAAGCAAACCAGCAAGGCCCAGCAGCTGTTGCTCTGGTCCCACCTAGACTCTCCGCATCTCTTGCTCCCACAGGTCCAGGTCAGAGGGGGTCCAAGGGAGAGGCGTTCAAGAGGGAGAGGTGTTCAAGAGTTCCCAGAGCGGGCTGAGGGGGACCAGGGTACAAAGACCTTACAAATTACAGGCAATGTCATGGTCTCCCTTGGAGGAAGGGATGGTGGAATCCGCAGGAGATTAGCGGATTGTCTGGGGAAGCCACTAATGTTAAAAGCCATAAGAGATGTGCAGCCCATCCTGGAGAAGTCCCTTTGGGCAGATCACCCCCAAGCACTCTTGCTTTCCTTGGCATGGTACCGGCATTTATTGCATTGCCCTCAACAGAAGCTCACAGTGAGCAAGGCAGATCCTCCTTATGACTTTCCTTGGGCCTCCTCATGACCACTGCTGCTTCCAAAGATGCTGGGAGATGGATGAGGGCTTTTTTGCTTCCACTTCCGCTTCTTGTTTTCCTCGCCCAAACCCACATGTGTGAGACCCCCCCTTCCCTGGGTAAGTGCAGGTACTTCCATATGGAGAAATACGGAAAGGCTGGAGGAAGAGGAGGCTTGGGCCCATGCCAAGCAGAGAGCTCCCTTACCTGCTGCCATTTTACACTGCTGCTCGCACTTCCATTTGGTCTCAAAACGGTTGCCGTTCCCTCGGCATCCCCCGAACACGAAGGGCCGGCAGGCGTCTGCCTCCGGGTGGTAATACCAGAGCAGCACGTACCGCTGGCAGGAGCCCTCATCCATCGGCTGGAGGCAGGAGGCTGCAAGGACACAGACGTACCCATCACTCACGCTGCCACTCTGGCTCTTTCCTGGTCCCTTGGTCAGGCCACTGGAGCTCCCTGATACCCACGCTAAGGCACTTGATGCAAGGGGACTCATATGGTGAAGGTGGCACCATCCAGCCCAGTAGGAGCCAAAGATGGGACAAGCACAAGGCTGCCGGTGGCTCCACACCACCAAGTCCCCATGGGGTGTGCATCATTGTGGTCTCAGAGCCTTGGAGGGGATTTTTAGTCCTCTGGCTCCTGGCAGGTCTTTGCAGCATGTAGAAGTGTTGGCCTTGGGAGACTCTTGCTGCATGTTTTGCCACTGACCAACATGGAATGAGAACCTTCTCCACCAGCTCAGTCCCAGTGAGTCCTTCCCAAAAAACAGCTACATTAAAGCTAGGTTAAAGAGTACAAAGCTGAGACTTAGACTCTTCTTGGCACGCATAACTCTTTCACTGCCATGTCCCCTCAATCTCAACGCAAAAAATCCCTTCCTACCCGGGAAGTGACTTCCCTAAATGTCATTTAATTCAGCACATTTCACCTGGTAATTGACTGTGGGCTTTGTGGTGCTCGTGCTGAGAGGGATCCATTATCTCCTTATCACTGGAAGCTGCTGAGGAAGCAAATGAAAATCATGAGTAATGAGGGCATGCAAATCAATTAGACATCATTTAAATATTGATTGTTGGGGCCTTACATGGCTTTCCGCAGCCTAACAAGCTCTTAATAAATGTCACAGAGCAATTGGTATGGGGGGGGGAAACCAGTGGCAATAAAAGTCTTAATGGTGTTAAACAACTCAGCCCAAGAAGGTTGGATGTTAGTCAGAGAAAAGGGAAGGATCTGTGGCTGTTTGCTGGAGCTAAATGTCAGGCTGGAGTTCTGCAAATTTGTGAGGTTTGAGAAGCCAGAAGCGATTGTAATCTGGTGGTAATAACCCTCCGACTGCAGAATCCTGTTAACATTTAGAGCGTCTATCCCCACTCACCACTTAGTGGGGCGATTTATGAGCCCGCCTGCCTCCGCCCCAACTTTAATGGGCTTGTCGGCTGGCGACGGCCGCCGCCGTGATTCAATAACATGTGCTACACTCCATCGGTCTGAAACCACCCAGATCCCCAACGCCGCCCTAATATGAAGTGAATTTAAGCCCAGATGGATGATGTTTTCTTCGAAGTACGGCAAAGACATTAGGTGAGAGCAGGCAGCTCCTTGGTGGGAGGAGGAGGAGGAGGAAAGTGATAATGTTTGGAATCAGATTCCACGCTCAGCTGTATTTGGAGGATTGGATTTGGCCTTTAGAAGTTGATAGAGGAGAAAGATAGGGGACATTAGCGATGGGTTTGACTTAAACTCTTCCCTAAGCTCAGGGAAAAGGCCAGCATAGATAATAAAGATCAACATAAATAAACTGTAGGTCAACAACTCGTGTAAGTTTTGGGGTGTAGAATTACCCAAAACTGCAGCGTGTCACTTGGCAAGAACGTACCAGGTGATTTTCTTCTGAAGTAGCTTCTAGAACAGCAGAACTGATTGGCCAGCTTGTGTACTGATTGGCTGACAAGTGTGTTCATTGGCTGACCTGGGTTTTGATTGGCTAAGCCGTGTACTCATTGGCCTAACAGGGGGCTGACTGGTGATGACTGGTGGGGTCTTGGTGCTTACTGGCCAGTTGGCCACTACCCCTTGCCTGCATGGCCTTCACAGAGCCTTGCCTCTGAGCTGGACCTGACCCCTTGCAGGACTGTGTTTTAGATGGTCTGAGATAACTCTCAACCTGAGACTATTTCACCGAGCTGAAGCTCCAATACCATCCTACAGCCCATGCCAAAGGCAGCCCCATCCATTCTACCCAACCCTTTTCCTCTCGGTGATGAATTTGGAGTGTAAACATCTTGACTGCTGTATCAGAGTGGATGGAAGGGATTGTGGACACTGCAGAGGTTCTAAAGAAATTCTTACTTCGTCTCAGTTGTAGCCTGCTGAATAGCAAGAAATCAGTCTGAGCGCCCCTCTTTTTGAATCCTGTTCTTTCTAGCAATGTGTTTGAAGTTTGAACATGGAGTGTAGAAGGCCCTCCAAGCCCACAGTTTCTTAGGCCCCCCTGCCAACCCTTTTGCACCACTATTTCACTACTTCCCTTAAGTTGAGACAAGCAGATCCAAGCCCTGAGGAGGAGTTCTTTGGGTACGGCTTCAGAGAGAAGCAGTAGACTGTGGGTGGCTGTGAGCTGGCCCAGAAGATGTGATGTAGCTCGAAGAGGGCAGTTTATACAGGTTCAGTTGAGTCCAAATGATCTCCAAGGAGTGGCTAAAATTGAGAGCTGAGCTACCCAGAATACCCTCGAGCCAGTAATGTCAAGGGCTGCTGGAAATAGCAGGCTGGTCATGGAGCCTCCTCCACAAAATCCTACTGGGAAATTTGATAATAGTTAAGTATGTGGCTGATCACAGGCAGTCACCTCGTGTAGGGGTAGCTGCTGTGTGAACAGGCTCAGCAAGCCCACGGATGTTCCCACACAAATAGACCTGTACATCTGTGGTGTAGGACCTTGGCCTTTCTCTCTAGTTCTCTCTCCTCCCTTTGCTCTCAGGCAACAGAAAGGAAGAGAAATAGAGCTAGTTTTTTCCCCATTAGCTGTAATCGTGAGTTTTACCCATTAAAGGGTTCATGAGGCCCTGGATAGAAATAGTCTGTAATAGCACAAGAGTTTGGCCTCAGAGATGTAATTTCTAGCTGGTAGGAGGCCTTACTAGAAGTTACTGTAGAAGCAAAGGGTGTGCTGCAAAGAGGAGGACAAAAACAACTTAAAGCTAGCTGGCTCCTTCCAACCTTTGAGTGTGTGTCCGTTCCCAGATGCTAAGCATAGACCTCGTGTAGCTGGTGCTCGCCTCATGTTGAGCCTGCCCCAGCTCGGGGCAACACAAGCTCTTCTTCATCCACTGCCCCATCTAGGGCCAACAGCTCATCTCATCTCTGATCTGCTGACCAAAACTTTCTAGCATGGAGGATGGCAGTGTAGGAGTCCTCCTCTGAAATCCCCTTGCTTCTACATTTCTGTTTAGTGCCAAGGAAAAGGACTTAACAGGAGGTTCACGGCAGGCTCTGGGAGGTGGGACACCAGTTGCCACGGAAATAGAGGCAGAAAACATTTACCTGTAATAAATGAAGTTGGCTCCTTGAAGAACTCCCCCAAAACTGCTGACGTTGTCATGTTCTGAGCTCTTTTAAGCAGTTCTTTCCAGCTTTCACCATCTTTCTTGGTGCGTTGCTGAGACTGAAAATACCCTTGGCGTTTCCTGTTCATTTTAGCAGTTCCTAGGCCCGTGGATTTAATCAATGGATTAGAGGTGATGAAGACTGGCATCAGAGCCAAGTTGGATGGAGAGGATGCTGTGCTTTGAAAAATAACCGTGGCTAAACGAAATTAGTAGCAGTGCACACAGTATGGAAGGAAAGTTACAAGATGACATTTTGTTGGCCAAAACCTACAGTTCAGTGGGATGTGTGGCCAAGGTAGAAAACCTCTTTCAAAATAGTGTGTATATATATACACATAATATAAGGTCTGTGTGGTGCATGAATCAGTCATTTCACTGGCAGGGTGGGATATTGGAGCTTTTAGGTGCCAACGGAGCACTTAGGAGCAACAGGATCTATTCCATGGGCAAGGAATGATTTTCCCGTGGCTGCAGTTTTTAATGGGCAGCTATCAAAAGTCCTTGTGAGGTATAGTGTTGACCCTGTTTTTCAGGAGAGTGTGAAAATAGGACACTTCTTGGCCTTCCTCTCTAGTCAGTTTTCACAGAATCCCAGAATGGTTGAGTTTGGAAGGGACCTCTAGAGATCATCTAGTCTGACCCCTCTGCTCCAGCAGGGACACCCAGAGCACAAAGCATAGGCTGGCATCCAGGTGGGTTTTGAAGACTCCAGAGAAGGAGAATCCACACCCTCCCTGGGCAGCCTGTGCCAGGCTTTTTTCCTCAGGTTCCCCTCAAGAAATAGCCTCCCTAGAGCCTGAGTCCAAAAGCAGTTGGGGATCCAGTGTGACAGCCCATGCTGAATCAAGGAAAAAGCACTTACTCTCAACAGCACCCTCTCACTCAGAATTTCAGACTGTTTGGGGAAATTAGAGCATCCTTTACTCGACCACACAAATTTGCATGCATTTCTGAGGCTTCCTAAAGATTAGCAGCCCTTCCATGAGCCTTCTTCCTAACTCACTCATACAATCTGCAAGCATAAGACAGGTCATCATACCAGAAGCTTTGTGGGGAGCCAATGGATATAGCTGAGACCAGTCAAAATTTGTTTACTATTTCTTTTTTTTTCTTTTTCTTTTTTTTTTTTTTTTTTGCTATGAAACCTGGATTTTCAACCAAGTCATTATTTTCATAGGCACTTTCCATCTTTTTCTCCCTTAAAAATATTCTCCCTTAAAAATATGTCTCCCCAGACAGGAGAGTGTGGGGCAGGAGTGGGGCAGTTCTGTCTTCCTTCATCAACCTGGACCACCATGGGGCAAGGAAAGCAAGCCCACAAAACCTAGAAACTCTCGTGATGTTGGGACTCTGGAGTAAACCCATCCTTGTATGTATCTTCCCCTCCTTTTTTGTTATTGCTGTTATAGCCCTGATCAGCAATTATTCGCTGTCAGAGGACAGAGAGCTTGGGGTCAAGAAGTGCCAGAAAGGTGACAGGAATTAAAAGGTTGCTTGAAGTCCTCATTAGGAAAAAACACAGCTCCAAACTTTCCCTTTTGGCCCAACACCAATTGACAACCCAAGAGAAACTGAGATGGAAAGGAAAACTGAGATGACAGGAAAACTTTACTGACAAAACCGGCACAGAAATGGGAAGATAAAGGGATAAAAACTAGAGTATGAGGTCAAGGCTGCAACAGAGACCTTGCGTCCCAGAAGCCTGAACTCATCTCGGTGCATGGAGAGGCAACGTGTCTCCATTTGCTGCTAATGGAGTGATATTTGCTCTGGCAAGCGAGCTTGTGCTGGCACTCAAATTGCTCCAATTTAGTCCCTGGCAGGTGTCAGAGCGGTGCCCCATGCAGCAGCCAGGGAGCTCACCAGCCAACTTACCACATCTGCCACTCATCTCACTTCTGACCATCTCCTTCACTTCTTCCTCCTGTGTCATGCGGGGGAAAACAGCGGGTTAGCAGCAATTTTGTACCCAAGCCCTCCCATCTCCCTCCAGTCTGGGCCCCTTCCAGCCCTGTTTACTCCATTTGAGTTGTATCAGAAAGCCAAAATAGCTCAGCTTTGATTTGGTTGAGATCAGAGACACACAGCTGGTGTAACAGGTTTGAGATTCAAGAGGCTCATCAATGAAGAGATTTGCAAATCTCTTTGCAATGCCTGTCCTCTAAAATCTCTGTGACTGTTTCCTTCTTGCTCTGGGGAGCCAGGATCTTCAGCCCCATGTGGTGGCTCCCCAGTGAGTATCCCATGCTCTTCGCGCTGTCCCATTGAGTCATGCTTTCTCAAGTATCGCTTACCTCTGAGAATCTTCATCAACTCATCTGCTTCTGTGCAAAGGGTCTGCTCAAATCATACGGCATGGAGATACTAGATACTAGCTGCAGCTCATGTTCTTCTCCTCTGTCTCTTTACGAGCTAACACTGTTACATCCACAGCGAGACATCTATCCCTTCACTCTTGTGCTGACCAAGGATCAGCTGAGCTTCTTCCATATGCAGTGGTTGGCATTTTACCACATTTCACATAGTCATACCCCTTGTAGGGATGAAAAATTCTGCATGAGGAGAGCTATTCTGGGGTGACAGCTGATGATCTCCTTGTTATTTGGGGATGAGTGTGTCTACATGCCCCGAGCTCTCTTTGTAATCAGTGTTGTTTAGGGAGCAATTCACCTCATCTTAACAGAGATGCCAACCAGCTTTGACTAAAGTTCTCTTTGTAAAGGGAACGGAGATAACTTGCCCAACTGTTGGGCTCACTTAAGCTGCCCACACGTAGGGGTAGCTCCAGGTAAGTTGCCCAACAGTGCTTGCAATGCCAATGCTCATCCTATCTGGCCTCCAGACACCAGGACGGTGGAAGTCCTATCAAAGGGCACTAAACACATTTTCTCAGGCAACAGGATAGAGACTCTGACATTATGGGAGCTGCATCCAGGTCTTTGTCTTGACCAATGTGTCTTGACCTTTGTCTTGACAGTTGACCAGTGTCTCTACCACTCCTTCAACACCTCATCAGCAAAGGTGGAACCTTCTTCAGTAATGCCAGGTCTCTAATCACTCTTGTTGACTTTGTGGGACAGATTTCTGTCCACTGCTCTTTCTTCATCATAGCACTGATCTTAGAAGGTTGATGGGGAAGATGGGAGAGGAGAACTGCAGCCCAAACTCTGGATCTTTGGGTTTGGCCTCTTGTTGCTTTGTCCTGCTCTCTCTCCAGCTTGTGTGTGTCTGATATCCCTGGGTAATGACCAACACTCTCACTTCCCGGATACTAACCACATTAATTTGTTTCTCAGCATTTCCATCTTCCCCTCTACCTCTTAGGGGCGGTTTGTCCTATTTTCTCTTTTCAAGCCTGTGTAATAGGATGTGATCTTGGGCTGAAGTACTTACAGAAAGACCAGGATCTCCCTTTTCTCCTTTCTGGCCAGTTGGGCCATTTTCACCCTGTTAAAAACACTTAAGTCATTACAAAAGTTCAGCAGATTGACCATTAAATGCTTCAAGAGTAAGTGCACCTCAGGGAGAAAAAGATGCTCTAGAAAGGGAGATGGGGAAAATGCTTACACGTTTTCTCATAAATTTAAGGCATATCTGTAAATAGCTCTCTGAACAGGAAGGAATGGACTTATCCAAGAGCAGAGAGCTAAGAACAAAAGTGCGTGTCCAATGGTTGGGTTCAGGCGCTCAGATTTTGTGGGCTAGTTTATGCTTTGCTGATGAGTTTGAAGAGCTCTGTGACTGCTCTAAATTGTATTATAGGTGACCTCCTACAATACAAATTTGTAGGTGACCTCAAAGAACCAGGCAGAGGAGTGGAGGAAAGGTTCTGACCTCCAGAGAGAAGCTCTGGAAACTCCAACCAGGAAAAAAAAAAAAATCACTCCAACTGGGTAGAAACAGAATTTGTTGATTAAGAATACTCTAAAAAAATAAAAAGAAAGGGAGTACAGGAAGAACAATCTAAATTGAAGCTGTGATGACCATTTTTCTCAATCTGTGCCCTGTTCCTGGGGCTAGAGTGCCAGGAGAAATCCTATTACCCTCCAGTGACACAAGGAGCTAAATGCAATGCGAATCTGATGCGAAAAGCACGTCAGTGTTAGGGAGACGTGCAGCACACAGGGATTTATCCAGGACATGAGTTATTCTGGCTGCAGGGAAACCATTGACGGCTTGGATATCAAGATGAAGCTCTTGTTGTATTCTACTGTGTGCATTAAAGGGCTGGGCATCCCTTCTGTGGCCTGAATCCAGGATTACTGTTTGCCTCCCAGTTTTGTGGCAAGCACAACTGGTGAGGAGTCACAGTCTCTGGCCAGAGATCTGTCCACCAGCTGTCCCAAGGCAGCAGACAGAGAAGATGTGATGCTAGCCTGGGTGAAACTGTGAGATCATGAGGCCAAAAGGATTTTTTCTTTCCAGGTAGTTTCTAAAATGAGCCAGTCTCCACACTGACCTTTTCTCCCTTTTGCCCCTCCATGCCTGGGGGGCCTTTGATGCAGAGCTGGGGTCTCCCTCTTCTACCTCGTGGACCCTGGAGAGGTGAAGCAGAGCTCAGTTACCAATGGCCGGGCCCCCTCCAGAGATGCCTTACACCACAAGTTGGCCTTTTCTCCCCAAAGTCCAGCCTGGGCCTGAGCAGAAGAAGGTATTTAGAGCCCTCCAGAACTCAGACACCAGCTCAGGTGCTGCAGATCAGAGGTGCTACCTTGGTAGCTTCTCCCCTGGGCAATCCAGAGGAATTTCCTACTGTCTAACCTGTGGAAAGGACTGAGGCTGTGTGGGTAGAAGTCGTTTTTCTCCCTCTAGCTCTCCCTCTGTTTTGGCACTAAATAAAGAAATTGAGTCTCATCAGGGGGAGAAAGGCTTGCAGACCAGGATAACAACTTCCCACATAAGAAATGAGAGTGGCCTCATTGCGGCAGTTCAAACCCAGGGACTTTCTCTTTTAACTTAGGGAAAAGATGAGTAGCAGTGTGGGTGTAAGAAGGCAGCATCTCACGGTCTCTCTTTAATCAGTGTCCAAGCAAAAACCATTCATCATCTCATGCATGGTGCTCTATTCATGCAATGCTTGTAACTACTCAGCTCAATCTTCCAGCCTGCTTAAAAATGCATGAAGGGAACTCTTGTATTTTTGCTCCCTTACTTCCCTTGGTGGTTCTTTTGAATTTTCATTGCAAGGTACAGCCTGCGGGGTGAGGAAAAGAAGAATAAAACTGCTGCTCTGGTTTGGAGCTGGATCTAGCCTCACCAATATTCTCTCTTTGTAATTTCAGCAAAAGGATCATCTAGGACCAGGAGCAGACTCAATGTTTCCAGTTAGCGTAAGATGACATTCATTCAGCTTCCAATTTGTGTGGACACATCTCAACCAGAGCTAATTGTTCTCTGAGCTGTGTAGAGAGAATGCGATCCATAGGTTTTCAGGGTGCAGTTTCTCTGAAAACATGTGGGCATCTACTAAAGGATAAGATGGATCATGCCCTCAACATCATTTACCCTGGAGGGGCATTTCTGGTCTTTGAACAGTGTCCAGTGCTGCTTGTAGTGCCCTAAGGTGTCCCACTTAGCCTAAAGTTGCTGGTTCGGAAGAGGTTTTCTATGGATCCTGTGTGATATTTGTCAGTTCTATGTGTAAATTTAGGCACCTGAATAGGCAACTCAATAGTCTCTTCCTAAGGACTAAGCAGGGAGCCTGAGCTGAGCTGTTCAGAAGCAGATGTAGACACAGTGCTCACATGAGATGAATGCTACCTTTGCTCTCTGGGATGTGGACACTGACACCTGAACTAGCCATCTGAGTTTCTTTGACTTGAAAGCAGGAGGTGAAAGTCAATGAAGAAATCATCTCACCCCAATGTAGTCACAAGGAACAGACCAGATCAATTATCTCCTAAACGAGCATTTCTTTTTCTCCCTTAGCTATCAATTTGAAAGCAATAGTGGCTTGGGGAGGAAAATTCTACATCACAGGTGTCAAACCAGGTGAGAGGGATTCTCTCCACCCTCTGCTAACATCATCCATAGCTGATTTGTGGATTCTTGCAAGGACACTTCAAAAGCACAGTATGTTACTGAGCAACCTTGAACACCTATAGCCTCCTCTCTGCTTTTGCATCATTGCCTGGATTGCTTGAGGCCCCATCTTTAAAATAATCTGATCTCTCTGAGGACAGCTTGACCCGAGTGTGCAACCTTGCTGCACCACCTGCATTTTCCCCTTCCTAATTATTTCTTGTACTCCTACAGCATTTACCTCTTTATATATGCATACATAAATACATATATAATGCACACACAGACACCTAAGGATTAAATCCATACACAGATATAAGGATGCATCATTTCTGGGGTTAAATGCGGCATATCAAATACATGCCAGATTTACATGTTGACAGGAGTTAAAACCAACCTGTCTCTGAGGTGATGCATGGAAAGCAGTTGGTCTTTAGTTCCCCAGCTCCATTTTTGCTTTTGCCTTCGGATCGTTTATGTTAATTTTTTAAGCCTGAAACACAGCCAGCCCCTCTAGCACAATTGGGAAGGATATTTTTATTTCTTGTCTTCTTTTATACGGAAAGTTCTTCATCACCTAATGGATGCCATCTAAGGTCTGGTGATTAGTGTTAATCTCTAGTATCACCCCACTTCATTGTGCTGGCAGCAGCAAGACACCCTATTACCATGGGATGTGGAAGCAGCATGTTCCTCCTCATAAACAGTATTAGCGTGTCTCATTTAAAAGTCTTTTAGTTACATTTCAAAAGGTGCCCAGCATGTCTTGCATGCAAAAACACTTATTAAATGCATCTCAGAAATGAGGTTTGAAAGCAATGAACTCCTTCAGAAGCCATGGCATCCTGATCCCAACCTAATTAGCCATAGGAGGGGTGCACTTGATGTCCTGATGATTTGAAACGATCGTCTTTTCTGTCTTGAAAAGTCAGATCTTATATTACAGACAGGTAAAAAACTATCTGCTCTCAGCCCTGGCATACGAGTGTTTTGAGAGTGGAGGGAACATATATTCGCCCACGTGTGAGGTCCAGAGCTTGCTGACCAAGACATGACATGACTAAAGGTAAGGAGAAACCTAGATGTCCTGGAAGCTACCAAATTTTCCACAGCTACAGAGCCTCCTTTCCTTCATCCCAGGTTTATGAAGCAGCTGAGGGGACCCTGACTACACATGAGAGCTTAATATTCACACCCTACCTCTACAAATCAAATCACACCAGGATTTAGTAGCTGTTGCAGAGCTTGAGGTATTCACCTGTGGCCCTGGTTGGCCCTGTGGCCCTTGAGGTCCATCTGGCCCAGCAGCTCCGATCTTCCCAGGCAATCCCATTTGTCCTTTGAAGCCTCCCAAGCCAGGAACTCCTTTGGCCCCCTGGGAATCACCAAACGAGATTTTCAGAGAGTTTTTTTCAAGCACAGGTGGATTTAGACATGGGCTAGTCAAATATGTCAAGTCAATATGTCAAATATGGCCAGTCAACTTCGGTAATTTCATGCGTTTTGTCCATAAGGGGAAATTGTGCATACCCTCCTTTGCCTGCTCTTGTGGTAGATGGATGGTAGGATGGATCAACTTTGCCTTGCTCTCCACAGGACCTTTAGTCCTGCAGAAAGCACCTCACTGCTTGGTAACATGGATATCCCCCTCTCCAAGGTGATGCCCAGTAACTTCACATCTAATACCCAGTCTCCATTCTTAGAAAAACAGAGTCCTTTGGTCTCTAGTCCTGGAAAAGTCAATGATTCTGGGGTGAGGAGAGGCAGTTACAAAGAGCCAGCCCATAAATTTCCCCCTTGTCTGCATGGCTGAGCTTTCTCCTAGAGACGTTGGGACCAGGAAAGGCTACAAATAAGCAGAGCAGGGCAGATCTCCCAGAGTCAGCTGAAGGTGGTTTTCTAAAGTAGACTAAAAGCAGAGCCTGCCCATCTAAATCCAACAGACCTGCATAAATGTGCTTTTCAAGAGGGGTTGTCTTGAACCCTCTGATACTCCAGGGCAAAGTTCCCTTAAAAACGAGCCCTCAGGGTGCCTGCCACCTGAGTATTATGCACAGATGGTCCTCACTGATGAGCAATGAGAAACATTTTCCTATCCAACAGTTCATGTCTCCCTTTAGTGCAAATGACACTTCTGCTTGAACTTTTTTCTCAAGTGTGGACATTTAAACATGAGATTTACTGAGGGGAGAGATTCACCATGGGGAAGCAAGACCCTATATTCTTTCCTTTCCTGGAATCCCTCCAGAACCATTCTCCCTGCAATGGGAGATCTCATCCTCAGGGACATGACAGAGGGAGAACAGATATTGTCATCCTCCTGCAGAGCTACTGAGCAAGGGGTATTGCTTGACCAGGAAAGAACTCTCAGTTTTTGACACAGATGAGAATCGGTGGATGGAACTCAGAACAGTCACTATCAATGAAGGCATCAAACTCTCTAAGAGCCCAAAACAGATGCAGACCAGCCTGTATAGCTGAATGCAAGACTGGTGCTGAAGACACTCTGCCAATTAAGCCCACTGCAAGTGTTTGAATGGCTTTAAATCAGTACAGGCCCTTGTGTGCAGGCACCTTCCTGGGGTTTAGTACATCAGCAGAAGGTGAATTTAAGAAGAGTCCCGTCTTATGCCCTTTCCAACTGTAGTGCCAGGTTTAATGCTCCAGACAGTTGACATTTGCCCACTGGAAAGGGTACCTGTAATGCAAAAAAAATGTATAATTTTGTTAACTTGGCCTGATGGATGTGAAATGTATTCCTTTATAAATGGCAGCTCAATGCAGTTTGGAGGGTACTAACCTTTTCTCCTTTCTCTCCGGGAATTCCTGAGGCGCCATCACCACCTGATTCTCCCTGTCTGCCCTGAAAAGAGTCAGAAGAAAATCATGATTGATGCAGAGGTGACTGGGGAGGTCACTACCTGTAGAGGTCCATCCCAACCTCCATTCCCTCCTTTGCTCAAGGCTGTGGTCCCTGCAGAAGCAGCATTCCCGTGGAGAGGGTCCCCATATCCCAGGGCTCCTCAGAGGCTCAGCAGGACCTGGATGGGACATCCCAACATGGCTTTGGCAAAGAAGACACATCTGGAAGGGATTGAGGCAGCTATGCCAAAACTGGCACAGAGAAGCAGCTTTATGGGCAGGTTATTTTGATTTCATTGGCGTTTCAGATGAACAAACACATGACTATAGACAATGTCAATGTCAATTAGCACTAAAATTCATATCAATATTAAATCAACACTGCCATTACTACTAACTGATCTGTCTGATGGTAGCATCCTTACACAGATCTGTGCTGGACTCTGCAAACAGATTCAGAAAGGCCTTTTCTGGTTCTGTTCTTGGATAAACTCTCTGAGAGAAATAAGCACTTTGGAGGGGTGGATTGGCAGCATCTGCAAAGCTTTTATGCAGGCTCTACTTGTAGGCAGATCGAGACCTTCACCTTTGGTCCATATGGTCCATCTGCCCCTGGGATTCCTGGTCTTCCGGGACTGCCCATTTCTCCCTGTAGATGGAAAAGGAATGAATAGGCTAAGCTGGGCAGATGTTGGGATTGAGGTTGGGTCTTTATTTGATTCCCAGCATGGTCTGTGCCATGTGAAAACACCACTGCGCTGTGTCCTTTTGAAGCAGGGATATAGCCAAACTACCGGAGCCAAGCACGCACAACCCCCTAAAACAGGGGGAAAACGGGCTCTATAATGGCATGGTGAATAAGTGAACCTGCGTGGGAAACGTGATGACAATCCTCATAACAGAAAGCCTAAATATAGGCAAAATCTATAGTCTCACAAATTTCACACTGGCCAGACTTTACGCCCACGTACCTGAGGGTAGGTGGGAGATTCACTGAGCAGTGCTTAATTTACCCAGTAGGCCAGGGCTGATGAAGGAAAATATTAATAACAACAACAACAAAAACAACAACATATCCCACTGGTTCAGCTATCAAAGAGCTCCCTTATATCCCATCAAGCGTTTCAAAACCCTTCATAAAAAGACCATTAAGGGCCATTATCTCTGTTTACAGAGGAAGGGCCAGAGATGCTGAGCATCCAAGCGTCTTGCCCAGCAGCAACTGGAAATTGGGTCCAGGCAGTTGCTACGTTACTGGGCAAGAGGTCCTGTGGGCCCAGTGCAGAAACAGTCTGCTTTTTGTTGCCCTAGATGAGCACAAGATGCTCTTCAAGTCTAAAGATCTCCATGTCACTGGCTTGCTGCTCATCACAGTGATGTCTCTCCATGCCCCTCTGGATGGGGTGGGCTGCATCCCTACTCGATGGAGACACAGTTGATGGATTGAGCTGTGGAGACTGACTTCTCCTGCCAGCATTAGGGCTTCATGCTTGGTGCTGTGCTGGGAACAAGTGGGAAATGCCACCTCCCACAGCAGACCAAAGTGGGAGGGAAGGCTGGACTGAGCTCACCTTGGTTCCTGCAGCTCCTGGAGCGCCGACACGTCCTGGGAGGCCTCGTAAACCCTGGGGATAAATCACAAGTAGATGGTGATGGGAAATCCAAGTTAGGACAGGAAGGTGGGATGCTGCTAGGCACACAAGGTAAATCCTGACAAAGTGGTACCTTGTTAGCAAGGCTTCCCCATCCCACAGTGTCCTTTCCCATCTGTCCCACTCATTCCAGGCTGGAGCTGGAGTTTTCCCACCACAGTGTCCTAGCCTCCATTCCACAGGGTCTTGTTTATGCCCTACCTTAGATCCTTTCCGTCCAATATCACCAGTTATCCCAGGATCACCTTTCTCTCCCTACAAAAAAAANNCTTGGTAACAGCATCACCTGGCATCTATATTGTACATACAACCACTGGAGGTTCCTACCAGAATTACAGATGGTGGTCACCTTGCTTCTAGAAATGTATCCAGCTCTGGGACACTGAGTGGAGCTCACAGAAGTTGGATGATTGCTATAGGGCTGTGACCAAAGCAAGAGAAAATGTTGCTATGAGTCACCATGGGGCCTGCACCTTCTGCTGGGGACTGCTTCAAAAATGAGCCCTGCAGAGTTGAGTCTTGGAGTGAGCATTACTCTGTCTCAGGAATTAGCAGGGTTGAAATGGCTGTGAGGATTTGCACTCTGGATGCATTAGAAAGTCTCTCTCAGCTGGTCTAATCTGAAACTAGAATCTGTCACAGAAAGTCTGATATGGGACTGAGCTCCTTCAGTCATTACCTGAATGACCTGGGGGTTGTCCATTACTTTAAGTGAGAACTTCCTCACCTGCTCCCTCCCTAAATCTTCTATTAATTTATCTCTAGTGGGAAAGATAAAAGAAGAAAACAAAAACCAAAAAAACACCAACAGATTTCAGTGTGTTTCTAGAAGCTCATCTGAGGTGGAGACATGCTCCCACCAAATGCCATTTTGGAGATACGTTTGCAGTAAAAAGAGGCCAAAAGAGATGCTAAATAGATGTGGAAAGATATTTTCTGCTGGCAGGTAGAGATGTGCAGAGATTGGCAGCACCTCGTACTGGTCCAAGGATGTGCAGTAGAAACTTCTCCAGGCACAATTTCATGTCTTTTTTGGAAAGACTCCCCCGAGCAATAACGTGACTCCAGTAACGAGGGACATAGCAGGTATGAAGAGAAAGAAACTGTGAAGAAAGGCCCAGAACATCTTTCTGTCTTCCAAAAACACCTTCCTCGCTCGCTACTCACTGGTTGCCCCTTTTGTCCCTGAAGACCTCTGTCGCCTTTGGCTCCTTTGTTCCCGTTCTTCCCATCTAGGCCTGCTGTGCCCTGCCATAAAGAGGAGCAAAATTAAATTCCATGTTAGCTGATGCATCACCCCTCCAATTACTCCTGTTCTCAGTGAGGAATGAGTGCTTCAAACACGATCACCGTGACAAGCAAACAACCTGGAGAGGCACAGACAGGACAGCGTTGTCCCTGCTGGCTGGTCAGCCTGCGAGGATAGGCCCTTTACCTCTTCATTTTGGGGTAAAAATTCAGCTTTTCCTCTGGGGAACATGTTGCTTCTTCAAACCTCTCCCTTCTGCCACATTTTGCATTTCAGAGCAAGAGCAGGTTTGGGAGCTGCTATAAAGAGCCTATGTGGCTCTGTCCATCATGTCCGGATCAGCTGAAGTCCATGTTCCCTCAAGCACTGCCTGCGTGACCAGGTACAAACATTTGGTGTGTACTCTTTATTTACCTTATTTATTTATTTAGCCACTACTTAGTGACATGATCAATACGGAGTTCCGGCAGAGGTAGTAAATGGACCATAAAAACAAACCAGCTAACTAGAAACCCCTGTTTGCTAGGGCAGATTGCTCGCTTCGAGGGTAATAAACCTTTTGTGGGGATGATTAAATCTCATGAGCCCAGGTTGCCTTGCAGTGCTTGATATTTTTGAGAGAGCTTCAAGACAGCTACAGACCCATCTGGCCAGGGATTTATACACCTGCATCAAGGGGGATGTATGAGAAAGTCTGTTCCTGAGCACTCTGTGCTCCTGAGGGACCCTGATGCTAGTTAGAAGCATCTCAATTAGCTTGAATATTCCTTCATCACCTCAATTCAGTTCCTGCAGGGGTTTACAGTGGGTTGTAGCAGCACTGTCCTGCGATGCCAACGCTACTGTGATACTGATTTAGGTGTCCAAAGAATCCCAGAATGGTTGAGGTTGGAAGGGACCTCTAGAGATCATCTAGTCTAACCCCTTTGCTCAAGCAGGGACACCTAGTGTTCCCCACACTGATATCACCGCAGGGTCCCCATCCCTTGGGAGTGCTCAGAGCTCCAGGATATATAAGCAAGCTTTTGGCTTGGGTCTTATTTAATCACTGGAGAACTTTCATCTTTGACAGATTGAAGAGTTTTGCCTTGAAGTCGAGAAATTTTATAGCAAAGAATGTTTATGACGGGGGGGGGGGTGTCTTTCCTCCCTTCAGTTGATTGAATTTGAAGTCCCTTTAATCAAGAATCCCGTTGGATTGGTTGGGAGTGCCAGAATGGTGATGCTTTTCAAGGCCATCTGCACCCAGGAAAAGCAAATGGTGGTTGAAGACAGTCAAGAGGGAATGGGAGAAAGAAAATGAGAAAGAAAAAAGTAACAGGAAAAAATGAATGAGGAGGAGGAAAATGTCTGGGCACAGAACAGGGGAAAGAAGCCAAATGGAAATGTGTTCCCTGAGATTTACACACCGTGTTTCTCCAGGCAAATAAAGGCACGGCAATAAAAGCTAGTAAAACAGCTGTTTAAAGACAATTATTGGTGGAGTACTGGAAATGGCTTTTGCTATTGGATTCTATTATTAAAGCATTGCTGGAACAGACTTCGTCTGACTGCAAAGACACGAGCTACCACAAAGGCACAGTAATGCAGGGGCTTAGTCATAAGTCCTGTGACGCAAAGACTTCTTTGAAGAGCTGAAGAGTTTTGCTTCCAGGCAGAAATCCGTGCAAGGCTTGGGGCTGGAGTCTGGGAGGAGCCTGTGCTAACAGACCCAGCACTTCCACTAAAACCAGCAAGTTGGAGAATTAACTTGGTCACACTGGGAAAACTTGAAACTTATTGATGGCAATGTGATATGTGACTATGATCCTCCAAAGGATCAATCTGTTTGGAGCAGGGGGGAAGACATAAATCAAACACATAATATATTTCCAAGCCATGGGGTTGGTGGCAACCTTCGCTAAAGGATTGTCCTCCTCCTGGATGTCAGTGCTCAATAATTGATGTTCTGATACATCTAAAGTATCATCTAAAGACAGAGGGAATGTCAACCTACAAGTTGGGTCTCTCTTTGAATCTCTGCTGTATCTAGACCAGCCCGTCTACTTTCCTACATTGGATACATCTAGCATCTTGTTATCTGAATTTTAACCAGAATTCCCTCATTTGCTCTCCTTCCTTGCTTTGCCGTGGGATTTATTGCTTCATTTTCATGCCTTGCAAACTCCATCCCGTAACAATCTGCATGGACCAAAAGGTGTTGGATTTCTTTTCATTCTGCCCCTCGCTTTCCAAACTCAGCTTTGATGGATGTGCTTTGAGGAGCTGAACACATCAGAAACCATTTTGAGAGCCATAGTGGCAGATCCATGGGCCTGGTGGCTCTTCCATCCTTCCAGGCAAATTTAAACTGGATATCCTGGGAAAAGCCACATGTCTGAATAGATGGCATTAGCATATGGACTGTGGCTTCCTCAACTACAGGGCAAAGATCTAGCTCAAAGAGAAGAGGGAGAACATCCCTGAGCCCCAGCTCGTGAACCTAGTGAGGAAGACTGCAGAGCAGGATGGAGAAGGCCAGGGCATATGTGCAATTATAGAGCTTGACAACCCAAAAGTGTGAGCAAAGGCAAGGCAAGGGGAGATGGGTATTTATAATAGGACCTGAGGGACCACAAGGGGGAGAAGAATGGATCAGAGAATAATCTGCTGCACATTTAAAAATCTGCATATTCATGTAAGAAGTATAGCTATAAAGAACGGGAGATGGAAGCCTTAATACCTGATCAAACTTATGACTTAACAGGCCTAACACAGACTGGAATATTAATATAAAAGGGTGCAGCATGACAGGAATATTAATGTAAGAAATGCAGTGCTTTCAGAGAAGAGGACAAAAGAGGAGGAAGTGCCCAGAATATCAAGAATGCACCCATTGCTCTGATGTAAAGTCAACCAGGTCCATTGAAATTCTCTGGGCAATGATTACAGGGAAAAGACACAAACACTGTCCGCAGGACAGAAAGCAACCAGCAAATTTTTGCAATGAGCTGGTGGCAGTTTATGGACATCAAAGAAGGAATTAGAGAAAGTTGAAAGCAAATGAGAACCACCAGCCATTGTCTTTGAGACCGTGCAGAGTACAAGTTGAGTACAGGCAGAGTTGACCAAGCCTTTCCTCAAAAAGAGGGAAAAAAAGAGGATTTGGAGGCTGTTAGAATAGACAGCTTAACTTCTCTCTCCAGGATAACTCAAGAACAAATAATCCAACTATTTGGGAACACTTGAAAGATAAAGTTAGATGCTGTCAACCTGGGTTTGCTGAGAGCAAGTCACATCAAGATGTCCTGCCCTAGCACTGGTGTCTGAAATAGATGATGTGATTCATGCTCTGACTTTAAAGTTGGCTATAAAGCGAGTCTGAGGCTGGCTGGCTCGGATGTGGGAAGTGAACATGGCAGATATCTAACATGAGGTCAGATAATTTCATGCAGGATGTCGTGTATCATGGCTCTTCTGTCAGAGCCCTAGCTCTGAGCTGAGTTTTGCAATTACAGAAGTTTAATGAAAGGTCAAAGCTTTGTTTCTCAATCTTGCTCCAAACACAGCAGGGATAGACTTCCCTGCACCAGTTAAATCCCCAGATAATAACTGAAAATGATTATTTTTCACAATCACTGACAAAATTACTTATTTCTGGCAGTTAATTTTATCATGCTCTGATCCCCATACTGCCAAAAGAAAATATTCCATCTTCCAAACATGTCTGGGTGATGAGATTAACAACTAGGGTAGCAAAATCCAGGTGAAATCTAACTGTGCTGCCTTTGCCACTCAGAAGAATCAACATATGACCCAACCCTGCTCTACTGTATTTTAACATCATGGATTCTGTGGATCCAGGTGTACACTTCAAAGCTATTCCAGAAATGCCCTTGATCTAGGGACTTGGTAGATGGGATCTTAGCAAGCAGATTTCTCATGGCACATTACACCTCCTTCATCACCCGCTTGGCAAAACCCTTAAAAGGCTGCTTACAGTTAAGCGTGGGTTTAAATACTTAACTGAAGGAGGATGTTTTCCCTGTGAACAATTACTAGTCTGGATCACAGGCTTGTAAATAATTGCAAAGCCATGGTCAGAGATCAGCAGGCATCACTGAATGGCCATGGAGCCTTCCTAGCAACAACTAGTTGCTGAGAACTTAATGTTCATAATTGGGGAATAGTTTAGAAAAACTCCAATATTCCTCACTGCAATAAAATAATTTCTTTGTCAAAAATCTTTTTTTTTTTCCAGAGGAAGGAACGTGCTCATCTTTCCATGCCTTAGAAAAATCCCAGCTGCCTTCTGATGTTCCCTCCTCTCCTATTCCTTCCTCTCACATGTGAAAAGAAACCAAAGGAGACTTTTGTACTTTGAAGATCTTCAGGGGCCATTTTCCACTCCAAACTTCCAGATGAAACGGAAATGTTCCAGGGCACCTAAACAGTTTTGCGAAGCCTATCAGTGAAGCTGAAATTGCTTTTCTTTTTCAGTTGCAGTTTGCCAGAAAACAGGCTGAACTCCAAGATTAGTAGGTCCTTCAGTATAACTGTTTTCCCTCTGGCCTGCAGCACGCACACACTGAATATGATGACTAGTCACTTGAGTGCAGCCTGCAGTCCAGCTGCATAAGGATATATACATTTCTCAAGGATATATACATTTCTCATGGGATATACAACAGCTGCTCACAAGTCTTGTTAAGACATTTGAACATGAAAACCCCCTGGTTCGTGTCCCCTTAAACACTAAAGGCATTAAAAGCTAATCATTAAATGTGTATTTCAGGTGCCCTCTGATGCAAAAAGCAAATTTCTATGAAAACACAGCTCTGGTTCTGGCCATCCCTGCTCATGGCTGGTTCTGCAGCAAAACCCCTTTGGATGTGGACATTGCTGAGCAGCACAGAGCCAGCATTGCCTCCCACCATGGCCAACACCATGAGACTTGGCAGCCGTGGAGAGGTGATTGGTGGCACAAACCCAGTGTTAGCACCCAAGACGTGCAAAGGTAGAGAAAGATGCTCCAACTCACAGCAGCACCGGGCAGGCCTGGTTCTCCTGTCTCTCCCTGCAAGGAAAGTGATGGAGAGTTAGCTGGGGAGGAAGATCTGCATCTCCTTTCTGTTCACGGCTTGGCAAATAATCACTGCGTAGTCGCTTGTGTCTTCCTAGCAAGAAGAGCCATTTGGTATCTGGAAGGAGACACCCACAGCTTGTCTCTGCTGTGGAGGATAAGGCACAGGAGCACTGCACGTGCTGACATTTCTGCAAGTCCTTATGACAATTTTGAGCCCAGGAAAGGTACCAGAGAGCTCTGCTTCTTTACAAAAGGAAAGAAATCTTGATGGCTCTACTGGCAAAGCACCCCTAATTCTGATTTCTGGCAGCCCCATAACATTTTTTTTTGGGAATGGTAGAGAAGGAATGCAGAATTCCACTCCATTAGGAAACTGAAAGGCTTTTGCACATCAGTCCTTGCAGACCATGCCCTAAAGCAAGTTTTGAAGCTCTTTGAGGTGACCTTACTCACCTTCTGTCCCACTGGTCCTCTTGTTCCAAAAAGCCCCATGGCACCCTTGGAGCCAGCTTCACCTTTGATTCCCTACAAATTGAAATCCCATGTTAAATACCTCCCTGCTATCTACTGCTCTCAGAGTGACCCTCCTAAGAGAGACCAATACGGAAACAACGGAGGTGGCTGCATGACAAAAACAGTGTTTCTATGGCTGCCTTTATTCTCAGAGGTCTATCCAGTAGTCAGTGCTCAGCAAGCCATGAGCTGCAGAGCATCTCAGTAAAAACCATAAGATGCTGTCCTGTAACAGCATTCATATAGTTACTGGAAATTTAGTCAGCCTGGTCGTTAGTGGTCGGGACATGATTCGTCCCATCACAAAGGAGATGCCCACCTCGGGTGAGGTGGCTCCCACCTTGGGCTACATTGATTATTCAGATTAGATCTTCATGAGCAATAAGGGGAGCTGGGCATCTAGCTTAGATGGAGAAGCTGCTATTGTAGACACCTGTGTTTATTCAACCGAGTCCCATTACAAGGTCGTATTTTTAGAGCAAAATGCATTAACATGATATGAAAATAGGGATGATGAGTACATGGAGAATTAGTTTGTGATTCAATCTGAGAGTGAGAAAATTGCATGATTCCTCCCAATGAAGTGATGGCTTGGGAACTGAAAACTCTGCAGGATGCATTCAAAGAGCAAAGAAAGAGAGAGAAGAGCTGGTGCCTTGCTCTCCCACTGCACACGGGGACAGATCTGCATGAGGGGTAGCTCTGAACAAGAACAGAGGATGAAAATGAAGCCTTAGCAAAATGCTAAAATGCTCAGTGTGTAAAAAAGGATGGCCATTTCTTGGAAGGAGATGGAGACATGGGGCCGTCAGAGCACTGCAGTAATTGATGGGGAGCCTGCAAACTTTTCCCATAGTGATCCTATACCGCAGACACCTATTTTACAATTTTACAAGATCCTGCAATCTCAGGTACAACGAGTGTGAACCATGTTCACAAGCCCTAGTCCAGCAGCATCCTCTCCCCTTCTGTGGAACATCGCACCATGTTTCCTAGCAGGTGTATGTGGAAGGAGGATGCATATTTGCAGGGATATTTTCCCTTTCCTCAGAAAGATGCACAACCAATGACTCTTTGCTGTATCTCATCTTTCCAGGAGGTTCATACCTTTTCTCCCACAGGCCCATCCTCTCCCTTCTCGCCTTTGTCTCCATCAAACCCTGGCAGGCCCTGCTCCCCCTGAAAGACAAAATAGAAATTAGGGGATTGCAGCTCCCTCTTGGCAGGACCCACTCACAGTGACAGGCTCTAGCCCCAACCAATGATTTGTAATGCTTTATCCCTGGGGATAACCCCTCCATCAAGGGAGTTTGCCCTGAAAGAGATGGTAGAGCCATCCCGTCCACCCCTGGAGCCACATCTTGTTTGGGTTTTCTAACTAGTTCTCTGAACTAGAAGCTGATTTCAGCAATTCTTCCATCTCGGAGTCACATAAACACCTAGAAACCCAAGCCAAGGTGTGGATGACAGGGGTTCCCAGGAAGCATCAGTAAAGCAGATGGAAACTAGAACACCCCATGCAAAGACCTCCAACAATGGGGAAGGGACAGCTTTAAAAAGACAAAGGGACATAAACTTACAGGGTCTCCTTTACTGCCTTTATAGCCCTGGGGTCCAAAAAGTGTCCTGCGCTCACCCTAGAGAATGGAGACACAGCAGAGATGTGGGCACACGGTGGTGCACAAATTCATGGGTCCAGCTGGGTGGAACCACTTGTGCTATGGCTGGTAAAACAGAGAAAAAGGGTAATTCATGCATCTGCAATGAAGGGGAGCATTTCCCAAATTGTGGTCTATGTGGACCCAGTCAGGTAAAATACAGATGCTCCTCAAAACAGCCTAAAATGTTAGGTTCAGTGCCTCCTTAATTGAAAAAATGATGATGAATACACCCCTCAAAAATGAAAGCTATGAAGTTTGACACCAAACAAGGTGTCCTGGGTGGAAATGGAGTCATGCCTGGCAAAACAGGAGTTTGAGCTTCAATTCCTGGTCTGGGACTGTCAGGGATAGGAATATTTCTCATCTGACATGGTAACCTGGCTCCTTCACCTCATGTCACTCAGGACATCAAGTTTTGCACCTTTCCCAAACTTACTAGATATAGATATAGGAGGGACGGTGAGCAGAACTGTCCTGATTTACACAGGTGAGTTGGAGTGAAGTGAGAGGAAACAGAACTTAGAGCATGCCTCAGAGGTAGTTTTTGACAAACTCCCAAACTCTCTGCCATCCTGAGATCATTAGTAGCCATGGGCATGCAGTAACCCCATGGACACATGAATTTCAAATATATTTGTCAGCTCCGTGGCTGAGCAGGGACATATTGCCATCAGGAGGCCATCTGAATGCAGGAAATAGCTCTGCTCTGGTGAAGAGATGGTTGCATTGTCAAATGGGTGATGCTCCTTGTAATTCAGAGTGGGGAACCTTGAAGCCACCTTCCAAATAACTCCAGGGAGAGTAACACCAGCTTGGAAAGATGAGTCTTTTCATAGGGAGAAGACTCCCTCCAAAAGCAAACCAAGCATGTGGAAGAAGGTGAACACAAGGTAGGAAAGTCTGCACAGGTAACTGATGAAGCCCTTTTCATTTTCACCTTAATTTAAGCCAATTAAGACAAGCTTTTTTTACCGGTGCCTTTTGCAACTTCCTGCAGCTCTGCTTGCCTGGATGTCGCATTTTGTTGCATCCTAACCCGGCTAAAGGATGGCAACTGGATAACATCTACACTAAGAGGCAAGTTATTCCTCAAAACTGGGACACTGCAGACAGGACAGACCCAGGAGGTTCATTCTCCCATTATTATGAGCAGAACATAAAGGCAGAAAGCAAAAAAACTCCTTTGGAAGATTTTTAGCTCTGATTTGGATGGTAAGTGCAGCAGGCACTTAATGCTTTGCTCTTCCTGCTAGCAGTAGACAGCATTAATGTACTTGGCTAATCAGAAAGGCAAATTAACCCCTTGAAGGCCGGTCATGCTCCTTGTTAGTCTTTTCTGACAGTTCCAGCCCGTTTCAAAAGGAGCCTTTTAAAATTATCGCTCTCCAAGGATGCAAACGTCCCCGTGTTTTGGGTGACTGTGCTTTGCTGCCGAGCCTTGAAAAATAACACCACAAATGCCCTCAAATTAGCAATCCCTTTAGCAATTTATAAAACCATCTTCAATACTATGTGACCCAGATTAAATTCGATCTTTATGTACACTCCTGTTTTCCTGCTCTGGAGGGTCTCTAATGGAGAGGAGATTGAATTCAATAGATTTTAGGGGAAAAGACTTTGATCTGATATAGGACCAAGATCCATGCAGTTCCTCCTATATTGATCAGGAGAGAGATAGAAAGTTAAGCTGCCATCAGGTGAAACAAATCCAAGCCAATTATGTCCCTCACCTCCTGCTTTTTCTCTTGCACTCCACCTTATCTTTTATTAAGGTATTCTTTGGAAAAGGCATTAGCCATTCCTTCAGGTTGGAAAGTGGTTTTGGGGCCTCTTCACAAAGCAGATTAAGGATTGATTTGTCTCTGGAGTGAGTCCCTTTAGAAAGCAGCTTCCTCAGAGACAAATCAGCCTTAATCATTTAATACGGCATGACTCAAAGGCACAATCATCGCGCTAGTTTTCCAAAACTCATTTTCTAACAAGCCATTTCAGCCAGGAAGGAAGTTAAAAAACACTGGGCAGAAGTTCAGCATTTTTCTATAGTGAGGATTGGAGCACTTTCCAGAACCATTCTGCAAGTTATTTTCCCATTACCTGCTAGGAGCAAACTCAGGCTTTTTAAGATTGCAGCGTGCTCTGGGGCGAGCTGGTTATACCAGAGTCATTGGATACCTTCACATCCTCCCTTAATTTGCAGGAAGCATTCCAGTGCCCTAGAAAATAGCTGCCAAAATTACTGCTTTTTGTTGTCGGTGGTGGTGATGACGACAGGATGCCTTCAAATCTATGAGAAAAACTTCACCTGGATCAGTATCCAGTACAATAAAAAAAAATCGACAAAATGGATGGAAACCAGTGTAGGAACTCAGGAAGAAAGGGGGATAAATCTTCTACTAAGTCTTACACTGCCTACATGGGAATTATAGAGAGGATGGCTCCAGATTCTTCTTGGAGGGGCCCAATGAAAGGAGAAGTGGCAACAGATACAAGTTGTAATGAAACTCCTACTAGATGTAAGGAAAAAAGTCTTCTCCATAGGGGTGGCCAAGCACAGAGAAGCTCACATTTTCAAGTGAGCAATCTGATCTGACTTGGAAGTTGGCCCTGCTTTTCAATGGGCTTGGACCAGAAGCCTATTCCACTGCAGATTATTCAGAGAATCACAGAATGGTTGAGGTTGGATGGGACATCTGGAGATCATCTAGTCCAACCTTCCTGCTTGAGCAGGGACACCCAGAGCATGTGGCACAGGGTGACATACAGGCGGGTTTGGAAGACCTGCAGAGAAGGAGATCTCTGTGATCTTATTCTGTGATCTTAAAATGAATCCTCCCCTTGGGATCATTCCCATTATGGTGCTGCTCCTAGACACAACTGCCTCAAATCCTATAGATTTTCCTAGCAAGGGCATCCTGATCCAGACATATACCCACGGTCTTTGCCCATACGCCTACTACCCACAGTGCTGTTCCCATCAGAGGTGGCATTTGAAGCTCTCTTAGATGAAAGGTCTTTGCCCATTGCTGCTTGTCATCCTGGTTCAGAGCTCCCTCCCAGATGGGCTGTGATCACCCACAGCTGGCAGTATGGATCCTATACAACTGCTAATATTCCAGCTATTTGAAATTATATATATATATACACATATATTTAACATTTGCATCTCTCTCTTGTTGAGTCACTGACTTGTTTAGAGATCTCTTCATCTGCTCATTGGTAATTATAAAATCCTGTAAGCCTTTTTTACCCCAACTTCACAACCTGGAATGTCCTTACTCTGTCTCCCTTGGGTCCCAGAAGTCCCCGGTCACCCTAAACACAGGAGAAAAAAAAGAAAAAACCCACAGTAAGTGATTCTTTTTTCCCTCACTCTTGCCCTGTTGCTCAGCACCCTGCTTTGCACGCAAGGCACAAGGATATATCTCAGCTGGAAGCTCTGCACAACAAGTAGTTTATCACAGGAGATGGTACAAAACTGCAATGTGAACATGGGCAAAAAAATAAAGGTCCAGGAGACTGAAGTGGTTTGGCTGGCTCTATATCCAGTGTATCTGCAGTGTGGAGCTAGGAACGTATTTCAATACAACCTCCCCTCACTATAAGGTTGTGCCTACTTCTCAGATTGAAAAGCATCCTGGGTGATACTGGAGTTCCCAAATTTCAGCTTGAAATCCTGCATCCCCTATCAAAAGTGTGCAGAATTTTAGCTGTTCCTGAAGGCTTATTACACAGGACATGGGATAAGATGCTGAAGGGCAAGGTCACATTCTGAGTGTCTTCTCCTAACTGCTTTCAACACATAAGACTAATGTGGTGACAGCAGGAGAAGGTGGAGTCCACAAGGACCATGATAGGGGCAGGAGAGCGGGTGGATAAGGGAGCAGGCTTTGAAAGTTACTTGAAATGCTTCTGAGCTGTGGTATCCAGATCACCCTGGATGACCCCCTCAACCTGTGGACCAAATTCACTCTTCCCAGCACTGCATTTCTCAACTTTCCTAGCGCTGCATATGGCAAAAGGAGACTGAAGGGTCTCCAGCTCATGGAGGTAAATGAGAAGGTTCTTATTGCTGGTGAGCAGTCATCGTTCTGCCTAGGCTGCTGTATTCAGAAATGCTCCCCAGTCCTGCTCCTGCTGTGATGCATGCCTGGGGAGTGACTGGAGCATACTAGGGGCCCCTTTCTGTCCCAAATCCTGTTTTCTTCCAAAGAAATCCAAGGCATGGAGAATAATATGCACCTATGTCTTAGCCCATCTCTCGCATGGGGTTGCTAATGTCACTTCTTGCTTCCTCATATTTTGATTAAATTCCCTTCTCAAGATACCCCCAGGGATAGTGTGGGACTATCCCCACTCTCTTGGCACCAGTAGCATGAGGTGTCCTCAGCAAAAGGCTCCCCTGAAAAAGCGCCCTCCTCCTGAGGACTCTGCTCGTGCACTTTATAGATATGATGACCTTGACTTACTCTTTCACCTTTCACACCTGGGAGGCCTTTCAGACCCTGCAAAGAACATAAAAAAAAAACCCATTTTAAGACAAATACCAGAGCAGAAGCAGGTGTTAAGGGAGAGCTGTCTCCAAGGTCAGGCTAAATCAACTAGAAGCTGCTGCTCTGAGGGATCCATGCAGAAGCCTGTAGTCTTTCTGCTCACCAAGAGCAACCTGAGAAGATGTAAGGGGCAAGACACTTGGATTACATCAGGACAATTTGCCCTTGGCTTCTATCCATGGTTGTATCCCAGACACAACGCAGGACTTCAAGGGTGAGGCCAAGGATGAATCCAGACACTGCAGATTCCCTTGGCTTTCTGAGGAGCTGCACAGAAGCTGATTCTGTGATGAAAGCCTTTTGTGCTAATGATAACAGCTTGATTCTATTAATGATAACAGATAAAACCTAAAAAGTGTTTGCAGAAGTATTGGTTGTGATCTGTGGCTCTCCTCACTCACTCCTCAGCCAGGGAAGAAGAGAATTTACAACAGAACAAAAGACTGAAATTCATGCAAGCAAATAGACATGACGAGGAAGAGAAGAAAGGCAGTGCTCATTTTGGAGGACTTGCCTTGTAGATGAGTCAGCCAAATGGACAAGAGCATAAAGCAATTACACTCAGCATGACAGCTCATGTTTTATATCTACCTACAGGATTTATGTTCACAAATCCCATTGGAATTCAGGGTTGTGGAGGCTCCATTTCTCACTGAAAGCATTAAACGGCAGGGATTTTGCCAGCCGTGAGGGCACTGTTGTCTATATCATAAAATGATCCCTCCACCTTGTGCTGACACTCACCATGATGCCGACAGGGCCTTGAACTCCCACGATGCCCTCGTCACCCTGTTAGCAAAAAGAGGCGTCGTGATGGCTATCAGCAAGGAGAACTGTGGAGCAAAAGCAGTCCTGTCTCTGTCAACCTCCCCACTGGAGTCAACGGGATCCTCCAAGGAATTGTTCGACCTCAGGTTAGGTGCCTTAGTGCTCCTATAGAGCTCGATTAAAGGACCTGAAGAGCTCTCAACATGTCATCGCAGGTAGACAATGCATTCAGGTTTTAGAGAAGGACGTTCTGGGAACCTTCTGGCCACCAGAGGTAGGAACCATCTTGCCTAATTGCTAATATTTATGTAAATAAATTTATGTAAATAAATTTTATGTAAATATTATATGCTAATATATATGTAAATACCTATGACTTGTTTTGTTGGACTTGCTCTTCAACCTCTGAGAGAAGGAAGCATTTGTAGGACTTAGTTTAACATGACATTAATCACTCCAAAATGGTGCCTCTTTCACTCCCTTGGGATGCAGAAATCCTGAAGCTGGAGAGTCCTGCGCATCCCAAGCTCCACCTGTATCTGCCTATGCAGGGAGAGCGGTGGGATGCAGTAGCCAGGGATGGAGGGATGGGAGGAGATGTTGGAGCTGGTCCCTGATTAGGGGGACTTTTCCCTTCACCCTGTTAAAGGGCTCCACAGCTTTCCTGTACATCTACCCCTTCCTCAACATGCTGCTACACTTATTTCAATAGGACTCTTTATAAGAAATACAGCAGGCAGGAATTCACCCAGAATCCCACACCACTGATTTTCAGAAGATACCACCAGGCACCAGATCAGTGGTAACCTACGTTTTTTGGAGACAAATGTGAGCGCTATCTTCACATCCACCAGTGGTTTCCAGATGCCGTAGAAAATATTTGGAGCTTAAAGTGTCTCCCCCTCATTTAGGAGAGTAACTGCAGATCACAGTGTGACTCTAAGAAATCACAGGTCTCCTTTCCTGCAGGAACTAGGCGAAGAAGTTGAGTTTTATACAAGGTAGACATTGCCTCCATGTGAGGTCCAATTCTGATCTCAAATAGGACTCCAACGTTATTTGAGATTCTGTGATTCACTCTAGATTTATGCGGGAGCCAGAAGAGCAGAAACATTATTTCATCATTTCCTTCAGATGATAAAACTTCATTGAGGTTTACCCCCAGACCATTCACAGCTGTTGACATTCTCATTAAGTGTTTTGTCTCAGGGGCCTCATTGAGCAGTTCTGCGGGCAGATGGGGAGTTTATCTAAATAGATTGCAACACAAAATCAGTTTATTCGTGAAGCAGCCATAGGAGCTGTTGAAATTGAAGCATGGCCTCTCCTTGTGACTCAAGAGGGTCTCCCTTGTATCTCAAATAAAGTTTTTCTGCAGGGTGAAGGGAAATGGATGTTGCTGCCTCAAGGATGAGGGACCGAGCTGGGCTCCCTCTGCCAGAGGGCTGGGAAAGATAAGGGAAGGGGGAGATAAAGGATAAATGGGAGGTGGATTCCTAAAGAGGCAAGCTCTCAGATAGCAAATTCAAAGCATGCAGAATAAGATAGTTCTTGACTAAACTGCTGGGACCTCAGCTTCACATTAAGACACCCAGATGTAGGGGCGTAGGTAACTGAGCTCCCATCTGGATGCTCAGCCGATACCATCAAGTGCCAGGATCTACTTGGCCATGAGGTTACTGGAGCTACTTGAAATGCTCCAGGTTGTCTAAGGAATTGCACACCTACCCGAGGGCCAGGGAGACCACGGGGACCTCTTGGACCAGCTGCTCCAAAGCCAATATCTCCCTGCAGAGCAAACAGAGGTATCAGTCAGAGCGAGGACACCATATCCCTTTATTGCTGATTACTTTAATCACGATTTAGAGAACACAGGAAGAGGGAAAGGACTCACTTTCAACATCTTTCTGTTGCATCATTATTTTGCAAAGAGAGTTTGGTTCAAGACTATTGGATCAAAATCACTGCCTGCTTCCCATACAATCAATGCCCTGAAGCAAAGGTGGCAAAACTGGGCAACGCCAGCCACTTCCAAGTAGTCCTTAGACATCTCAAAGCTTAGGGTGCCCACAGCCAGTGGATATACTTATTTTTTCCAGCAGATGGGAGTGGCAGGAAGCAAGGTATCTTGTGTGGTTGCACACAAGCACAAGATGAGAATTCCACACAGTCGATGTGCATCACACTGTGCTATAGCCTTTCAGTGCCCTTCGTCCACCAGCTGCTGGTGGAGAGCAGAATACACACAGCACCTTACATGTGTCTATCTGTCACTTAGGACTGATGTCACTGCTGGTGAGACTGTTGGTCCTCCCAGTAAAGGAAAGGGCTGGGGCACTCATTCCTCTCCAGACACTAGAGAATCCACAAAGGAGGCCAAAATCAAAAACCAGTCTTCAGATTTTACCCCAATGGGTCCCAGCCACCTTGAGGAAGAAAAGCATGAGGATGAAAGAGGGATGAAGTATCTGGATGCGGTTGGGGATGAGGAGCCAAGGGAGGGTAGTGGGCTCTCCCATTGCCACCCCAAGATCATGGCTACTTGTGGCAGTGTGGCACTCACCTTGTTGCCTTTGGGGCCAGGTGATCCAGGGATCCCCTGCAGGACAAGGAAAAGAAATCAGAAGGGAGGACAGAGGGCCTTCAAGCTCTTCTGTCCCACTCAGTGCTCTGGTAAGGTCAATGGACATCCAGCCCAGTCACCAGGACTCAGCCTCCCTCCTGCTCATAGCTATGGCCAAGAAGCCCTCCCTGAACGCAGAAGCACAAAGCAGGGGAGCAAAGAGACCTATATAATGGTAGGTACGTGGGAACTGACAGTCAAGATCTCCTCCTAAGATCCCTTTCCCAAGGACCTTCTCCCCTTCCACCTGCAACTCCAGGTTAAATCTCTTTGCCTCCCAGCTATCTCTTCCCTACCAAACCCTTCAGGGATTGGGACTCCTTGCAGTTTGAGTTCAGCAGTGCTTCCAGGAGATGTTGCTTTCACCCCACAAGAAGGACCACAACACGGAGGGAATATCACCAAACTTCCACAGCTCAAAAGACATGGGAGTGATGTGTAAGTCACCTCTTTTCCTGGAAATCCTGCTGGTCCAGCTGGCCCGGTGAATCCATTCCGTCCTCTCTTACCACGTTCCCCCTTGAACACAAAATTTGTTAAGAAGGAAAACACCCTGGTGGGAAGTTCCAAGCTAGCTAGAAAGCATGAATCTCTGCTCCTACATGTTCCCAGGGCTAGAGGCAAACTCAACAAATAACTTGTAAAAATACTGTAATATCAGGTAGAGCAAATTCTGGGTTGCAGCCACTGAGCTGGTCTCCATGTGGACCTCTTCCGTGCAGAGGACAGAGTGCAAAATGTGGTTCTATTTTGCCTATGTGGAGGATACAACCACTGCCCTTATCTGCTCTCCTAGGGCAGAAAAACAGCTAATCTGCTTAAGACTTTGAGATGTGGCTGCAGCTACATCAGAGTAGTTCATGATGGATTTTGCTGCCAGTGATGCCCCAAACGTCTTACAGACACCCAGGACATGAGTGTGGCTTTAAGCCTCTCTTCAGGCCCCTGGTATCACAGACTATCAGAGAGACACAGAGTTTGCACATACAAACTTTGTACCTGCTTCCCTGCTCAGCTACTATGGGCCTGGAGATGTAGGGAGGAGATAGCTTGAACTGCAGAAGACATCCATTATAGACAGTCTAGGTAGGACTATCATTATTCTTGCATGGAGGAGGTTAACACAGTGCAGCAGTTTCCTCTCATTGTGCTCCACTTACCTTCTGTCCTGGCACCCCAGGCAGTCCTGGGGTCCCTCTCTCCCCCTGAGATCCAGGGATGCCGGGGTTGCCACGAATGCCTTGGATGCCCTGGGCTCCTGGAGGACCTGGGGCTCCTGGCTCACCCTGTTGCCAAGGAATCACATGAATCATCCATGAAAACACTGTCTCTTCCATCCCTTTTCTGTCTTAATCTAACTTTCCTCTGTGCAGGAATTCATAGGTCTTCCCAGCCAGCAAATCCACATGAGGAACCTACTCAATCTAAGCTCATCCCATACCCATCTGTATCTTCTGCACTGTGAAGACAACAGCAGCTCTGGACAATATAGATCCTAGGTAGAATCAGCTCCTCCCAGAAGGTGCCATTGGTCCTGGAGGAAGCCTGGGGAGTCTCTGTGAATGCACATGATCCTTACACACAAGTGGAGCCACTGCCTCCTGCTCATCCCCAAAGCAGGGATCCTGGATATTGAAAAGAGAGGCTGCACTATTGCTTGCTAAGTGGAGATCCCTTATCTGCAGACCCACAGTGCTCCTCAAATTCAAACCTTGCTTGCCTGCAGTGCCCCAAAGGATCTGAGAAGCATACCTCTTCCAAAACCATGATTCCCTTTTTTTATCAACATTCATGTTTATCTTCTGCACCCAAGAGAAACATCCACTCTGAAATGGCCCCTTGCAGGATACAGAGTTGTCTCAGAGTTGCCCATGTGATTTGACATGTGATGATGTTTTGGCTTTCTCAGGTTGGGTCTCGCTTTGGTGACTTATCTTTTCAGCCTGAACCAGCTCCATGCTCCCCTATGGCCCAGTGGTAGAAGGATCAGCAAGGATTACAATGACCCACACAAAACAAAAAAAAAAAAAAAAACCAAAACAGAAAAAACAAGTGAGAAGCCACCTAAACAAGAAGAAAGGCTTGGCTTACCTTATACCCAGGGGGCCCAGCCTGGCCAGTGGGGCCTCTCAACCCAATTCCTGGTTCTCCCTGAGAAGAAAAAAAGATCAGGAAAAAGCAAAACCACTGTTTCCACCATGGACTCATCAACATCAGAGTTTGCTTCATCCTGCTCATTAAACATCCAGGTGACCTCCCCTCCCTCAGAGCTGATCACACACTGAGGAGATCTACAGAGTCCTCGCTCACCGTCACATCTCCTCTAGATGGTGAGAAGTTTGATCTGACCTGTTCTTGGACAGGCAATGCTACTGAGAGCATTTGGACAATAGTCAGTATATGGGTTGCTGGAATATTACAGAATATAGTGTCAAAAAGCTCTGTATGAGACTTGTATCTTCTAACATTACTCATTACAACGCAGATGTCCTGTCTGTGATCAATACATCCCTAATCCTACTCTCCCAGTGAGTGACCCATTCCAGCCATGCTGAGCCTACATCTCAGGACCAAAGGAGGTTACCTGGGCACCTCATTGAGATAGTTAAATTAGATATAGGAAAAGGAGAGAAAACATGGAGCGAGAGCAGAAGACAAGTTCTCACAGTGTAAGAAGAGACATCCCTGACCACGGTACTAAAGTTGTTCTTTACCTTCTGACCATTTTCACCTCTGTGCCCTTTGGTTCCCTATGAAATGAAAAGAGAGTTACCAAGCCTGTGATTCCTCCCATAAGGAGAGGCCATGTGAATGATAACTTCAGAGCAAAGACTTTTTGTCATGGTCATAGTAGAGTGGGGCAGCTGGCAGCTCAGGGATGCCTCTGACCTCCATCTCTGGCCTCCTTTGCAGGGGAGGTGGGAACAACTGTGTGACCAGGGAAGAGCCAAATGCCCTAAGGCAGAGCCACATAGCTCTTGTGAAGGAGAAGGGGATGATGCAGATGGTGACAGGGTCCAAATGGGGACAGGGTGGGTAGATTCTAGCTGCAGGTCCCGATTCCACAGCTCACCTTTTCTCCAGGTTCTCCCATCTCTCCAGGCTGCCCCTGCAAGACAGAAACATCCCATCTGCTACCCACCTCCAAGACAAAAACGTCCCATCTGCTACCCACCTCCTGCCCCTCTCCCATTTCTTCCCTCGTGCAGAGATCCTCAGGATGCTGCAGCTCACAAGTGTTCAAAGACATGCTTCTTGAATAGCCACCCCATTTGCCTGTCCTCAACTGTTTCTCCTCTTCCAGATCTTCTAAGCACTCATCTGCAGTCCCAAATACCTCGTGTCAATGATTCATCTGCCTGTATTTCTTGTATTTGCATATATGCATGCTTCCTTGCCCTTCTCATAACCATCAGAGCCCAACCACCACAGGAGGAACGTGACAGTGAGGGTAATGAGTTGCTCTCTTGCAGTCTCACCCTCTGACCCTGCTAATGAGGCTGTTGGAGATGGTTTAGGCAGCAGTGGGACTTGCAAACCATTCAGAATCTCTTGTCCAAACCTGCTGCAGTCCACAGAGTGATAACTACCTTTTCTCCTTTGTCTCCACGGGCTCCTGGAGCTCCCCTCTCTCCCTGGAAAACATAGGGAAACCCCTTCAGTCACAGGCATGTATGTATAGGGGAGCTGCAAGGAATTTCCCCTGCCCTCTTGGGATCAAGCTGATGCTGCTCTGGGTCCTGCAACACCTTTTGGAAAATATGTGTTTGTGGAGGGCCCTCTCCCTTCCATCACTCCCATTCCCAAAACCAGTTCAGAGACCTGACCTAGTCCCTCTTACCCTAAACAGTAAAAATGCACAGATAGAAAACCTAAATTGTGGAATAAGGATGAGATATGAATAGTAAGCTGAGGTGTCCCTCTCCCAGGACTCTGCAGATAAGTTTGAGGGAGACTTGAGAAGTTCACAGAAGAGAAATCTACTGAGGATCCCTGTGTCACTGGCCAACAACTGGTCATGGTGGTTGATTGTTACCTCTCCCACACACCAGCCTGGCCAATTTTCACTCATTATTCCTGAGCCTCTACATGAGACTGACCTGGGAAATGAATTAAATCCCCCCAGAGATGTGAGAACTGGGAAAGCAGGGTGGGCAGATAGGTTTGGAACACGTATCATTCTTGGTGGTGCAAGCACAGATCTTGCAAGGTGAGAGGCAGTCAAGACCAAAACAGAAAGATGCCTCATTTAGTCCACTGCTTAGAGCTTGCCATGTTTAAGACAGGTTTGAGTACGGTCTGAATAAGTTAGATTTGTATTTTGACCTCTTTCTTCTATATCTGTACTAAAAGATGCCTAAAAACACTGACCTTTTGGCCGTGGGAGGGTAGATCCACTGGGCCTATTTCCTGCTTCTGCAAGAAAAACCACACATACAGAATCCAGCCGGGATGCTGAGCAGCAGCAGAAGGGCTCAACCACATCCTAAGTGACACGGCTGCAGTGACAGGAGCTCTGGGACAGGTACCTTAATCCTCCTGGAACGCTGAGGGCCTGGGTATGTCTTGAATTGGAATAAGAAAAAGAGAATGGTGTAAGAATGACTGAATAAATGTTTTGTCCCTGAAAGAGTCTCTCAGAGCAGGGAGATGTTGGGCAGCAAGTCACTACATTGCGAGCAATGCCCTGACACCTGTCTTAGTTCTGACCCTCTGTGCATGGCAAGGAGAACGTGCTTTTTCTCATACTGTGTACAAATTCCTTGCTGTCCACCCAGATCTTCCTTAGGGTCAAATGCAAAGGCAGGGTTCCCATACTGGTTTGGAAGAAATTTGTTCAAACACAGAGGAAATCTGCTGTGCAGAATTTCTCATTTATAACTTGTGGAAGTTGGACTTTCCATCTTACGTTTTGCAAAACCAACACTTTGCATGATCCACTGATGGGAAGTTGCATTAAGGTAAGCAATATAACTGCAGGCCTGTAAAGATGTTAAGGTTTATAATCACACGCCCAGGCTTATATTTCTAAATATAAGCAAACCCATACAAATACATTCTATGTTCTCAAGACACAAGACAGCCTTCAGTTATGCTGCTTTCTCCATGAATCAGGTTATTATTCCCCCATTGATTAAGTTTGATTTTCCCCACTTCTCTTTTCTAAGTAGTGTTTCCCTTGCAAAACACAGGGAGAACAATCTTTTTTGCCAAGAAATATGGCTTTGCCTGCAGCAGCTTCTTGCTTTATTTATTAACATTTATCAGCAACCTTTTACCCCTCTCCAGATTCATCATGGCTTTGAACAAGAGAGAAAGAACCAGTGTTTTCCTTGCACCCATGTACCTGAAGACCCCCTTCATGTACAGTCTTCACTCACCATATATCCAGATGGAAGTCTTGGACCTCCCGGGGCACCGGGGGAATGAACCTGCAACAGAACCAACAAGGAATCATCATCTCCCTCTTGGATTAAGCTGAAGGGGAACGTGATGGGGAGTGGGATCTTTCTTTACCATGTGCCCCTCGTGCTCTGAAGATCTCCTGGCTCTAAGGTGTGTTGGCAATGCAAAGCTATCATCCTGGGAATTCACATTTTCCTGCATAAAAAGCACGCGTTATCCACCTGAGCAGCTAGTACTAGTACTTATATAGCACTGCACAATTAGCTGAGCATAATCGTAGAGAAATAACAGCTAAAATGTCACAAGTTTGAGATTTAAATTTCAAAATGTTTAGTCTTTTCCTTAACAACAGTGAATTATCTGCTTGCTGTTGTGAAGGTGTTGACATTCCTAGCTATTAGACATTAACAGGATATCTCAATGTTCAGCAATTACTCCCTGGACCACACAGGGGAGGTGGCTCTTGGAAACACTTGCAGAAGAAAAAAAGACGTGAATTCATCTCATTTTTCCCTAGAAATAATGGGCAAGACATTCAGAAGGTTAAAGTTAAGGGAAGGTAAATCCTAAGCAAAGTGCTTTAAAGAAATGCTGGTTAGTCCAGCCCTAGGAGTTAGGCTTGCAAGGATGGTAAAGTACTGAATAAAGGCAAATTTCAGCTAAAACTCCCTGGACTGCAGAGGCAATGCTTTGCAGGAGGAATGGTCAATGCTCTGCACCCATGGGGTGATTCCTAGTATATCCCAGGTCCAAGGTGTTTTGGAGGCTGCTGGTCCTTGATACTCAACCAGTCTCTTGAGCAAAGTAAGGATTCCTGTTTGGGAGTATTTAACTAGCTGGATGAGGGTTTCATCTAGTGAGTAACAAAGCTGGGAAGTTTCTGATTCACCAAATATGTAAAGAAAGGAAAAAATTGTTTGGGGTCCAATTAAAATTGAAATGCACCCTGAAATGGGGCAAGGAGAGAGACAGGAGGGAGGAAAGCAAGATCAAAGAAAGGCATGGACTGTTCAGAAGCATCCACCTCGGGCGGTTTGTGTGAGAAACATCACAGGAGATGAAGAACATGGAGAGAAACATCTCTCAGGCTTAGGTAGAGGGTGGATCCATCCATTTTTGGGTAGACTGGATGCTACCAGGCAACTTCTTGCAGGTTCCTGTGCACATAGAGGGTCCAAAGTGGCTCTGTCTTGCCCTGGATCACAGCTTCCCTGCAGACCAGGCGTCACGTGCCCATGCACAAACACCTTCCCACAGAGAAAGCAGTGGCCAGGCAAGCCCACAGGTTGCCAAGACCTCTCTTGAGGTTTTTGCATGGTGACCCGTACACATTAGATCTCAAAAAGCTCTCATTTGCTGGGGGCATGGGAAATTGCTGGGGGGTAATAACTCTCCTTCACACGGCAATTCCTCCGCAATTTCAGCATTTTCCTGTTTTGAGGTGCCAGCAATGAGATACCTTAAAAAAAGGTAAAAAATAGCAGAAAGGCTGCTGCTTTCTAAAGCAACGACATCCTGATAGCAGGTATCGGTGTAAGGGGTAAGGAAAGGCCAGAAGAAAGGACAAGGGAAAAAAATAGAGAAAATGGAAATAAGAGGGGAAGAAAGAAGCAGCCTTGCAAAGAAAGAGACATGGGAAAGGGAAAATTAGAAATTGGGGAGAAAAAAAAATTAAGTGCCAATCACACTGTACATACAGACACAACGAGGAGGTTTATCTGAATTAACTTGGAAAATGACTAAGTTCAGCTCTTTTATACCTCTCCGGAAAAACTACTTAGAGTAAAAATGGTCTCAATTATTAGTATTTTTTTTTCTCTTCCAAAATGTTCTGCAGACTGGAAAAGAGATGGGGGGAAAAGGGAGTGAGAAAGGAGTCAGAAAGTTTAGGACAATTGATCCAAGCAAGTTTTAGGTAGGAGCTTACAAAGAATTAGGCTTGGAGGACCAGTTCACCTGGAATTAAGCCGGCCCTAACATGAACTGAGATGCCTGGGAGCAAAGCTGGAGCTGGTGGAAGAGCTTCGGGTTCCTTGTGGCCGTATTGGGATGGGCTGCAGAGGCTGGAGACGGAGGAGGCAGGAGGATTGGTCCAAAAGAGCAAAAAATTGGGTTCTCCACGGAGAAAGCAACCGGCCACTGCTTCTTACCCAGGTGCTTGCACCAGGTGCCTTCCCAACTTGGCTCTTTCTATCCCATTAATCTGCTTCCCCCATTAACACCTACCAGGCAGAAATTACACATCTGAGATCAAACTCTTGGGCTATTTTGAGCTGCCTCTCCCCAGGGCCTCCTGAACCTTTTATGGGTAAAATTCCTGATCACAGCTGCTGCTAATGGGAAAACAAGGGGCTCTATTTTCCCTGCTCGTGTTGCTCCCCTGATAAGCCCCGTCAGGATACAGCAGCCACCAGGCATCTGTCTGGCTTTTCCAAATGACACTGCCTCTACCACCATGGTGATCACTACATATGGGAACAGCAAGGGTGGTCATTTTTTTCAATTATTTCAAAAAATGCTCATTTTTTTTTCAATGATTCCTCCCTTTATGGAGAATCCAATAATTACAACCAAACAACTAAACGTACCATCACTATCAGACAGCATTGATAATGCAAGTGATATTGCAGAAAACCTTGGAAAACCACCCCAAAGGGCTGGAAACAACCTTCTCTAAAACCAAAGGGCAAAACCTTGCCCCATCTTCCTGCACGCTGGTTCTGATAACTTAGCAGCAGACAGGGAGATGGATAGAGAGACCTTCTCATCCCAGCTTTCTATGGCCTGCTCCCAGGGTTAATCAGATTGATCTCTAATTTCTCATGTGAAATGTAAGCTTTCAATTTCCATTCTCCAGCTCTCACTCTTCCTTTCGCCGCAAGATTAAGGAGCCCTTTAACATTCTGTACTTCTTCCCTGAAGAAAGCTTTTCTGCACAGAAATCAAGTCCTCTTGGCCATCCTTTAGTTCTACTAAAAAGCCTGTGGTCTTTAGGTCTCTCATGATAAACGAGTCTGCATCCACCTGCAGATCAATGCTTTAGGTGGGTTCTGCACCTTCCTCATCCTTAAAAAAGACAGTGGGCTCCCAAAGAGGACACAGAAGCCTTGTTTTTGTCCCTTGGGGTTGGATAGAGGGATCAAGTGACTTGTTCACATCGCTGATTACTGAGGATGGGCCTTTCTGCCAGGACCTCACAGTGGGAGCTGCTGACATTGGGCATGACCAAGTGAACCCATTCCCTTACCCTACTGCATCTAGATGCCTGGATGCATTTAGCTCCCTGACAAAAAGGGGTCCTTCCTTCTTCACCAAGGAGTAAGATGCTGTGTCCGTTAAGGATCTGACATTAAATCCCTCCACACAGGGGCCCATGCAAAGCTGCAAGGAATCTCCTTCAGGAAGAATCGCATGCCTATGGCCCACAGTTTCAGATGGAGCCACAGGTTTGAGACACCCAATTTCATGGTCTCCAGATGCTGCTCTTGAGAGACTAAGCTCTCTAGAGTGGGGCACCAAGAAGCTCTCCCCAACAGGGCAGACCTGCAGCCTAATCCCAGGAGAAACAAGGGGCTTTGGGCTGTGTGCTAACAATGAGGTATCTCTTTCCAGGTTAAATGTGCTGGGACTGTATCCAATGGATGCTCATCCCTGAGTCGTGGTCTCCAGAGTTGCAGTTCACATGCATGCACGTGTGTGCATGTGTGTGTGCACGTGTGTGTGTGCACAGCCCTCCTGTGGCTGCTGCAGCAAGGGAGGTTCCAGCTTCTCTCTGCAGTTCAGAGCGGTTTTAATTTGCAAGGAGATGGCAAAAGTGAAGGGAGCAAAGGAAAGTTTTTGGCAGGCTACTCAAAAGCAGGGTTCCCTCCTTCACACAAGCACCTCGATGCATAAATACATTTAAGCTGGATAAAAGCATTTGCATTTACAAAATGGCTTAGAGGGTGCACATTTGCTTGTCAGCAGCCATAAGAATTGGAAGACACTGGTTTCCTACTCAGACCCTAAAAGTCCTCCTTTTTAAGGGGGTCATCCCTTAAGGATGCAGCAATATGTACCAGATCTGGGCTCAGAAGGGCATCTCAGCCATCCTGAGGGTCCAGGAATTATTGCTGAAACATTTGCAAACAGCAGAAAGGAAAATCTTATCATAACTCTATCTTATATTATTATCTGCCTCTAGAATATTAGAAGTCTGACATTTTAAAAGGGGCTGATTATCACTGGCTGTTCATTTGACCAAGTGTAAAAGATAGATGCTGAAGCCTGACTTACTCAGATTAGAAAAAAAAAGTATAATTTTTAAGTAGGTAATTAATCACCCACATTTGCCAAGGGCTCTGGTGGTTTCCCACACCCCTGCATGTATGCAGAGCACAGCTCCCATGCCAGAGCAGAAGGGGGAGTGTGGGAGATGGTCCCAAGACTAGACGGGTGTGGGAGATGGTCACCATGGCCCTTTCAGTCTATCACTTATCTCCACGTTGGTCTATCATCCAGCACCACTAGGGATGGGGGCGTACATGGCTGCTTTCCTTCTGCTCTTCCAGCTTCTCCTCCAAGGACTCAAGAAGCTCCATGGGCTGGTTACCTTGCAGATCATCTTCAGAGGGTGGTGGGGGCACAGCTGAGCTCTGCAAAAGATGATGTCCACAAGTGAGTGACACTGATTACCAGAGCAGAAGATGGAAGGTGAGACCTTTTTCCCAGTTACACTGATTACTGCAGACACCTTGATTAGTCCCTCGTGCTCTCTGTAAGTTAGTTTTTCACTCTCGTGAGACAGGGTCAAAACTCAGAGACTTGCAATGTTTTGTCCAATCAATCTCTTGGAAATGTTATCTCTTTGCATCTTTTATATTGTCACACACAGAAACACAATTAAAACTCACTGAAGAGACATTTACATACACTGCAGAGAGGAGTGTTTGTTGCACTTGAGCCTCTCTCCTTCCTTCTCTCTTCAGGCATTTTCTCTAAGGATCCCATCACTTTCTCACTAGGGTTTTCCAGAGGCTGGTACTCTCGTTCATGACCACGAGTAGATTGACCCTGTGGAGACAGAAGAAAGTTTTTTTGTTTTTTTGTTTTTTTTTTTTTTCCTGAGGCAAATCCCAGTGTTTTATCAACACTGCTGTTTATTCAACAGCACAGAGTTGATTGGAACAAGACTGGAAAGGCAGGTTGCTGAGATCTTTCTTGCACATCATTTGGGAAGTTCTGAGGAGGATGGGTTAGGGTAGACTGTTAGGAACTCCAATTGAAACCCAGCCTAGAGAGGGTTTTTTTTTTTGGTTGGACCCTGTGAGACACCCATGCTTGGATTTACTGGGCAACTCTCAGCAGCTTTAGCTCTTTATCTAGTAACCCCATCTCCAAGCACCTGGCTGAAGTCCCAACAGTGCATCAGTATCTCCCCAGTCTTTTATGCCAGATTTGGGGAATTGGGGAGAAGCAATAGCACTGGGATGAAAACAAAAGTGAGTCTAGGCTAGAGAAAAGGGGCCAACATTTTGACTGTTCTCATCTGCAGCCCAATCTTGCTCCAATGCTCTTTTCTTAGCAGGACTGGAACCGGTAACACTGTGCTTATATCTGCAAAGCTGGGTGGCCTGAAGAATATCCATTCATCTAAGACATAGTAAGGCCAAGTTTCCATGGCAGAGTCCCTAATAAGCCCAACAGAGCCATTTTTTGTGTCTTTATACCCCAAATCTCAGCAGTGCTGGTTCCAGGGGTTGCTTGCACATACTTGGTTGGGATCCCTGGAGATCTCTGGTGCAAACTGAGGTACCTACTGATGTTTATGCAGCTCTTGTGACCTTTAGGTCCCCTTAGGCACCTAAAATGGTGCCGTGTGGGCCATCGAGAAAAGCTACATCTCACCTGAGATTGCGACAGGAGCCTGGAGCAGAGAAGGGATGACTCTGCCTAAGCCTTTCTAAGTGCCCGAGCAACTGGTCTGTCACTGAAGCAACCACTGATGATAAAAAAGGTCTTCAGTAGCTGGCTCCAAACACCCCCACAGTTCTTGTGCTCATTTCCTACCAATGACTAGGAGGAGTTTATGGACAGTGAGTCACTTGTTGGCTGCCATAAAGACAGAATTAGAAAAGCCTCATCTCACGGGCACTATGGCCTGGACTATCCCTACAGGACTATCATGGCTGGCTATCTGTGTGGGTAACTTCTTAGGATCCATGAATACAACAGCAACTATGAGACATGGCCTGGATACAGCCAAAGGGATGTTATGCCACATAAGAACCTAGATACAGCCTTAATATCACTAATGAATTCCTAATGCCCATACTTACAAACTATCTGTTACTCGCAATTGCAAAGGATTCATGTGACTAATTACCTCTAGTAATTAGCCTGATTACTCAAGCAAATGAGGTCTGCGAGGTCACACTATCTAACAGTCCCTCTCTTGGGCAATCTGAATCCAACCTAACAGGACTGGATCCATCCTTTCCTGCCCAGGAGAGACACATCTAGGTGTCAGCCTTGAAGGGTGGAGTTGCAGAGTATGCTCAGCAGTGTTCTGGTATGCAACCAGTACAGGTATGGCTGGAAAACTGCTGGATTTTTGCTCAGACAGTGATATAGAAGATGAAGAGGAGCTGGCATTGGGTGGAAAGAAAGTAGTAGGTATTGCACGTGTTAGCAGTAGGACTCACTGGAGCATGGACCGGGAGCCCACCGACATCAGACACGCAATCTTTTAATATTATTGCTGCAGCAGAACAGATGGACAGGTCCATATGACCTGGATTTTCTCTGCTCTGCTGCTTGCTTTTACCTTAGTGAGTTGTTCTGCAGGCACCGACACCCCAAACTGAGCCTCCACAGCTGCATTTTGTGCTTCTTCACTGACCCCTACACTGACCACGGCATCACGGGACATGTCAAATGCATCCTGTAACAACATAGAAAGCACATCAGTGTGGCTATGACAAATCTGAGCTTGTCACACCTGTGTGACAAGCTGCATCCATTCAAGGTAGGCTGCTTCTCCCTACTTCTCCTGGATATCCAGCATGCCCTGTCCCATTTGGTGGCCTTTCCCTCTCCCTAAAGCCAGCTGAATCTCACTAGGGCCATATATCTTAAGGGCAGGGTCAACAGGATCCTGCAGATGTTAAAGACTTTAGGATACCCAGAGCACACACAATACAGAGGCATTGGTCTTTCCAGTAGAGGGATAAACAGACATATCCCAAATCCTATGTTCCTGAATATCTAAGGAGCGGGTAGCCAACAGATGCTCACCACTTTCAAGCCTTCCTTCCCAGCTAGCCCTGCATCCCTTTGCTTCTGAGGCCACACTCATGGTCACCTCCCTTGCATTCAGCCACTTTGCTCCCTTGGCACACCCAACACTCCAGCAACAACCAGTTGGGTCAGGGGGCTCCTGCTTAGGAATCACAAGGAGTCACAAAAAGGGTGGTCAATTGATTCTTTCATTTCCCTAAACTCACTCTAAAGAAAGACTGGCTTCCAAACCCATTAGCTCAACTTCTAGATCAAGGATGTTGATGTGAGCCATTGGCGTCCTCCAGCTCAAAACTGGTTATAACTGGATCTACAAGCCACCATAAACTGCTTTTTAACACAGGTAAACCTCTAGCCTTCAATAATCTATTTGTTTTGCTGTCTTCTCCTCCTCCTTTCTCCTTTGCCTTCAAGTCTGCCTGTCCAATGAAGAAGACAAATACTCACGCTGTGGTCAGAGGCTCGCTTAGCCTCCTGCTTCCTCTTGGATGCCTTGCTTTTCCTGGAGCTGCCCAGCTGTTGGACCAGCCCTTCCAGGCCATTCTGCTGGAGTGCATTGGTGAGGTCCTTCAGCAGTGCCAGCTGCAACCAGAGGACACATTCAAGCAATGCCCCAGAGCCACCCATGAGTGGTAACTCATGAGATACCCAAATGTGAATGCAGCCATCTTAATATGAAGTGTTTGCAGTGTGGCTTGCTGCTGTTTCACAGGTCACTTGGTTGTGAGGCACCTTGACAGCCAACAGCCGGTTTAAATGAAAGCACCTACAGTTTAGGTGTCCATTGAAGCAAGACTCTTTTTTTAATAATTAACAGAGAGCTGGTTAATGGTGCTTTTTCTGCAATTTTCCCCACCCTGAATGGTGTCTATCTATCTTTGGTCAGATCAGTCAGTCCCCAGCCTCCCTTGGTCAGGTCCCTCAGCAACGAGCTGAAGGTGAGGAGCCTTTGTAATTGCCAACATGGGAGATAGTAAAAACTGAGATTTATCAAATTCTATGAGCGTGGTGGTAACCTTAAGAGCAGAGTGAGAGTTTCACCAGCCCAGCATTACAGTAGCACTATTACTTGTGTTATGAGTTAAGCAAAAACCCAAACTGGTCCATGTTATGAGGACTTTTCTCTGGGTTCCATAGGTGGTTAGGTATTGCACTTCCTAATGTCAGATGAGTGTCTATTAGCTTGGGACACGCAAAGTTAGAGTTTGACATCCTGTGGAGAGCACATCTTTTACTATGAGGGCTCCTAGAGGACCAGCTCTAGGCCATGTCCTGCAGCCAGAGCACGCAGAGGTCTTGTGGGTCTCTTCTTGGTGGCTGTGCAGACAGGGTGCTGAAGCAAGGTCACCTTGTCAAGAAAGAACATCAAAGTATTACCTACCTTGATGCCATTTGCTTCAAAAAACCTCTCCAGATCCTGTATGAAAAATGAAGAGCATAAATATGAACTCAAGCACATGCCTTACAGAAGGGAGCAAAGTCCCCCTTGGAGTCACAGCTGGACTCCACCGCTTCAGCAACCCATGGAAACACCGATGATGCCTTGGACATGGATCAGGCATTCAATCCTGTGGTGCTCTGGATGTGAACATTCAGACTAGCTCTTTCCAGAGCGTCTTCTCATTTTGTTAGTATTAATCAGAGTCTTGGGGAGGAATTTATTTCACATTTAAATCTGAGCTGCTCAGCCATGGTTCCCATGTCAGTGCAAGTACAGAGGATTTCCAGAGGATAAAGGTCTCCCCTATGCCATCCGTGAGTCCTCTCTGCTGTCCCTACTCCTGGTCAGAAAGGGAGGTGGTCCAACACTACTACACAACTTCATTTTATTTACCTTCATTTCCACTCCTTTGCCTGGTGGACCAGGATCTCCCTTCAAACAAACAAGAAAACACTAGTCATTTATTAAGTCATTAGACTGAAGAGCAAGAGGAAGAGGAGCTCAAAGGAGGGGTGCAGTAGAGCATTGCAGGCAGGGTTCATGTATCCAGCCCTTATTTTGCTCCCACCTGTTTCTTTAACCCTCTCCCAAAAAAAACCCTGTTGACCAAGGAGGTAGTTTCATCCTTTATTCCCACCCTGTGGAGTTCTCCCATGGACACAGCCACTGGCTGCACGTCTTGTGACAAGAGGTAGCTGTGGTCCCAGTGGCACCACGGTCTGGTTCAAACATCTCCAATGTCAGACAGCTCCTAACTGTGTGTCCCATGGATGGGCTGGCTGGATGTACTCGTACAGCACAGCGTGGCATCTGAGGAGAGGACTTGAGGCATCCTTGGGGTATGAAATACCAGAAGAGCTACCATTGCTGCTGCTGGGAAGCTGAATTAGCAGTCAGGAGGCCCATGCAATGCAAGCAGCATGCGGCGAGGCAAGACGCTGAATGCCCTCTCTGATGGGCTTCATTTCACTGAAATCTGGTTTCTGTGCACAGATTCCGGTGGAATGAAGGGCATCAGAAAGGCATCGATGGTGACAGCTGCCAGTGCATGACAGCCCCAGGCTCCAGGCATGAGAATGCAAGATGCTGCAGAGCAAATAAGCCATGTTACAAGGACATGCTGGCTGTCATTGAACCTGTCATTTCCATAGGGTTGGGACCTTGAGACCACATGGGGACCGAGGTCATTGAGGTGGGAGAGCAGGGCTCCACACGCTCATGCTGTGAATGGGGCACACCTAGCCCTTCTCATCTGAGCCCTGCTCTGGGTCAAGCCTTCAAGGTGAAGGAGATGCTGGGCTGCTTGTGGGTTTCTTCTTTGCTTATTTTCCTATTGACTTTTCCTTTTAGGAAGGTGTACATCTGCCCCACAGCACAGCTGGAGAAATTCCATGCTCAGAGCAGTACAAATGGCACGTACCTTTGGGCCTGGAGGACCTCTTTCGCCTTTCAAGCCATCCTTTCCAGGATCTCCCTGTAAGTCATCAGGAACACATTAGCTCCAGTTCTTCTCCCCCTCTAAAATTCTCAGGGGAGAAGTTGGTTTCACGATTCATTCTGGTGTTTCCTTTACACTGGTCCCAAGTTAACTTGCCTTTCATGTCAAGTCACAAGGACTAGCAGCCTTTTCTCTTAACTATCACATTGACTCATGTAATTAAGTTAAAATTTGGGGCAACTCTTGTCTTCACTTGAAATTTGCTGCTTTTACTTTGGACCTAAAGAAGGGCTTATGTGTCATTTCTGGTTTTTCTTTCCTCCAACTATCTCCTCTGGGATAATAATTGGTATTGCAAAAACTTTGCCTCGACTTCCTTGCCACTACAGCTTGGCTAATGAAACAACAGAATTGAAGTAGTAAAGTTTGGGACTGAGTGTTTTGAGTGAGACATGGGCAAGGAATCGACCTCCAGAGAAACTGTCTGTAGTTCTTGCTCTCTTGATGTCCACCATCTGCTTTGCCTGTGACCCAGGCTGGGCATCTTCACTCAAGAGCTCCTTGTTTGGAAAGGAAACCCAAAGAAAACCCCAAAACAAGGGTTTGCCCCTGAGCAAACCAAGCTCAGGTCTGCCTGCAAAGCCCCTGCTGGGATATGCAGTGTCTGTGTCAGCCTTTCCTCCCAGTACAGCCAAATTTAGGCAGAAATTGATGCCGTGGCTGGGCTGCCTCCTCCTTGGCTGGCTCATTTCCTCCCCTGTCCCCTGCCGCAAGGTGCACAAAACAAATGGACAATTCACAAACTTTGTTAAACTCAGGGGGAGGAGGGTAATTAAATTCTTCTTCATCTCATTGGGCTACTCTAACAAAAAGATTACTTAGATTATGCCATGTTTCTGCCTCTCTTCCTTCACCAGTCAGATCCTGCCTGGCACTGTGGCACAGCCAAAGATGATTTTTGCTGTTTACTTTGCTAAACAGAGTGCAGTAAGGAGCCAAGGAGCTGCTTAGAGACAGACCATGACTTGTGTGTGCCCAAAAGAGGACACACTGGCCCCTGGCATGTAGTCGTCAGGGGCTGAGCACTATGTTCTGTGGTCTTGTATTTCACAGTGCTGGAAAAAAGGATCAACTAAATCCTTTTCTGCTGTTTTCTATCACTAGGGTTTCTATTTGTGCTGAATCCATCCCAATGTGAACCATCTCAGTGTTGGTGCTCAATAAAAGCTCTTGTAGATATTCCCACAAGCAGAGCTATTGCTATATAGTTAGGGAGCTACTATGGAAGCAATAGGACTGCTGTTCTGGAGAAATTCACGGCAGTTATTCCAGCATCCAAATCATCTTATTGCCTTTTGGCAGAGCACTCAGGCTCACAGCAAGTTTCTGAATGGCTCTCACTGATATCCGAGTCGAAATGTTTACTCTGGGTTGCCTTGCAGAAACACAAAGCCTTGGAAAGAGAACTGAAGTTCACGTTGCCCCAGCATCATCAACAGCAATTCACTGGATTGTGCCTGGAGGAACTTTGTTGTTGCACAGGGGAATGGCAAGAATTTGCTTAATGAACTTGGGAGTTTGGGGCTGCATTTGCAGGCTTTGGCTTACAAAGGTAATGAAGCTAGGGCAGTGGTATAAAGCTTGCTCGGAGCTTCTCAGAATAGCTTTGATCCTTTGTGCTGCAAAATGTACAACAAATGCAAAATAAGCAAATATTCAGCTTCTACACAAAGCTTCTCCAGCAGAAAGGAAATCTTACCTTGTCACCTTTCAGGATGCTGGTGTTCTCCAGAGAAGACATCTGCAAAAACAGAAGAAAAGTAGCTCTCAAAGGGGGAGGAACTGTGTCTGATATAAGCTCCCTCCTCTATGTGCCTTTTATCCCACTTAGCCTTTACTCATAAACATAGAGCTCCTGATGGTAACGTGTTAGCAGAGAAGGATCTTGGCCTATCCTGAAGCAAAAATGCTCCTCCCAGCTTTGAAGGGAACAGAAGGTGTTTGGTATTCCCACATGACACTCCCAAATATGCCAGACTGTCCCTAGTGCAAAATACATGAGAGATAAGTGAATGGGGGTCCAATAGATAACAACTGAAAATAGGGCTGGGACAACAAAATGGTGTGGTTTTCAAAGAGCATGTGGCACGTTGTCTGCCAGAGTACCTGTCTGCACATTAATGTACTGAAATATCTTCCTAATCTCCAAGGACCTTCCAAGATCCTTTAGAGAGAGATGATCAAGAGATCATTGCTTTCTCTCTTACTCGTCTTGACGTTAGGGGAACTTGTCCAAAGGAAAACTCAGCTCAAAGGCACAAGAAAATCCTGAGCAAAGTTTTCCCACCTATTTAAGCTCCTTTCCTAGGAGACGTCCACCCCTCTGCTGTGACTACAGAAGGTGCCTGGTTGATTTGATTAGACAACAGCTATTGACCAAAGGTATCAGATAGGTTTGTATTTATGGTTTACACCCTTTGGTGTCACAGATTTCTTGCATCACCAATAACAAATCATTTGGGATGAGATTGATTTGACCACACATGTCTATATCCATATAGGTGCTGTCTGCCTTGCTGTGCATTGCTGTGATAAAGCCAGGAGGAGAACCCATGCCATAGTGCTCTCCACACCAGTAATTTCTAGCAATGTTTCCTCAGTGGTACCCAGAACTTGTGATATATCTTAATGTATCCTTCCCCGAAACAAACATATCACTCAACCAAAGTGTACATCTTACTCACAATAGTTCCAGGAGTCCCAGGCAGCCCAGGCTTACCCTACGAAGATACAACACACCCATAAGAAACATGAGTGGAGAAATTCTGCATTTTCAGCTCCATGATACACTCTCTGTCATGCAAGGTTATAAATATGAACATGCAAACCTACAGAATCACCCTTGTCTCCCTTCTTTCCAGCAATTCCCTAGGAGGCAGAAGGAGAGGCAAGATGAGAGCAAGTCCTACCAGAGGACTGGACCTCAGCAGTCTCTCCTCTTCTTGCCACCTGAGCATCCTATGGACTAACAAGTCCATCTTCAAGCAGCTAAACTAATGAAATCTAGACTTCAACATGTCTCCTGCAGGTGACTTCCTTGATATTTAATAAGAGGTAAGATTATCAGCTTCTTTCTCTGAAGTGAACTCATTAGGGAGTCACTCTCCCCCACCCAGCTGTTCAAGTTCAGAAACTTTGTAGAAATGCCATTTCTTTGAGACCTCAATTCCTCTGACAAATTAGTTGATGTTAGTATTTTCCCAAAGCTATTAGGGAGAGATCAGACAGAAACAGTGTAAATGCATCATTTCACATCTTTCTTCAAAGGAGAAAGCATAAGCATCTCTGTTTCAGTAGTGTGAGCTTGGGGAAGAAAAACTATGATCCTTCCTTTGACTGGTATTGCACCATCCCCTCTCTTAATTGTTCCTTTAGTGATTGCCTTACATCCTTTACAGGTTGTCCTATATCTCCTTTTATCCCCTGCTCTCGTCCTAGTGGACGCTACAAAAATCTTCAGAGAAAAGCAACCTCCAGGCATAGCCAGCTTCCTGAGACTCCTGAATCTGAGACCAGGAAATCTCCCTGGGAGAAGGTGGCATCGCATTGCAGACGCTTGCCCTCATGGCCTGAACAGACACCAAAATCATCAAGCAAGTTACTTCTCTCCTTTGAAATTCCTTCTGAAAAGAAGGCATGTAAATTGTAGTGTCTGCATGGTGAGTCAATTAATAACAGTAACAGAGTACTTAATAACAGTAATAACAGTAGGTTTTTTTTTCCCCTTTGGAAGCTGTAAGCCAAAAGCAAAAATAAGAAAAGCCCTGGGCAAGATAAAGATGTTTTTGACCAGTCCCATCTTAACACTTGCTCCTAAATACTACTGCAAGGGCATAACCTAGGGTCATTACTCAATACATATTACTGCTGTGGTTCAGTATGGTCATCTTACTGGATTCTTAGTTTCTACTTACATCTTTACCTCTTAGTCCAGTCTCGCCTGGTTTCCCAGGTAATCCTGGTTCGCCTTTCTCTCCCTTCAGACCTATCTCTCCCTAAAAATGAACAAAACAATAGTTATTTTCTTCTTATGCATTTGATAGCCTACATATTTTAGGCTACATGCAGTATGAGGAAATGGTCTCAAGTTGCTCCAGGGGAGGTTCAGGTTAGTCATTAGGAAGAGTGGTGGAAAATCATGGAAAGGGTGGTGAAGCATTGGAACAGGCTGCCCAGGGAAGTGGTGGAGTCACCACCCCTGACAGTGTTCAAGAAAGGTGCAGATGAGGCACTTAGAGACAGAGTTTGGTTGGGATGGTGTGAAGGGTTCACAGTTGGACTTAATGATCTTAAAGGTCTTTTCCAACCATAATGATTCCATGATTCTATGTCCTCTATGAAGGGATAGACTTAGACAGCATGCCAGGCCACGTGGCTATGTCATTTCTTCCACAGTCCTGGTTGTACCTTGAGCTCAGAGCATTTACCCTGTGTGGGGTAGAGCTGTGCTCAGGGTATCTGCTAGGTGGACTAGGTTGGAAAGCATTTAGCTCCATTCAAACACAGACTGTCCTGAGTCTTAGTGGCACTTCAGGACAGACTCTTGGGAGACCCTCTGCCTCCCAGAAGCTCTGCAGCTCAAGTGAGATGGCCACTTAGTGGAGAAGCCATCACATGGCTCAGGTCTCAAGAGGCTCAGGCTCACAGGCTCTATTCCCACTTCATGATTCCCATCCTATTCCTGGGTTAAATGAGTTAAGCTTTCAAAGGTGAGGACTTTTTTCACTTGGGGTTGGTACAAGACACCTTCCTCAACACTTAGCCACCAGGCCATGAGCCTCCCAAAACAAAATACCTCTCACTACCTTCTGTCTTGGTTACATTCTCATTTCTCTCTTTTCATATTTAATCCCTTCTTGCTCATGAAGCAGATCTAGATTAAATATTTGGTTCACTGGGCCACCTGTTATGGCATTTCCCAAAACCACGTGCCCCTTCAGACAAATCTGGGGAGAAATATTGCTTGAGAAATACATGCAGGGAGGCAGAGTCTCTGAACAAGTAGCACATTTAGGATGTTTTCTATCTCTCTCTTTTGGCCACTTCAGAATAATTGGCTAGGAGGAATCCTAGAAACAAGAGTCTGCAGAATTTTCTAAGGCATCATTTCATTTTCCACATCTCCAAAATGACTCAGGTGTGCACAGGCATTCTGTAGACTTCTGTGTACCATCAAAAATTCAAGTCTAAACAGTCTCTACAGACTCCCCAGAGTTAAACAAAAGCACAGTGCAAAGAGGTGGCTTTAGCCTGTGTCACCGTGCGCAGGACACTGGCACATCACACAGAGACTCCAGCAAAGAAGGATTTCTTCAGACCTTTCGATTTTTGAACCTTCCTCATATTTTAACATGAGCTTCGTGGCAAAGATAATGCTCTTTACATTGCAAAACTCTCCTTGGCACAGATTTTTTTGTGATGTTGCTTTGCATGCTGCAGTCACTGCATACGCTCACCTTTTGACCAGGTTTGCCAGACAAACCTACGTTTCCCTGCAGAAATACAAACCATTAGGCTCACAGCAAGAACAACACAGGCAAAATCATTTCAGGTGAGGGTTCTCTGTCCTATCTAAAGGGTGTAAACATCAGACTCATGGCTGCAAAGCTGCTCTTTGGTTGCAGGTATTAGAAAACAGAACACTGTAGTATGATGCAGAGAAGGGGAAAGCATATGCTTTCCATATATGTATATGGTCCTATAGACACCACATAGTAGAAGATGCTCTACTGTAAGTATGTACAGCTTAGATGTGTCTGTCTCCCCAGTAGCTTCCTCTTTTTTGAAATCACTAATAGCTTTATGATTAAGCTTGACAGAGGGATGGAGACTCTCAAAGATGTCGTGTGCAAGATTTTTCTGGATTAAAATGAAAGACACAACTAATATTTGCACAGAAGGGAACACCAACATGAGCTCAATACTTATTAGACATCAAGGGACTCACATGAGAGCCACCAGAAGCTTGCGTCTTCTTAAAAACAAAAGTCAAGAAGACAAAAGACTCACAAGAGATCATTTCTCAGCATTATAGAGTAGTCCCTTCCTGGTCCTTAGCTTTTGGCCCTGAGCATCCCTACCTTGCTCCTTTGCCATTCCCTTTCCATACGCAGCATGTTGCCACACTTACTTACCCTGTCACCTGGGTCTCCTTTCAGTCCAGGTTGTCCAGGAATACCGAAACCTGGACTTCCCTGGGAAAAACAACAAGGCATGTCTCAGTGCAACACCAGGCAACCTTTTCTGCTCTGAACCCTTAAGTATAGCAGAGGTAAAGCTAGAGCTAAGCCCCACATTGCTCCCATCTCCCAGCTTGTTCTGCAGATCTTGGAAACAATTTTTCCATTGCTTTGCACAAGGTGCAGTGGCATGACCCTGCTCCACTTGTTACCTCATTCTGGAAGGCTGTCACGTGCCATGCTATGCATCACTATCTCGCTAGCTATCACCACTTTGCTAACCTACAAGAGCTAATCTGCTTTCCATCCATGGCGTAATAGATGTGAGATAGTTGCCAACACCGTGTTTTGTGCTGAGCAAGATGCGTGGTGGGGATATAGTGTCTTCCCAAAGTAGCTTCAAAGCTGAAGACATTAATTTCCACGTCTGAAGCTAGCAGGAAAGCATGGAGCAGATTCTAGGCATTTTCATCAACGATAGGCAGTCGCACAAGTTGAGCATTAGTGCCCCAGCACTTCTCACTGACACCCCTTCAAGAAGCCTTTGACGTCTCCAAGTAACCACAAGTCTCCACTTGGGTTACAGTGTGAGGATGCTCCTTGATAACACAACCTACGAATGAAGCCAGTCTGCCTCAGAGCTTCCTGCAAAATGAACAAAAATAACTTCCTACCCATAAAGGACATGCTGAGAAAAGCAAAGGCGTTACCTTCTCTCCTTTGTTTCCTTGTTGCCCTTTGTTTCCCTGTGGTCCTTGGGCCCCTGTTGGTCCAGTCTCTCCCTGTGAACACAGACAACCCCGGAGCTAATAATATCCCGCAGAGAGGCCAAGCCCTGTTCACATGGCTCTCCAGATCTGCATTTTGCATTTTTGATCCATTCTGACAACTGTTCCCTTGAGAAATCTCCCTAACCATCCATCCTGAAATTTGTGTTGCAGCTTTTCTTTGTAGTACCTGGACTTCAGCCATGCCAAATCCATCACAGCAGTTACACCTCTTCCAGCTATGGAAATGGTATAGCCTACCTTAAAATGTTGTGTATTTACAGTAGTGAAAGTGTGATGAAAACAAGGCCACTAAATGCAGTCAGCCTAGAAGAAGAGACAAGTTTCTCATGACCAGTATTAAGCAGTCTGGAGAATCAGACTGACAAAGGGAGGGGGTTCTTAAGGAGTCTCTGCTCATCCCAACCTCATTCCTACTGTTTCCCAGTGCAGAATGCTTAGAGGCACTGGCCGTGCTGGCAAGTTGCGTGAGGGAAGATGCAAGTCATGAGTGAGCCCTTGTCTGGTTGGAAATGACCTTAGAAAATTACAGAAGTGAACGGTAAACAACTGAGTCTGGAGGAAAGGATGTAAATCCTTGTCCTGAATGCCAGCAGTTAAAAGAGCAGAAGCCAAAAACCTAAGTGAATTAATAAAAAATTACTGCAGGCCAGGTAGCATCACAAAGCCTCTACAAAAGTGAACTGTATCAATCATGCTATAAAAATGTCCAATATGAACCACGTACCCAGGGAACAGCTTTGTCTCAGTGATATCAATGATCTAAGAAAAACTCAATTTCCTCTAGTAAAGTGAGTCCAGTGTTGTGACAAGGCCCCAGAGAGATGGAGAAACTTCCATCTGTGGAGATGCTTATAGGGCGACTACACAAAGCCCTGGTGCAGCCCGATTCACCTTCGAAGCTGGCCCAGTTTTGAGCAGGCTTTGACTCCAGAAGTCCCTTCCAACCTCTGCTTCTCTTTGACTTTAAGTCAATTCCTCACTTGGCTTGAAGTGGGCCACTTCTATAAGTAGGCTGCAGCTGTGCTTCAGTGATCTCTAGCTTCTAACATCTGGAACCCTCAAATTGCCCCATTGCCTGGGCTTACATAGAAAATAACAAAAAAATATGCATCTACCTTGTGTTTCACTAACATTTGGGAATGGGGTAAAGTGGTGAATTGTGTGTGTTATTTTCCTGTTAACAAAAGCAAAATAAATACCAGAAAGCCAGGTTTATTGCTGCTTCTCCAATCTGTCTTCTCTTCAATCTGTCATTAGACTTATGTGACTCAAGTGGTGAAAGGTTGTCCAGCCCTCACTTCTCCGAAGCTCTCACTCTGCAAAGATTTCACTTAAGTTTCAAGCAGTGCAAATTAATGGACTTACCCTGACACCTTTCTTGCCCGGAGGTCCCAAAACCTGAGGATAAAACAAAATGACAGAAGTGCTCTATTTTCTTTGGAAAATGACTACCCTTCCCAATGAGGACTTAAATCGCCTTGTTCTAAAGCAAGATAATCTCAACCTTGTTATGGAAGAGGAAACCCATCCCCTGCACTGGATCATAAAATGCCAGGAAGAGCTAGAAGACACACTATAAACCCAGTGAAATCTGTGAAATCCCACCAGCTTGACCTAGGGATGGGACTGGAAGATCACTCCCATGCAAGGGGTAGTTGGCAGATGGCTGTTGTGGACTTGGAACAGAAGAACTTCCATTCTGTTCTGACAGCAACAAGTCGCCAGCACTCTGCAGAGCAGCCCTGAGGTGGATTTAGAGACTATAGAGCCATCTTCTACCCCATGTTTCCAACACAAATATGCCACTGTTCCCAGAAAAGAGACCTGAGTTGTCCCTGCTCATTCAAGCACCCCCAGCTCACACTGATCTTGAGTTGTGGTGGGTTTCAGCACTTAATGCAGCCTCCAACTGCTCTTACTGCCCTTGCAGCAGATGTGGTGCATACAGAGGTATCCTCTTCTGAGGTTCCTCCTTAAAGCTGCAATTTGGACACCTAAGAAGAGGGGGATATAGCAGCCCTGTTTACACAGGGGTATGGGGTAGATAAGTCACCAGCAGTGACTCTTCAGCAGGACAAGAGCAGCCCCAGATCAAGGGTCCTTTAGTTCAATAGGACACATCTCTCGGTCCTTAGCCTACTACTGGTTGCAAATTGGATGGTTATGGTTATGGTAAAGGGTGTGTGCTTTGCTGTCCTCTACTTGTGTACAGCGAAGGTGACAGAAGGGCTGCAGCCCACTCATAATTACCCCTGTAGCGGGAGCACCTGGAAATCCTGGATTTCCCTGCAAGACAAGAAGAAACAAAATGAACAATCTGGGTCATGAAAAAGTTCCGCTCCTCGCTCTTCCTCGTCCATTCCTTAAACAAACTGAATATTCAACTCAGAAGCACGAGCAAACTAGAGAGGAGATGCTGAGCGCTTGGGGTGAAAGTGTTCCTTGCACTATTTGACTGATATCACTTGAAACCAGATGGAAGAATAAAACTTGCAGACTCCCCCTCTACAGTTTGATTGATGGAACATGCAAACTGCTTGTTGTTTCATGGGAAAGGAGGAAATCTCAAGTGACTCCCTGCTGGTTTCTTTGCAAAATCCCATGCGAACATACTCAGCTGCGCTTGCAGGAACCCAGTGGTCGCACAGAGGTTCGGTTCTGCCCACTCAGGACACCTGCACCCAAGCTGCTCGACTTACTTGGTCTCCTTTCTGCCCTGGAGGTCCTGGGAGTCCCTGTAAGACATCGAAAAAATAATTTCTACCAGCAGTTTTTGTCTGTGCTATATCCTTGCTGTAATGAAAGGCTCCCAGCTTGATATAAAGAGAAAAGAAGGTCTTCGGTCCATTTTTTGTTGACTATGAGACAGCCCTGTGAGCTGCTATAAATGCTCTTGTGTGAGAAATCCCTGCATTTGGATAGAGATCTCTAGCCTGTCTCTCTACCCTAGCTGCCCCCTGCCAGGAGACTGCTACCATCTTGCTTTGCCCACGACAAACCATCAGAGATGGGCCTGAGAGGAAGAAAAAGTGGTGGAACAGTGCTGTATTCTTGGGCTGAGCCTACCTAAGCCTTCTGGCATCAGCCAAGCAGAACGTGGGAACATGTCCTGCTCTTCTACCCAGAGCGAGGACTCGACAGCTTCTTCCACTACTTGCAGGGCAACTCTGCAGGCCACTTGCAAAATAACTTGCAAGCATGAGAAGAAGACAGCCATGAGATGCATGGGAGCTACCAAGCAGGTCAGTGCTTCAACTCTTGGTCTCTAGCCGGACCTGGGAGTTGCAAGCACACATATCCAGCAGGCTTACAGATCCTGAAGCACCTAATTAAGGTAACTTAGATTGATCGAACTTTGCCAGACCCTGCACATCCTTCCACCACCATAATGAGGTAGGCAGAGTATCCAAACCAGCTGCTGGCATCATCTGGCTTAGGGTTCACACTCAATACTGAGGGTCCATGCTCCTTTCCTATCAAATAGGACAGGAATGATACCGGGTAGGATCTGAATTCTATCAGATAAGATGCCTTGAGCTCTGACTTGAGGAACATAGACACCTTAATTCCCTAGAATGGAGGGCAGAGCCAGGCCCACCTTCTCTCCTGCTCTGCACTCCCTTGCTTCTTGTTCTCACCTTTTCCCCTTTAACACCAACTTGCCCTCTGTTACCCTGGAAAACAGAAGATCCTTTAGTGAGGAAAATGCTCCACTGGCAGAGACACTTGGAGCTGAAGGCAAAAATGCCCCATGCTCTGCAGAAGAAGGGTCCCTTCATGAGAGAGTATGAGGGACGGGGGAAAGAAAATAAATAGATATTGTTATTCACATATCATATATAATATATGATGTATGATATATATAGTGAAAGCATCTGTGTGTTGTATAAATGTATATCAATATATACTTACATAATACCTATAATATGTTAGAGTATTTTGTATAATCATATTATTTGTATTTGAGATATAATACACTATATGAAAACACATGTATCATACAATAAAATGTAGTCATATATCATATAATTATTTTGTAATTATTTCATCCATAATTATTGTAATTTTGTAATTATTTCATCCAATTTAGGGAATGGAACATCTCTCGTATGAAGAGAGGCTGAGCGAGCTGGGCCTGTTTTCTCTGGAGAAGAGACGGCTCAGAGGGGATATGATTAATATGTATAAGTTCAGGAAGGGAGAATGCAGGGAGGAAGGGGACAGGCTGTTCTCACTGGTGGCCAGCGATAGGACGAGGGGTAATGGCCACAAGCTGAAGCACAAGAAGTTCCGTCTCCAGGTGAGGAGCAACTTCTTCACTGTTAGGGTGACAGAGCAGTGGAACAGGCTGCCCAGGGAGGTTGTGGAGTCTCCTACTCTGGAGGTCTTCAAAACCCGCCTGGATGCCACCCTGTGCCACATGCTGTAGGTGTGCCTGCTTGAGCAGGAAGGTTGGACTAGATGATCTGTAGAGGTCCCTTCCAACCTTAAATATTCTGAAATATTCTAATACACATAACTTTATTTGGACTATATATGTGTTTTTAAAATACATATGCACATGTTTGTGCGTGTTTGTATATATGCACATACACACATGTATGGACTGTCCTGAGCTTGATCAGACTGTTCCTTTCGAGGATGCTTGAGAGGATGAGATGGGACAGGCTCTTGGAAAAGGCTTAAAAGTTTACATCATAGCTCAAGCACAGGCCAAAGACTGAGGGCTGGGTCCTGGCTGAGCTCAGAGGTTGACCATAACCAAGAGGAGCCAGGTGAGATGCAGAACCAGACCCAATTACCCTATGTATACCTGCCCATGTCTATATTTACAGATGTCTTTTAAGCCTTCCTGGTTTCATTCAGTTAGAGCCAAACCCTTGGATCAACTGATCCTCCTTCCTTGGGTGGCCCTGGCTCACCCTACATGAGAGCGAGCAGCTGTGATGGCCTCCTGTATCCTGTGAAGTCATCTCAGAAAGCTCCTTACCAACATCAGCAGCTACCTCAGCAGCGAGCATCCTGCCAGGCTTCAGTCTTTCTTCAAGAGGGTCCATGAAAGGCCACAAAACCCACATTTCTGCGCACTGAACCAGGACTGGACACCTCAGAGAGGCTGTGACTCTTGCAAGGAGCAAGACATTAGCAGCAAACTGGCTGTTATTGCTGGCAATGGGATTTGAAATCCTCTTACGTTAAATAAAATAGCACCACTGCAAAGGGAAGCAAAATACTTTGTTTTTGGGCTGAATTAAATGTTTCCTTGGATATATCTTTTTCTGTCATTTTCCATCTCTCCTAGAAGTATGAGAATCAATTCTTTTCTAGGTCAATATTAATATTTTTAAGTTTAGTAGAAATTAAATAAATCAGTGGCTCATATAGATGCATTTAGCTTCTAAGAGAAATTCAGAGAGTATATCCTGAGGTAACTTGAGAAGGAGCATGCAAAAAACCACGCAACCCAGTCCTAAACTGTTGCTCTTCTCATAGCCAAACCCAGGACAATGCTGAGGTGGGAATAAATCTGTACCCAGATGGTTCAGAGGATGGTCCTGGTAAGGCATGAGATAATCTGCTCCTCACATTTTAGCTCCTCATCCCAAATAGCATCAGAGCTGAGATCAAGCCCTGGTGCATGAGGTTCCATAATCCTTCTGAAACACATCTGCTATGAGTTGTTGCAACTCTGCAGATCTTTACCAGTCACAAAAATGTCATTTATTAATTTATTAAAATGCTGCATCTTGCTGTCATTCCAGGTCTCTGCAACATCCTGCAGCAACAAGTTCCCCAGATCAAGGACTGCTGACAGTCACTGCTTTTGAATAAGGAGGTCATGTTCCTTCAGCCTATGATGATCTTTAGAGCTAGGTGCTTTCCTTGGCACCTGAGTAGTAGGCACAGAGACCCAGGTACCATGTGAATGTCTTTCAGTACCCACCTTTGCTCCCGGTACTCCTGGAGGACCCATTACCCCCTACAAAACAGAAGAGCAAAAGCTCAGACTTTAAGACCCAAAGTCTTCTCTCTCCCTTCCCGTTTGCAACCACAGGACACACACCTTCCAAGGAAAACCTAGAGAAGGAGTCCTGGAGGAGACTGCAGAGACATTGAGCCAACCTAGAGGTCTTTTGCTGCAAAACTGGCTGAAAAAATGCCAACCTACCTGTGGTCCTTCTTCTCCCTTCAAGCCAGCAATGCCAGGAATGCCCATTCCTGCCAGCCCCTGCAAGACAAGCACAGCATTGCCCTTGGAAAAGTAGACTCCATGCCAGGAGGAAGGCACAAAAATTGTAAAGCAGGGAATGTCCCACCCCACCACGGGCATATAGGTCTGCTCTTAACTGTCCTGCAAAGTTGGAGGGGAGAAATTTGCTCTGTGGCCATTTTCAAAGAAATATGCTTAACCAGTAACCTTCAAGCGAGGTGCAAGTAACTTGGAGGAGGGAGAAGTAAAGAAAGGTCCCGTGTGTTTTCAGCCATTATTTGAAGAAGGGTGGGGAAATCAGAGAAGCAGCCTCATCCAGAGGACAGGCAGCATGTAGGACTGGGAAAAAACATCTGTATGAGCAGGGAGCATTGTGGAATGAGGGTAAAAATCTCTACATGTCTCTATTTGCACTCAATCTATCTTACTAATACTTCTTCTCAGATATTATCAGGTCCCCCCTTGGACTGATGGATCCTGCAAGCATCTGATATGTATAATGACCTTTTCTCCTCTTGGTCCAGGCAGTCCAGGAACACCATCTAGCCCCACGGGGCCAGGCAAGCCAGGCTTCCCCTGCAATGGAAGAGAAACTGTCACATCTTTTCCTTCCCACCTGTTTGTTAATGACCAGACTTCAATGTTTACTTTGAAGTCTGCAGAAACAGAAGCAGCATATTGGGCCCATCTTGATGGACCCATCATCTCATCTCATTGTTTCTTATCTCCCCTTCGACTCAAATCTCTTGTACCCTATGTATGAATTCTTTCTGTGACAATCTACCTCCTTTTGTCTGGCTTGGCCACCCCATCCTTGTCCATTTGATGCCCCATACTTTCAATCTGCCTTCTTGCCCCCCTCTGGACCTGTGCCAGTTCTTTCCTGCACCTCCTGAGTAGGTGGAAGGGAGTAGGGCTCTACTCATCAGCCTCATGGGGCAGCAGGGTCTTGAGGTGACATCATCTAACTGAGCTCAAGGGAAATGACCATTTCACAAAGATATATTTCATAAAAGGCCAGGCTAAGGCATGACTCTTTGGAGCAGCCTTCCTCAGGCAACACTGGCTATCATCTGCCCAAATGATTGACTAAAGCAGAGGGTTTATTGCAGTAGGGAGTGTGGCGATGGATGCTCTTTTCACAATTGTTTTGCTCTGTTCTCTGAGGAAGAGCATGGGCTTGCTTTTTGCAAAACAAATGACTGCTATTGAATGTCTTTGCTGAGTCTCAGACATTTCCCTTTGATAAATCTTGAATGACAGGTCAGCAGGACGGAGCTGACAAAGTGAGAAATGCTTAATTGGCCCTGCTTAATCTGCCAGATCCAGCAGGAAGGGCTTGTCAGCAGTGAAGCATCCCAAGGTGGTGGCTGATAAGAGGTGTCAATAGATATATCCCTGCATGACCATCCTCCTTGACAGCTGGTGTCCCAAGGTCAGTGGTATTTTCCCACCACTAATAGTGGCCTGTGGCTCTTCTTTGGCTTCAGATAACTCACCGGCTCTCCCACACCTCCTTTGTCACCCTTGAGGCCATTCCTGCCACGAGGACCCTGCATGAAGCACAGGACAATATTACAAGATGTCCCACCACCATGGTCTCCATGAGCACCTGGCAAGGATCGAAACCAGAGCCTAGTGGGCAGTTTAGGAATAAAAAACCAGGCTTGTCACCATGTGAAAATCAGCCCCAGGTACTTACCCTGACACCCAAATCCCCAGGTTCACCCTGAAATGCAAAGGACACAGCATTGGCACAGAGCCTGGGAACAAGGAGAAGAAGATTTTCACAGTCTTTCCCCACTTTCCTCCTTGGAGATGCCCAGCAGCAGCAAGCACCTTTCACTACAGAGCTACCAAGCATTCCTGCATCTGAGCATGATGCTGCAGTCCTGGGGCTTTTCCCTCTCTGCCATTTCCTACCAAACAGCAGCAAAAAGGAGGAGTTTCTTTCTAAATTTAGTTCCAGCTAAAGCTCCTCCAGAGACCAAAATCCTCTACCCCTCAGGGTAAAGCAGAGCTTTGATGGAGGTGTCTGCTCTCTCTCACACTCCAGACGCCTCACCCTGTGAAATCTGATATCCAAACTCCCCTTAGGACAGAGAGGGGTGTTTAGGACCTTTGATCTCTGCTTGGTGACACTTGGTGACATAAATCCATTCTTTTGCTGTGCACAGCACAAGTGCTCCTGGATTTTTCAACCTAGATGTGGAACGACTCATATGGACCTGAAGCTGGAAAAGTTTTAGTGGCCACTGAATCTGGCCCACATCTGACAAGCCTGACCATAACTTTTTCAAGCTCCATCATTAACTTCTGCTGACATTTTGAGTTGAGGTTGAACAACTAGGCACTCATGGAAGGAAAATTCCCTCATGGAACCAAATTCCTGCCATTTGCAGGAATTTGGAACCTGAGGAACCAGAATTTGGTTCAGTGAGAGAATCCTATGGGCCTCAGCACTGCAGAATTGGTTGCAAGAGATGTTGAAGACTAGGTTATTTATTGCATAATAGAGAAAGGAAATGTGTATTCCCAAGACTCCTAAAAAACAGGGTGTCCAGGGTTTCTGTGGCTTAACAGTGCAGGGCCATGCTGCAAAAAACCTCACTCACCTTGATGGACACCCCTGGTGGTCCCCGTGGCCCTGGCAGACCTGGTGGTCCTGCTACCCCGGGAACCCCCGGCTGTCCTCTCTGTCCCTGAAACAAAACAAAAATAGGAGAGAGAGGGTCATGCTCTCTGCCTACCCTTTCTCTGCCCTCTTAGCCCAGCACATGCTGAGCAGATGAAGGGTTCATCACACTGGGGTATGATACTCACAGGAGGACCAGGTTGCCCATTCTGACCAGGAATCACTTCCACTCCACCCAAGACGTAGCCTGGTTCACCCTGCACAAGAAAGAAGAGCCCTTGCTCAGTTATGTTAGGAGGTCCAGGCACTAAGAGGCAGCTTCATGACTTTTAGTTGACTTAGTTGACTTAATTGACTTCATGACTTAGTTCATGACTTAGGTGCAGTTGCAGGATCAGAGTAGTTGGAGAACAAACAGCCTGTGCAAGGCAGGAGCCTCCCTGTGCTGCAAACCCAAACCACCTGCGTGCTGCACGTCTGTTGTGGAGGTACCAAAAACAGCCACACAAAACCGTCAGGATGGGACAACTGCTCCTGGGAACAGCCCACAGCAGATCATGAGACTGTGCTTTTCTCTGTCATAAATGTGTACAAACAGGCCTGTTAATAGAAGCAGCTCTTAAAACCCAGAATGACCCAAGAGCGTGCTACCTCCTTGTGCAAATAACCAGGTGAGTTGTGCCAAGGGTAATAGGGACTGGCCAATTTTCTCCATGAAAACTTTAGATATCTCCTAGTAAAACTGAAGACAGACTCCTCCAAGGCTGATATCTGTACAGGACTAGTAAGATACAGCTCAGAAGTTCACATTCAGCAGTGGCTGCTGTGCAAGCCCTTGGAAATAAGAGGCGAGAGTATTACAATGGCTTTTCCCCATTGAAAAGCAGGAATGCAACTCACTCTGTCTCCTTTTGGCCCCACTGGTCCTGGATAGCCAGGAGATCCCTAGAATTAAAAATAGATCATTCATTACTAAACAACAAAGTACCTGTAATACCATTGTTGTGAAATGTTCAAGTTACAGGCCTTAAAAATGTCATCCACCCTTAAGCAGTTATGAAAATAGTTTTCTTCTAATAACGAACTGATTTTGGTTCCAACACTGATGTACTCATGCAGGTGTCACCCATGTAATAATGTGTTATAAATCCCCTCCTTGTGATGAGTGCAAGTAAGAGATGTCCAGGGATGTCTGAGATATCCTCAGGTATGCAAGATGCTGGGCTGGTAGACATGACACAGGATTTACAGAAGATTTATACTGTTTTATAGTATAAGCTGGAGTTTAGATAACAGGACATTTCAAGTGACATTTGAGGACTCTTTTGAAACAACTGAAAGGAGCCCAAATAATGGGGTTCAGATGAAGATTATGACATTCAAACCTTGTGTCTCCACCTGACATGGAGTCCAACACTTCTGGTACTCATCATAAGTGATGGAGATCCAGGCTCAGTTCAGTGTGCCATTTAGGATGCACTGTGATACCTGCCTGGCCTCCAGGTCTCACTTCAGAAGTGCCCTGGAAGTCCCATATTTATCAGCTGATTGCTTTGGAAACCCTAGGGGTTCTCAAATGACCAGAGCCACCTTGGTAGAGCCCTTATCAAAAGCCCTCAGGGCTTGGAGGGTGATTTACCTCATCGAACATAAATGTCTATTAACAGAGAGCTGGTGTAAGTAGGTGACGGACATTTTCATAGCTGATCACTCATCTAGTGTGTAAAGCCATGCTGTCTCCAGTAAAATCCACAGTATGGGGATACTTCTAGTGAAAACAAGGGCACAGGAGGTTTAGCTGGGTTAGATAGAGAGTGCTTTCCAAGCTATGGCATGAACAGCTTTGTGAAACTGTCAGAAGCTTAATTAGTGTAAGGGATATCAGTGAGCAAATGATGCTACTGGTGGTTAAGTGTATAACAGACTGTGGTTAGACTGATATATAAATGCAGGCAGAGTTTGCAGGTCTTATTTTTCCTTTTCTGGGCAGCTCTGGTTCAATGATAGCTGCTTGGCTAGGAATATGCCAGTGGTGTGTTGCATTATGTGCCAGGTCTCCGAACAGAAGGAAATCTGAGCAACACTTCTGGTACTGAGACAATTTCACAGGTAGTGGTGAGAGCCCGGGCTGGCAGGAGAGGCAGATGTGGAAAAACAGCCAACAGACTTTGTGGAGGATCTTTGCTGCATTCAGAATACTCACCACATCACCCTGGATGCCAGGGAGCCCCTACAAACCAGGAGAAAGAAAGATTTCAGAGCTATGTCCACTTCTCTGTTATATGCCATTTTTTACAGTGTTTGTCGAAGCAAATACAAACCTTGAGCCCAGTGGGACCAGGAGGACCTGTCCGCCCTGGTCTGCCTGGCAGCCCAGGAATACCATCCTTCCCAGGTAGGCCCTAAGAATATGAAAAGCAAGAGTTTGAGAGTTACTGCTCCAGACCCAAACAGCTTTGGGCATCCGTAGTTCTGTGTGTGGTTACAGAGAGTCCTCAATTCCTAGTATACAGAGCAATTTTTCATCTCATGCAGAAGACTAAGCCTGTATCATTTTACTTTAGGTTGAGTTATTTCTGGAGGGAAAGTAGAAATATCAGATTTTTCACACTCAAACAAGTTTTGCAAGCTCTAAGATTCTTGGATAGATCTCTGCCTTGCTAATATTTTTTTTAGTTGTAAATTAATTAACCAAGTGACTGGTTGAGGTGAACTGACTCACCCTCTCTCCTTTCTCTCCTTTTGTAGTAAGGATGTATGGGTCATAACCTCCATGAGGAAGAGAGTCTCTTAAGTCCTTGAAAGGAAAATGTTTTACATTAAGAAATGTTTGAAAACAAATGTTTAGGGAATTATGACACGCTACAAATAAACCCAAACCAGAGCGACTTCAAAATAAAGACTAGCACCTTCCCTGACATATGCAAGAGAAGTAAAGGATAAGGCTGACCCTGCAGGAGACTTATTTGTATCCTCAGACCCTTTAACATACTTGTAAAAATATGCATTACTTATAGTGTCTCCAGGTTGCACTGAATTTGAGAGAAAAGGGTGGAGAACAGAGAGCTGAATGGGGAGGAAATATCGTTAGGAAACTTATTAATGTTTCATGCAGTTTTGGTCTTGTTACAGCTACAGCTCAGGATCTCCTTTTTGGCTCAGAGATGGTAAATGCTCTTGGTTATATGTTTACCAAGACTCATAGAAATTTCAGTGCATTTTTTTTCTCCTCTGGGAAAAACTATGGAGAGGAATTTGGCAGGAGTGAGGTCAGGACCCAATTCAACCATCCATGGAGAAAGGGGGTGACATGCATCTCATTTTAGGTAGCCACCATCAAAAAGAGGCACCACCTCTATGTGGCTAATTAGCTGCTAGTATAGGCACCTACTTATGAAGTGAATCTTGACCTACACCTTTTTGATCACACTGCTCCCTACTACTACTTACTACTGTGGAGACACTCATTTACTCAAATGAAGCTAGCACACCTGAGTGATTTATCCAGGGCCCTCCAGGAAGCTGGTGACATATCAAGGAATTATGTAGAATACTTCCCAAAGCTGACTCTAATCCAGGACACTATTTGGAAAGACTGAACTTCCCTTAGAATTGGCAAAAAAAAATGTATCCCCACATCCTCTTATGAGTTAAGGGTATGTGGGCACTACTGTTCTTCATTTCCTATGTCTTTCTGCTTGATAGGTGGGTAGAATTGCCTTCCAATGTTTCAATTCTGTAGTAAGAAAGCTCAGGGCTCTGTTCAATGGCTCACATGTTGAAATCTAAAGCTATCTGAAATGGTGTAGGACATCTGGCATGACTCTGTGGGGCTGGCAGATATGATGGAGGATCTATGGAACCGCTGCGCTACAGGCTCACCAGGCGAGAGCATAGGAGGATGCTGCATATCCCATGCAGAAGTGGCAGGTCCTAGAATGATCTTCCCCAAAACAAACACAACCTCCAAATTAAAGACTGTGAGGGTGATACAACTGCAGTGAATGCAGCGTAGATGTGAGAATTGACCTGGGCAAAACAGACATCAGTGAACTAAATCTCACCTTCAAACACCGGGGACTACAAGCCTCCTCTCTTCTTTGGATGTATGGTTCAGCTGAAGGTGGATCAGGGACCAGTAGCTTGCTGTCTGTGCTATCAAATGCCAATTGCTTGTCTGCTTTGTGACTGGGAACCTACAGCAGGGAATTTGGGTTAGACTAGTGATCCTCCATATTCTGGGGCTGGACACCGCCATCAACCCTCAGCAGATGCCAAGAGGTCTCTGTGCATTTATACCACCAACCTTTCAATTGAAATATCCACAAAATACTGCTGTTTGACATACTCTGCAACAAGCTCATGACCTTGCCAATGATCCATGGATCAGAGTTGGAAGAGGTCACTGAAATTACGTATGTTCAAGTGCTTTACGCTCGCATTAGCCTTATGCACCTTCAAAACTGTATTCTCTCCTCCCCTATTTTACTTCTTCAGTTTCAAAGGTTTTGTTCTTCATCTCTGGATTTGAACAGTAAGTGAGGTCAAGACTGGACCCGATATCCTGACTTTTTGCTCCCCTAGCTTTGAAATGTGGCTCAGGCTAAGTGACTGCCTTGTGCATGACTTGTGCCAATAAAAGCCAAATGACTTTTATTCAAAGCTCTGCGAAGCAGCTCACCTCCTCATGCAATGTCTGGGCCCCTGGAGGCTGCAGATCAGAACAAATGACTTCTATCAGCTCTTGGATGATATGGGGAAAGTCATCAAATGTGCTGATGTAGAAAACATTCTGGAGGTTCTGCTGCAGCAGGATGGTGTTCAGCTCAATGGGGTCAGCTCCGGAGACACCCACAGCAATGACGTGGATCCCTGAAATACATCACTTGCTTAATGAATAATATTTGGGATCAGAGTTTGCATATTCATTATCATATTCCTCCTTTTGATGTCCATTGGTGGTAATTCATACTCCAGCAGCCAAGCGACAACTCACCTAAACCAGAGTGTATAAGTTCTAGCAAAATTAAGACACTCTAGCTTGGAATGAATAAAAAGAAAAGATGATGGAGTGAAAAAAGGCAAAACCACTTTTGAGGTGCAAAAATCATGCAATATATCACCCACTATACCCTGGGAATTCAACTTGGTTATGTTTGAAGTACAAGCAAGACCTTAGGGAAACACAACAGGGGAATTCTTACCTAAAGCATGGGCTGTTCTGGCTGGTGGCAACACATCATCTTGTGATCGCCCATCAGTCACAAGCACCAACACATGAGGGAAAGCTGGTCTCAAGCCTCTGGAGGACTGAAATATCTCCTTTAGCATGTAGGCTAAACCACGACCTGGGCAAATGTAGAGAGACACAGTGTAAATCTGCCTAAGTAATATGTCTGCAGGTGGTGAGGGCTGTGGAGTGGGAGTTCCACTCCACAGCTGGGCAAATCAGGGCATTCAGTGTAGCCTTATGAACGCAGAGTAGTTCCTACAGCAAGGCAAAATTTTTTGAGGGGAGACAACAATGAATTGGATTGACTCAAATAGTTCAACTCAATAGGTTGAGTTCAGCAGATAACTTTGAAAAGGAAGAAAAAAAAAGGAAATACATTCAGAAGAGTTGAAGCATTTCCCCAACATTTTAGGGAAAAAAAATCACTCTATTCCTGTTCTGAAATTTCTTCTGAAAGATCATGAAAAACCTTCAAATTGAAAGGGTTAAGAACTTTGGGCCATAACTTTTTACTGATAGCAGCTATAGCCAAATGGTTTCAAAATGCTCAGAAATGCATTCTTGGACTTCAGCCTCATTCGTGAGGCAGGAAGGTCTACAACACGTGTATGGACTCACACATACGTACCAGTTTTGGTGTTGCCTCCAGCATAGCGCAGCTCCTTGATGGCTCTCAGAACACTGTTGCGGTCCTTGTGCTGGTGAAAGTGGAACACAGCTCTGGGCTCCTCACTGTACTGCGCTAAAGCAACCTGCCAAAGAAGAGGCCAGGCTAAAAAAGATGAATTTCATATGATAGCCAACTATACTGAAGTATCCTCATCTGACCGGAATTATCTGTTAAACCAGGATAACGTCATCACCTACCTAAATCTTGCAGATTATCTGCAAATGAAGAGCGTAAGAGACTCCTCATTTCTCAATCAGCTGAAAGAAAGCAATATAAATCCCCATTTCAAAAGGCTGGTTCAGATATCAGATGGGCTAATGGATCCTTAAATACAAATTATCTTTGCTAATATATCTACTGAGCATTGCCATTTGCTTTGCTGGATTGCCAGTTAATTCTGCAGGCTGCAGCTACCCTTGAGAGGTTTCACTGCATGGTCTGCTTGTCCAGGCATGTGCTGCATCTCCCACTCAGGCACCCACCTGCGTCTCCTCCAATTAGCAGTCTGGATGCAAGCAGAAATGGGGCCCTGAAGGGAGATCTTTGGTCCTGGAGTGGGATATCCATGGCTTCATCCACAACTGAGACAGAAAGGGGATGCTGACATGTACCTGGCCTCTATAATCTAGACAGACTGAAATACTGCATTTTAATAGGTTCAAGATTTGCTTTACTCTTGATGTTTCGGTCTTGGAAGAAAGGTCAAGAAATGGAAATATGCTCAAATGAGTTGGGAGCCAAGCTGGAAGTTAGGAGATTCTTATTTTTGTCTTTGATAGGCCACATAATTCTGATGGGGCTCTTGGCAAAATACTTCACCTCAGCAAATGACAAAATATGAGCTAGAAAACCCTTTATTATTGCAAGGGTGAACAAAAGGGAGATAATTGGACAGAAAACATTTCCAGGAAAGAAAATAACAAATTCTTGCCTGTGTCCCTTCAGGCCCAATCTTAGGGAAATAGGATATGATCCGGAAGAGGAAGTCTTTCACTTTATTGAAATTGCTCTGGCCAATACTCGAGGACTCATCCACCAGGAATGCAATATCTGCTTTGAACTTGCCACAGACTGCAGAGGGAAGAGAGGGTTTTCGTAAGTCATGCAGCCTTACGGGAAAGCCACATTTCACTGTGTTCATCACAATGAAACAAACCCAAGCACAAATATCTCATGTCATCAAGTGTTAGTGAGTAGGCAGCACCCTCTCCCATACATGCTGTACGGGTTTTGTGTTTTCCCCTTCACCAACACTGCTCATCCTCATGGAGAACCTCAGATTCTTTGGCTCTTGGGCAGTTTCTAGGACAATAACAAGTCTAATAGTTCCTTCTTGGCTTTTAGGACTGCCATCACCAAGGGGAAAGTATTATCTCCTGGCTCACTAGCACCACATCCACCTACCACTTAACCTTAAACTGAACATCCAGAGGAACACTGAACTTGAAGTTCCCTTATCCCAGGTTTAAACCTGGGATATTACACCATGTCATAAATAACTCTTTCATATGAGCAGATAGAATTCAATCTTGAAAGAAGAGAGGTCTTTTCATTCCCCAAATTCCCACAGAAGGGCTGTTCCAGAAGCTTACTCCTTAAAGGGAATATCACTATGAATCAACTTCTAGTTTAAACATCCTTACAGACACCTCCCTCGGTGAGGGCTAGCCTATAGCATAGGCACTTCTCCAGTCCTGATGTTAGCCCACCAAATGTACTTTTAAATGATATTCAGGCCATCTCTTGCAGCCTTCATTTGGCTGAGCAAGCTAAATAGCTATTTAATACTCAGCAAATGAAGACTCACTAGTTCTGGCTCCTGAGATGAGAGCAGACTGTGGTGTCCAGGGACCAGGTGGTTTTGATCACTGTCCTTGAATCACACATGGATACACACTCACTTGGCCCAGGAAGAGTAGTCAGTGGTGCAGAAACTATGGGAGTTGATAGTAGGGTTTCTAGGGTTGGTTTTAATGTTGAACTGGTGGTCGGTGGAAGGGAAGTGGTTCTTGCACTGCTAAAAGTTGTGGAGGGGGATTTCATAGTAGGCTCTTTTGCTGAAGTAACAGGAGAGACTGGCACAGATGAATATCTGTGAGGTTCCTCTGTAAGAGACAAACAAAAAACATGTTCACTAAACCCTTTCTAGCTAGGATAGCACTACCCTGCAAAGCATGAGAACAGTAGGGAAGCAAAGAAATAAATCTCAATAGCAGTTACCTAGGAGAAACTGCAATTTAAGCATCTAGCCTTTATACCTGTATGCCCAATGAGTGTTGTCTCTGGTCCTTCCGTCTCTCCAAAGACTGGCCTTATAGAAAATAAATAGGTCTCTTTGGAGTGCAGACCTGTCACCCAATATGACCCAGAAGCTGACGGCAACAGTTCCAGGGAAAGATCAGAACCTGCCAAAAAATAAAGGAAGAAACAGACATTAGCTACTGGGAGAGAGAGGGGCTCAGCGTAACTCCCACACTTATTAAATGGCTGATTAATATCTGTCAAAAATGTTCTCAGTCAAAGGAACAGGAACATAAAATGGGAATTGGTACTAGTAGTTGCAGAGAGCATTTGTTCCAGGTAGTGTCCAAGACTTAGTTTCCTGATAGCCCAATGAAGGAACATCAATTATGGTTTGCAGGGCTGATCATATATAAAACCAGGATCCTTACTTGCTAAGGAATAGAAAGTTTCCTGAAAAACAGAAGTAAATTTATTTGAGAAAGTTAATGGCACAAGATAGATAGTTTTGATTTTAAATAATGATATCTGTGGAAACATCATAGTGATGTTTTGACATTTCAAAAGCATTTTATTTTGGAAAAACAGAATGATGAATTTTGATGTTATTCACAGCGAGATTTGTGCCTGTTCATTCTGGGAACATTGTGGGTACTCAAACTCAGGAGAAGCTTCAACCAGCAAGACCCCGCTAAAACTCTGCAAGACATGACCCCATAGAAAATCCCCAGTTCCCAGATGTTTCCTTGTGGATCTGCTTGCTAAACTACATGCTCCATCCCCAGACAGTAAAGGACATAAGGGATTTCACATGATGAGAAGCAGTGTGGTTACCACACTCACACTCTGGGGTACGCAGAAGATTGCTGGGAAACTGAGGTAGAAGGTTCAGGGCTGGATGCTCAGCACCACCCACAAGGTTGGGGAGCACACAGCAGGAGAAATCTGAAACCACTGAAGAAGGAAGACGCTCTTCAATGGCAATGGTTTTTTAGAAGAGAGATATCAATGTTTAGCAAGGGACAGGAGGACAGTAGATGGTAATATTTAACGTGCAACTACAAAATTAAAAGTACTTCTGAACACTGACTGTTGTGGACACCAAACCCATAGCTTTAATGATCCTAGCATAGTCAGCAGAAGGTAGAAAGAAGAGAGAGGATTTCAACATTCAGATGAACTTCTACAAGGCCCTCCTGTTGCATGAGGGAGGAACATTGGGTCTAAATGGGAGCCTATTGAGATGCATGGGTTTGGTTTTGTGAAATGCTGGGCACAGTAGCTGGTTGACTCCAGCTGAGTAGGAGGTGAACAAGTCTTTTACAGGACAACTTGGCTAGGTTTGGTGTAGGGTAGAGAAAATGGCACTACATGAGCTTCAAAGTAGGCAAAGGAAATGGGTAATGCACAAGCACACGTTCAGCAAAAACATCAAGTTGCTGAAAACAAAATTAAACAAGGCATCAAGAGACACAAAGATACAAAATTCTTAATTTCCTTTATATGCTAATGCTCTCAGGCTGAGTAATTAAACAAGAGAAATTGGAATTATTCATTTGTGAGCATATGACCTTGCTGTTATTGTTGAAACATGGTGGCAAGCTTCATCTGATTGGAACGCTTTATCAATAGTTATAAACCTATTTCAGAAGGATCGATAGAGTGAGAGCACAGCAGGGCTGTCAAAAGCAGCATTTTCCATTTCTGAGCCCCCGATGACTCTGAAGCCAATGATTCTGAATACTCATGGATCGATACTTAACAGCATGACACAGGAGCGCAACAGTTGCATTAGATCACTTAAATCACCCTAGAGAGCCAAAAGTTGAGTTCCCTAATCACTTATCCATAATGCGTAGAGCAAAGCAGAGAAAAAAAGATGTTATCGCAGGTGACTTCATCCTGAGTGACATATTCTGGAAGTCTTATGCTGTCAATACCAAAATGCCCTTAGAATTAAACAAAAATAAAGTTGATGATCTGGTCATTCAAAAGGCTTTGCATGGGACTGCAGTGTCAGACCCGTATCCTTTAGTGATCTGTGGAGATGAACTGATCACTAGCAGAAAGTTAATGCCAGAAGTAACTGTGAAAGGCAGCTCATTACAATGAAATAGACTGAGGCCCAATGTGAACCCTACAGAGAAAAATCCATTGGAAAAATAAAGAAGTATAGACTAAAAATTGTGAACAGTGATTGGGAAAGTTTTAAAAGCTGTCCACTAAATAGTAAAGCTTTTAAATGGATAAGAAATGAGCTGTCATTGATAGTAAAACCAGGCCTGCTTAGAGTAAAAAGGAATAATGGCATGAATATGGATCACAAATTGAAAAGGGGATGTTAAGAGCAATTGCTGAGAATTATATATTAAAAATTGCCAAAAAAATGCTAAGTGAAGTCTATAATGGGGATTGTGCAGAGATTTATGGATCAGGGGAGTCCATTAAAGAGTCACACCAGAGAGTCCACATGAGATGGGAACATTGTGGGTACTCAAACTCAGGAGAAGCTTCAACCAGCAAGACCCTGCTTAAACTCGACAAGACATGACCCCATAGGCAATCCCCAGTTCCCAGATGTTTGCTCATGGAACTGCTTGCTAAACCACATGCTCCATCCTCAAATCCGTGTGGCGATGTGACAGCTCACACAGGAGAGGTCCAAACTACAGGCTGCTCCACCTTCCCCCACCGAAGAACTGATACCTGAGGACAAGCGCCACGTTAATAGGTATGCTGATGCTTCAGAAACTGCCGTCCAAGTCAGCAAAATGCTGCTCTCTGCAGCCTCCTGTACTGCAAACTCGGCTACTTTGGGCAAATCCACTGTTGGAAAGAGAAAAAGAAACAGAGACTTCTTGATATGGTTGCAGGCAAAGCGTAGGGAGAGTAGGTAGAAGCGACTGTCGAGAGCTTGGCCGGCTAAAAGGACATACTGCATCCTTTCAGAACATAAAATTTTGGCCTCACTGAAATTTATGGCAAAATCCCCAGATAGGAATTACAAGCATGAAGCACATCCTTGTGCCAATGAACATAGTCTGTCCATGGCTCCATCTCTCAGATCTCTTAGATCATATCTGAGAATCTCTCAGATCACATCTAGCCCAAGGTGCAAAGATGTGCATGCAAGGCAAACATACCTTGGATTGCAACCAGCTTCAGAGACCTTCTGCCTACTTAACCATAGGATGAGGAGAAAGTCCCCAGAGGGGAAAGAGTCCCCAGAAAATGATCATTTTCTGCCACACTGGTGGGATCTGAGAAGCAGTAAGGTGTGTTACAGCCAGCATCACTCCTCTTCCATTACTACCTCATGTTACAGTCCCTTGCAGGGAGATGTCTCCCCAAGCACTTGAGTGGAGATGTTCTTGTCCCACCCTGCAGTTTGTACTCACAGGTTTTGGCGGTGAGGAGCACTGGGCTTCCTTCTCGTCCCTCAGTGATTGCAGACACGCTGATGGTGTAGGTGGTGCTTTCCTTCAGCTTGGGTATGGTGTAAGAGACAGTCTCTGCTGCAACCAGCTGGGAGGTTTCCAAGCCACCTGACAGCAGCCATTCCAAAAAACACTGTTATGTAGCAAGGGCAGGGCAATTGCTATTAATAATTGTAACAGCAGTTTCTCCCACAGAGATCCGAGGGGAACTGGCATGGGAAGAGTATTATGAGCTCAGTTTTCATATGGGAATATCAAGGCATTGGCAGCCAAATGATCTGGTCACAAAGTCATCACATATATTGTGATACAGTTCCCAGATGCCAACTATGGCTAAAAATGATTAATGCCTTTATTATAGATTAAAATCTGCTTGATTTCCAAGGGTTCAACTTTTCCCTTTTGACATATTCATGGAATTTCTAAAATCAAAGTCCCCACCTACCCCAATCAATCTTTGGGAAAAGAGATGACTTGCACTAATCTCCCATTTTATGAGGTTCTCTGAACTCTATCCTCATATCATACCTCACTAAGAGAGCAGGATGCTTACCACTGAATGGAATCCAGGATATCTTATAATGAGTTGCACCAGGAACCCTCATCCAAGACACTTTCAAACTATTTATGCCACTATCAGTAAGCCTTAGATCTTGGACAGTCTGGCTGGGGTTGGAGTCTGCAAGAGATGGTGGAAAATCAACCAGAATGAGATGTTAGAAGTAACAGCCCAAATTATACAGGGCCAGGTTCATGACTGAGTCTAGTCTTGAAGCCCATAGGGTTCAGGGTCTACCTTCCTGGGATCACTAGGCATAAAGAGGACTGGCCAATGTGTTAGTATATCCAGGTTGTCTATGTGTGTCAAGGTTGTTGAACATGTCAGCAGGATGTGCCTACACCTATGCTGTTAGCTACACCATCAGGAACCTGCCAAGGACTCATGCAGCACAGTCAGCAGGGTGCAATGCACATGTTCATGATTCCAGCCTTGATGTTCACACACTGAGGAGGTCTTTCCACTAGGACGTACCTGTGCGGTGAGTCAGAGTCACCTCTGGCCCCTCATTCTTGCTGAAGACAGCCCGAATGCTGACTTTATACAAGGTGTCAGGCAGCAAGTGGTCAATCTGATATGCCAGCACTCTGCTGCTCAGGTACTGAGTCTTGGTGACTTGCTTCTCTGTAAAGAGAGAATACTTCAGAACTGGTAGCTCTCCAGTGAGGCTGGTGGCATCTTCTCCAAGAGAAATAGCCATTCTTTGCTGCACTGCTGTTCCAGAGCTTTTGGAGGTTATCTTCAAAAATACAGGAGCATGAATACAAGGAAGGAAGAAACTAAAACCAATGGGTGCAACCTGGCCTATATTTCTCAACAGTGAGATCTCTTTTCCTATGACAAGTACTGGGGTCAGTAGTCCTGGGGACTGTCAGGGTTGTGGGACCTGTCACAGTTTTGTGAGCTTCCATTTTGCACATTGGAGCCCTCAACTGAGAACCAGCACTTGGTCAATACCCAGGCAATGCAAGTTCCTTGCAGACCAGGAGGTCCATGCAAGCACTCCAAGGTGCTCCCAATACCCTTCTGGTCATATAAATTGCATATACATTTACAATTCACCAATTAGGTGACTGAAGTAGCATGGATGGAGCAATGCATCCTTGTAATGCACATCAATAGATCAGAAGATTGGAAAAGTACTTCCCATATCCTTGACCATAGGCATAGGTCTGTGTCTCGAACATGCATGTACACTCTTCTGCTCACCTTTGCCTGCTCCCACAGGGCTCCAAGTGACTTTGAACTTGGTGGCAGCTGTTGTGGCACTCCATGACAAAGAGAGGCTGGTGCTGGTGTAGGATGTCACCTTGAAATGGGAGACGTAGCCCAAAGGAGCTGCAAAGAGAGGACGGCATTAGACAGAGCCCCAACTACTGTCCATCAGGGATCCCTGCAGGCAGTATAACAAGGACATAGTCCTGGAAAAGGTTCAGAAAGTGTGCCTCTGCTTATCCCCTGTGTCACATTGTACTCATCTAGACAGACACCGGTTTGCACTGCTCGAGATCTGGGTCCCCAGCAGTGTCAGGTGTGTGCATCATTGTGTTTTATGAGTGTCTAGCTCAAGGTAGGAGTGTTGTACACTCCAGAAACATCAAGAAGTGTTTTATGCCTACCATCAAGGGGTGTTTTATGCTCTAGCTCAAAGTAGGAGCAATTCTGAGAGCCCAGAACAAGCAGTTCTGGGATGCAGGGAGCTGTGAGTTCCAGACACATTTGCCTTCACCTTGTCCTTAGCACCCAGAACACCCACCCAGAACTTGCATAGGTACTGAACATCAGTATTCACCCATGCCTGCCCTTCACATAGATCAGTTCATTATTCACATACTAAATTCCAGAGCGACTAGTCAACTTTTGCCACCTTTAAACCTCTCTGAGGATGCATTTGGCACTGCACAAGTCTCACTTCCTCTTTCTTATTGCCTTGTGCAGCATTGCTACGCTTCCTCCTGAAGCTGCACTATCTCTGAGGTGGTGAACAATAATTTGCCATGGATGGGTATGCTCTGTCCATAACCAAGACCGTTAGACCACCATCTTTCCCTGTCTCAGAAGAAGGAGAGAGGAGCAGGATGCCTGGTGTGGATGCCTTTTAATCAGTCATTTTACATTTACACTCCATGAATGTAACACTACTTGAATGTTCTGCCCGTACTCACACGTCCAGGCTGAGGTTGTGATCCCTGGTCCTTCCACTGAGCCGAAGAGCACGTAGAGGGAAATCACATACTCGGTATCGTGGGCCAGGTTTCGGAGTTGGTAGGTTGTGATCGACTTGTTGAGAGCCAGTTGTCGAGGACGGTCTTTGCCAAGGAATTCTTTGGGAGGGAGAGAAAAATAAAATAGAAATGGATGAAGACTGAGGAGCCTGGAAAACAGTATGGTTGCATATTGGGAAAGAAACATATTCACCCTACGGTCTGTCTCAGCCTGGGTGAAGCTCTGTTCTGGGACATGCGTGTGCATGTACATGCATGTGTTTGGGTGAGAGTTACCTAATAAACTGGGCAAGAGAGAGTTTCCTTGAGGGTCACATCTAGGATTGAGGATTGGGACAAGGTAGTGAAGGACTCTTGCACCAACTGGGACATGCCCAGCATTAGGGTTGCTTTGGAGGTACTGCTGACACTAGCTCAGGTCCACAAGTAACACCTGGTTTCAGTTCATGTCCTTAAGCTGGGACAGGCTGCTCAGCCCAGCTGCAATCCCCTGACATTTCCAGTTGCATATGTCCCTGTGGGGAGGTGTGGGTGATGTAGACTGGAGGAGAGCAGGATCTCACCTTGCGTAGGACCCCAAGCCATTCTGTACCCCGTGGCCCCAGCAACAGAGTCCCAGGAGACCAGAGCGCTGTTGGTGGATATCTCAGTCACTTTCAGCATCTGGACAGTGCTTGACGCGACTACGAGAGAATAGAGTTGCCAAGTTGCATCAAGGTCCCAACAGACGGGGTGTTGACTCCAAATGACACTGGTTCTGAGAGCAGACAGCCTGGCTTGTAAGAGACAGCAAGCAAACGGATTTCTGTGATCCATCTGTTGGCCACAAACCAACGGTGATCTTGGCTGGGGCTCTAGGGCACTGCTGTGCCCAGCAAGAGCTATTTGGTGCAGCAATGCAGGACAGCGTAGTCACTTCCAGAGATCCCACAGAAGAGATGGAAACAACTAGCCTTTCCTCAGTGGACTTTAAGGCAAAGAAAAGTGGGAAGACTGACAATTTCTCTGCCTCTTGATCTCAACATGAAGCCACACTTGTCCAGCAAGATGCCTCACATTATGGTGACTTTCTCCACCCAGATATTCTCTTCCCTTACACATTTGGGATCTTTCCAGCACTGCTAATGGAGTCCACATGTTTCTGGTCGTTGTGACCATACTGGCTCCCCACTCCTTGGTGTGACATTGCCACTCTACAGTAGGACATGGCTGAAAAGCAAAGAGGTAGGAGCCCCATATGGGAGACAGAATAAGCTCCAAACAGGTGTCTGGTCGCATGGAGAAGAAAAGACTTTGGGGAAAACACTGAAAGAACATCTCAAAGCCAGAGTAATCCAACTTCATCAGATTCTTCTGTTCACTATATTCACCCTCAATCTTAATCCACCCTCAATCTTTAGAAACTCTAAAGTTAAACCCACCCCTTTTGTTGTCTTTGTGCTAGCCCCATAGAACAGGAGCCTTTCCCAGTGTTTCCATCAGCTAATATGGACCCTGCTCCTCTCTGTCTTTTCTCTCCAGTTTGAGGCCCCTTCCCTCCCCCTAATTCATAACCCATCCGCACATCTGGGCCCTACCTCAGCCTCAGCTTTCTCCAGCACTTCCCCAGATCTTTCCACAAGGATCTGGCACAATGTCATCCCTGGACTGCATCCTCTGGATCGGTTCCCTCTATCTCATCCCTGCTGCAGGACACTTACCAGTGGTTGCTTTTCTGATCACTACCGGTCCCTCAATATCTCCAAAGATGGGGTTGATGGTGACAGTGTATTCTGTGCCAGGCTGCAACCCCTGGATCATGTAGTAGCTGTAGATGTTGCTGAGATTCACATCCTGGATGGTGCCCTCTGCAGAAGGAAACAATGGATGAGCTCTCTTGGCTCAGACTAAGAAGGATCATCTGCTGCTGCACAAATGACCATCCAAAGACTACACAGCAACAACTATAACTTTGAACTCATTGCCCAGACGTATAACTTGGTCTTGAGAGAAACAAGAAGGATGTTTTACATGTATTTGGGTGACAGGGCTGGATTCCTTCCTCCACAGGTGTCTCTACTCCATTCCACCTTGGTTAAATGAGATTAAACAGCATATCTTCCTCCTGGCTTGTGTATGTGCTGGTAATGTCCTCAAGGCAAGGAGCACAGGGACACCAGAACACCATGCACAAATCTTGGCTGTGTTGCTGATTTCTATATGGTTTGAAATCACAACTGGCTTCTCGAACAGGCCTCAGCAATTACTAACAGACCAGGATATCTTAGATTTTTGCAGACCAAAGAAAACAAAGTCACCAATGCATAAATTTTTGCATGTGGATATTGCGAGCAGTCCTGTAAGAAGGTCCCTACTCTGCCCAACCCTGTGTGACTCAGTGCTGCCCAGCCCCTGCCTTCCCTGCAGGACATGGGAGCTGACTGCTGCTGTACGAGACATTTTCTCAGGGTTAATCCTTCCTTCGTATCTCTGCTCCAAACTACCAGCTGCTCAGCGACACATTTCAGCATTGCCCCGGAGGGAGACAAGGCTGGAGAAGGTCAATACCTACCTCCTGAGGATGGAGAAGGTCGATACCTAACCCCTTGGGGATGACACCCTGTTTTGCAGAGGGACAGGCTGCAGCAAGCATGCACTTGAAGGAGGGTTGCTGCCATCTGCAGTTTGGTCACTGGAGGGTGCCATGTCCCCATGTTCAGCTCCAGCAGCACTCCGTGCTCCTTCCCCCTCTCCCACCCCACACATGGATCTTCTCTCCACATCAGTCACTCATTTATTTTGATCTATCCTCTGTCCTGGAAGTCAGAGAAGAATAAAACGAGCTCCTCCAGGCCTTGGCATGGCTGGCCAGGGATGGACATAAGGTGTTTATTTTCCTCCTCAAAACCCTTCTATGCGGGGAGAAAAGGCCAAGAAGTCATGATAATCTGTGTATAACAGCATGGAGTGAAGGCATGTGAGCCCCCATTGCCCTTCACTGTAGAGCCAGGCACCAGGGAAAGCTGGACAAGGAGAAATACTGTGATTTACTGTTGTGAAGCAGGGCTGTGCTACCCATAGACACTCATCTTAGCCTCAAAGTCAAGGTGCCTGTAAAGCCTGACCCTGTCTGGGACCACGGGAGCAGGATCCCACAGCCAGCACGATCCCTGTCCCCTCAAGAAGGGGTGTCCCTGAGTGCTCCTTGCCCCAAATATGCCACAAAATGAGCACTCGTGTGCTCACTTCCAAGCTGGGATATAGAACAAGGCCTGGGTAAACAGCTGAGATTGGGGTGTATCTCGAGATATACATACCTTTTTTGAGAACCATTCATTACTGGTTCATTACAAAGCAATAAAACCAGTGTTGTATCATCCCCATAAAGATTTTTCCCTTCTGGTGACCTTCCGAGCTGTTCTCCAGCTAACCTCCCACTTCCCCCGGTGGGAGATGCCTCTATTTCATAAACCAGGCTGCTGAGCCAGAGGAGTGCGTGCTATTTATTCCAAGTCTATGATGGAGCCCAGGTGTCCTGACATCCCGCCTTCTCTTTGAATCACAGAAACATCCATCTCCCAAGGCCAAAATATGCCATCAAACCTGAATTTCTAACTTCCACTCCCCCGCACCAGCAGTGATAATGTTTTTAGGCTAAGGGCAAAGGAAAAACGCCAGCTGCAAAAAGCAGATCTGTCTTCCAGCATCAAAATTTAACTGAGAATTTAGATGCATTATGAGATGCTGCATTTCAAAGTCCGGTCTTGCAGCTGCAATGACAACATCAACCATTACACTCCATCATCTGGGCCCCAGTGCCCCTGATAAGAGGTAACCCCAGGTCCATGGAAGCTGTGGGATGTGCTGCTCTGCACAGAGTACTCTTCTAGCTGCACTCCAGCGATTAACCCTTTCCTGGGCTACACAAGCCCAGTAAAGCTGGCACTAAGCCCATGCAAAAAAGCTGGCTAAAGGATGCCCCACTTTGTACATACCAAGAAGGGGCAATTTTGCAGTTTATCCATAAAGCTCCATGTGAAGGCTCTCCATTACAGGTGGCTACCTAATTACCATGTGCAGAAAACTCCATTAACCAGGGCCCAACAGGCTTGGCTCCCTCCAGCTTTTTTTGGCCATTTTGGTATCTCAGAAGGCATCAATGCATGCAGGAATCATTGCATAGCTCTTCTCCTCAGCTCTCCAACCATCAATGCATGGATCCCTGTTTCCCTGGACTCTACCTGCCGACATCCAAGTGAGCCTGTAGCCGGTCGCTCCCCGGACTGGACTCCACCTGGCCTGGAGGGTGTCAGTCGTCTCGTTCTGCAGCAAGATGCTTTTCACAGGCAGGAGCTTCACTGGAAAGAGGACAGAGAACAAAGCTTTCAGTGCAACTGCTTGCCAGACGATGACTTTGCTGGCTGCCATCCCTACATCTCTGTTCCTCCAGCCCATCTGTCAGTGAGAGAGGGATTTCTAAGGGCTCCTGCGCTGCCTGGCAGGCTGAAGGTTTCTTGTATGAGACAGCTGTCTGGTCTAGGAGCAGTGAGGAAAATACACACATCTGTGACCATTGCTCTCCAGGACCCATGTCTGGAGATACTGAGGTCTGAGGTGAGAACATGAGGAGTGAGGAAGGCAGCAGCATGTGGGGCAGGCAGGGAAGGACTGGGCAGCCAGCAGGGGAAGGTTTCTTATGGAAAACACATGGGTAGGCTCTCAAGTGGCAGAAAATCCTTGGCCATTGCAATCTGCCCATGTTCTCCATAAAGCCCAGGTTCTGAATGAGCTATCTGGTAGCCTCAAGTGGCTCTGCCAGTTGTGGGGGATTCTCAGTAGCAAAAGGTGTGAGCACATCTCTCACTGCAATGACACCACGGATGGGTCAAACCTCTTACATGTTCTTCCCATGGCAGACACGGGCTGGCTTGGTCCCTCAGGGTACATGGCGTAGATGCTGATGCTGTACTCCCTATCCTCCTGCAAGTTATCCAACACGTGGGAAGTGGTGTCACCCTGCAGAACTTGCTCGTAGGTCATTCCTGGTTTATTGGCTGAAAAACCAAAGAGGAGAGTGACAGTGAAGAACAGTACTGTTGCCTTCCCAGTGCCTGAGGTCTAGGCTCGTGACAATGTCACCACAACAAGGTGAAGAGCACGCACAGAAGCCAGTTTGAATGCATGGCTGAAGTGGTTGAAGGTCCCCAACCTATGTACTTTTGCTCATGCTGTAGCTTAGGTTTGACATGTCCACATGGTCCCCAGTCTTGCAGATCACCAAGACGAATGTAGGGGGCAAATATCAAAAGCTTGGACTTATCTCGTGTCCACACCTAAGCACCTGAATATGAACAAAATCCATAGCAGATCTGGACGTAGTAGTGCAAATGGGTACGAGACCTCCATGACATCACCCCCTTTTGGTCCTTCACAAGAAAGTCCTTCAGAGGATGCTCCTACTGGAGGAACCACACTGACTGGAAAAGGCAAAAAATGGTCTGCTTCAAGATAATGAGCACTGTACTTAATGATGCTGTCAGGCCCTAGATAAAATGTGACCTTTCCTGTTCACAAGACATTGCTCATTTTAAAGATAACTGAAATAAAACTTAAAATCTCAACTCACCTCTAGGAATGTAGATCTTGTAGCCTTCCAGCTTGCCCAGGGCGGGTGTCCAAGCCACCTTCAAGCTAAAAAGTCCTTCTTCTATCACTCGAAAATTAGTGACTGGAGGGATAGGTGCTTTGGGGTACAAAAATGATGGAGAAATTTATGGGACATTATTGTACAAACGTACCACATTAAAGACTCCTGGAAAACCTTTTGTTTTTACTGATAAAGGACACAATGGTGAGCCAAAACTGCCCTCCAAACATTAGTTCTCCCTGTTCTCTCAGCCATACCCTGAAGAGCAATCTTCCCTCCTCTGATACCCTGGCCTGCCTTGAAAAATGAGCTGAAACGTCCCTTTGGCAGGGTGCTTGCTGATGTCCTCTTTGGGTGGTGCTGGGGACCATGAAGTGTCTACCCACAAGGCACTGTCCTACAAGCAGAGAAAACTCTGCTGCATTTTCAGGCAGACTGAGCAAAGCCACACAAGGACAAATGGATCAAACACTCCTTGTGCCTATGGATGCATCTCTCACAAAGAGGAGCCCATTTCGATCCAGCCAGCCATGGCAGCCAGATTTATGGCTTCTGCCTCTGGCTTCATATTGGGGATATTAAGAGAAGAGATCAAATGATTTTATTTCCACCCATAAACACATTCCATCTCATTCTTGGCAAGTACATACGAGTCAACCTCATTGAGGCTCTTTATTTATTCATCCTGTCTGAGATCTTCCCTCAAGAAGACAAACAATTTAGACATCACAAGGAAAAAAAAAAGAAACAAAAAAAAAGAAGAAAGGAGTAATTCTCTTTCAAGCCCCTCAGGCAAAGCAAACTTGGTGCTTCATGCAAAACAGAGCAGCAGAATTAGTGCACCTCTTAAACAACAGCAGTACCAAAACTTCTCCATCAAAACCTGCTCTATCCGCTATACCTGACCCAGTGTCAACAGGTCTTCAGTCTAGAGGAAAGCTGGCCCTTTGTTTCCAACAACCTTGTCCTTAGTGATGTGATAGCAAAGAAATTTGGCATAGCACACTGCAACTTGGAGGAGACCCAGCTCATTCCATAGGATCAGAGTTCACCATTTGGGGCATTTCCTAATAGCCTTGGCCATAAAATTTGATCTTCTCCTGGACTGAAATGAAGCCCGACTGCGAACCCAAAGCTTTCAGACCATCCATTTCCAAACAATATCTGTTTCTAAAATTACTGTCTTCAAGAGCTTCTTTTATTCTAGGTATATAAGAGTTGCTGAACCCTAGTCTGGATTCATAAATTCTGAGCAGAAGGGATGGACTAGATGATCTCTAGCAGTCTCCTCCAACCTCAATCATTCTGTGATTCTGTGGTTAAATCAGATGGTAGGAGCTACCCAGCAAACATCACCCTGTACTTCCAAGGAGCACACATGCCACACACACACACTCCCCAGACCCCAGCATCTCTACACAGCCTCACTCTGCATACGCTCACACATGATTCACCATGGACATCTGGACAGGAGATGTCCCATCCTTCCCCATCACCCCTGGCTCCCCACATGTATAGTTTCTGGGAGTCTTTCTGGGCCCGTATGGACAAGGAACATGCAGGGATGATTGCAGGACAGGCACTCACTTGTTTTACCCTTGACAGTGGCCAACTTTCCAAGGGAGTCTGCATAGACAGCCTGCACCGTGAAGACATACTTGGTGTTGGGTTTGAGATTGGTGACGAGCACAGTGTCTTTGTCACTATCCACCACAATCTGTCACACACATGAACAAAGGACATAATGTCACCTCCATGATGGTAGAAGACTATCATGTTTGCAGCAGGTTAGGAGCATCACGCTGCTTCTCTGACACAAGTTAACTCCCGTGAGTAGCAGCGACCTCTTAAAAGGCACCAATTTAGAATATTGCAATTGCAGTCCTCGAATGATACCCATGTTCACACTGGATGTGGCAGTGACTCTTCAGAGCTCCTCAGTGCTTGTGCCCTGATCCAGGTGCAGACAAGTTGGAGGGAGGTTGTGCTGCACAGGACAGAGTCAAGAGCAGGTTTCATTGGAGAGTCTAGAAAAGACCCCATGAAACCAAAAGCATACACAAGGGGTAAATCAGTTTGAAGGAAAATGAAGGAAAAACAGCCACCTTACACAAAGAAAGTTTGTTTTAAGCTGATGGAAAGAGATTCCAACTGAATGCAAGAAAAAGAGAGGTGGAGATGCAACTTCAGTGTTTTTACAATATTCCTATGAGATTCTGAAACAGACAAGGAAATTCATTCCTGTTAAATACAATCTTAATAATTAATAAAATGAATAATCTTAATCTTAATATTTTATGCTTTAATAGCTTTGCGCTATTATTAGAAATCAAAGCTTTAGGCTGAAATCTATTCTTCAGTCTTGCTCTTAAACTTTAGGCAGTAGCTGATCCTAAGCAAACTGACAAACGCTGTGATATCCCTCACCCAACAAGCTTAACAAGTCTCAAACCAAACTACACAGAAATCTCACCAGGAGCCCATGTCCTGGACATGTCATTCAAGCATGACCACGGAGGAACAAGGGATGCTACCAGGTAAGCTGGAGCATGCTCCTTATCAGTCCCAAAATACACTATGAGAGCGGAACTATATTCTCCTTGAGATGGTGGCACTGGAAGCTCATCCCTTTCAACCTTGGGCATCTGCACAGCAGCAACACAACTCTACCTGTCGCTGGTCCTCCAAAACCAGCTGCCCCGTAGGGAGCAAAGGCTGCAGGTGGACGTGGTACCCCGTCACTTTGCCTGTAGCTGCCATCCACGTTAGCCTCAGCGAGCTGTGGCTGCGTCCGCTGACAAACAAGTCCTGGGGACCGAGGATCTGAGCTGCAAGAGGAGAAAGGAAAGGTCTTTGATTTGTGACGCCAGTCATCAAGACAGTGCTGGATGTGTGCAAACCCTTTTTTATTGAGATCACCATAATTGTTGCACATATTGAGATCACCATAGTCGTTGCCAACTGCTGGACGGCACAAGAAGGGAAACCAAAACTAGTTCTGGCAACATTTCTTTCTGAAAACCTGCTTAATGTGTAGGGCATCAACTCCTCTCTACATTCCTCTTCATTGCCACCAGAGCTTAAAGTCTGTATGAGAAAAAAGAAAAAGGGAAGCTCTGAAGTGCTCAATGTTGAAGAAGAGAGAAAGAAAAACAGACCCTCTGAGGACTTAGGACTCATGCCAATGGATGACATTCTTCCAAGCCCTGCCCCCAGCTGTCAACTCATCTTCTCACAAGTTTGTGTGCCAAGAAGTAGGGCAGCAAATCATTGCCACCCCTGCAGGTTTACTGCAACATCTTTATCTCTCTGGGGAGAGATCTAGGTTTCTGTGGAGGTCTTTTTGGCTGCTACATGCAAGCATTAGAGTCTTCATTCCCTGAAGAAGGGAAGAACTCTCTTCCAGAGTTCACTATGACAGCCCCATCACAAGGGTCACCAGGAGGCAGAACAGTGTCCTAGTGAGCAACTCCTGCCCTTGGCTGAATGGGCAGTAAAAGATTCAGGATCCTGCATCACCAGATGAACCATGGAGACAGACACAAACAACATAGGCAGGACTACTCCTGTGAGCAATAGGTATTTCATGCACTCATTGATCCTCTAGGACCATCCACCCCAAAAAGGTCCCTTGTACTGAACAGAGGCGACACACAAGGTCCATCTCCATGGTATGGCTGGCACTTCCAGGGACAGAGAAGATGGTTCTAGCAGGTGAAAAGCAGGATAAAGAGAGATGCACCTTGCACAGTCGCCTTGATGGGCTGTGGTGGCTCTGAGGCAGTGAAACAGAGTCTTCGAGAGAGTTTGGGGGCCACGTTGTGGAGCAGGTGGAAATCATCAGCATAAAGCACATGCTCTTCAGTAGGCTCAGAAGCTATTTTGTTCAGTTCATTCTTATCAGCATCCTTAATTCCTAGATAAAGAGATGAGGAAAAGAGGAGCATCAGGGCCCATCACTGTCCTAAGCCACACATTGTCTAGAGCAAGCAGAAGCTTTACAGGTGTGCTGCTCAAGGTAAAGGATAAAATCAAAGAATGGAGACACAAGCTAAACAAGCAATGATAGAGCTGATGAAACATCTTGTTTCAGAGAAAAAAAGGTCAAGGTCTTCTCCAGAAACATGTCAGGGATGGTCCCAGGGGATTCGGTTGTGAATGGGCTGCTTGGGGTTGAGAGAGAAAGAGAGCAGGACGGGATCCAGTCTTCCTGTTTTCTGTTAGATACAGAAACATTTCTGCCTTCTGGAAGGAGCAGGGAATGAGTCCTTAGGAGCTGCTGAGAGTCATGTGAAGATTGTTACTTTTTTTTTTCTTTTTTTTTTTTAAATTTGGAATTTCACAAAAAAAAAAAAAAGAAATCACCGCTCAGTTTCATCTTACATTGGTCCAAAAGGACTTGTTTGCTCTCCATAATGACATCTCCCTGCCTTCCCCATCCCTTCCTTCCTGAACTTCTTTTGTCAGTGCTAGGTTTGACTTGTAATAAATGACTGTATCTACCTTTTGGAAGCACTTTTTTTTCCCTGCCCATGGAAATATTCTGAAGGACATTTTTAGCATTGCTAAAGTTGGATTTCAAACCCCATTAACAGAAACCTTCCAAAGTATGAACATTTCATTTTTGAAAATGTCACATCAAAACATTTTGACTTTTATGGAACTATTTATCGAACTCCTCCTGAATTCGTAAGTGGTTTTGACAGATGCAAAACTGCAGATTGCCACTGAATAAATCAGCTATTGACAACAACAACAAAAAATCCCAGCATAGCACAGATGCAATTTCCCTCTATGTACAATAGTTGCTAGAGCCTCAGCTTGGGCTTGTGCACAGCACTTAGAGATGGACATTTTCTGCATCGAGACTCTTTCCCAGTGCATAACTTCTATGCTGGTGCACGCCAAGTATTTGGTAGCAGCGCTGCAGCTACCTTAGTATGTCAATACATACCTACAGCAAACACTGTCACTCCACTGTTCCACAGAATGAGGGCTTCATCTTCAAAGGAATCGCCCGATTTACCATCTGTGATCAAAATAAGTATCTGCAAAGAGTTGGAGTTAGATCCAGACAATGAAAGAGCAAAACATGAGGAGTCTGCAAAGACAACTGAAGTATTTTCACATCTATGGCTCATTCCTATAAAAGGATAAGCGCTCGAAAACAAATCCTTTGATAACCTGTATCTCTCAAAATTAAGTTGTACCCCACTCAAAATTAAAAGGGATCCCACTACCACACCTGGAAGCAGGTAGTTACCATATCCCACCTGTAGCATCACGTTCTCCCTCCTGTTTTGTTATCCAAACCAGATCACACGGACTGCATGGATGATGTAGATCACATCTGGCATGCAGGATCTCAGAGGAGGGGAGAAGGTGCAGCACCAAGCTGCAAACATGGAGAGTCTGTGCCTGGCCATGCGAGAATGGGAGGTGAAACGTGGCTAGAGTAATTTCAGGCTCAATGAATCAGGCATATCTACTCCTTCCTTATTGATTTCAGGGTTGCTTGCCAGCGGAGCAGAGCAAACTGCCTCTTACAGGTCTGCCAAGCAAACTAGAAAGCAGGGCCTTTTTTTTAGTATTTTCAGAATTAAGAATCCCTTAAAAATGATGAAAAAAATTATTTGAGGAAGCAGGTGACTCAGAGATATGTCTGCAGGTAGATACTAAAACATGTCTGCTACTTAAATAAGATGTCAATTGTATTGCCACACTGTGTAAGGGGAGTGGATGTCTGCATTCCCACAGAGGAGGCACAGGCGCCAGGACTTGTCTCTCTCTCGTGTCTAAATCATGTCCTGAGGCCATCACTGTGCCTGACAGTGTGGACCTGCTCTTTCTGCTTACACAGCGCGTGCCCTGAATTCACGTGTTCAGCTGGAGGCGCTAAGGCGGGAGCACTGGGTCTCTCTGCAATAAGTGGAGAGCAAGAAGCATTTCCAGAAGTTTAGCCAGTTAACCTGAAATGAGCTCCTACCTCAATTCCAAATCTAAAAAAAAATGATAAAAAAAACCCAACTGGCTCCTTCCACCTTCAGGTGAAGCAGATGGAAGTCTAATAGCTTCAGAGGATCACACTAGTGAAGACATCACAGAAGGTGACTTACCCTCGCTGCATCCTCCCTCATCATGGTAGGGTGAAACACGGCACGAGCCACAAATGCCAGAGCAGACCCTGTTTTTAAAGTGCCCCCTTTGAATGAGAGATCCTGAATGGCCACCAGCATTTCTTCAATGGTTACGTAATCTGTCAGCTCAATACTCATCCTGGGAATGAGAAATGGAGGGAAACAGGTGAATAAAGAGCAAGGGGACTCCATTGCTACAGAAAGAATACATCCTTAGTGGTAATGACCAGCAATCACTTTGATACCTCAATGGTCATAGCAGGCTCAAAGGCAGACAAGAAGCCCTTTTCACAGTGGTTAAGGGAGTTCAGGATATGAGCCACAGAGGCTTCTTCCCTTAAAACAATATCTAAAATTGGACTATGAGGAACTTCTTGGCTATGTTAAATACCAGACTCCTTGGCCTGAAATGACTAAGACCTTAGAAACCCACATGCTGGTGGAGAAAGATGGACTGACCTACCTTGGTTTCTCCTCGTAGAGTACAACCCCCAGTCGAACGCCTCCTTTGCCCATCACCACGTTCTCAAAAGAGTGGGTCACGTTGGAGATGAAGTCCTTGACCAACTGAGAATTCTCTGCCCCAGAGCTCTGGGTCTGCCCCACAAGGAACAGAATGTCTGCCACCTCCACCGTCCTGCACACTGAAGAAGAAGATGGGCAGGAAGGCTAAGTCCACACCATGCAACCAACGAGTTGTGAGATAAACCCATATGAACCCCAGAGATAGTTTAGCTAAGGAAGAGACACTTTGCCTAGGCCCAATGAAGTGGGTAATTATGGACCTTCCAGAAGAAGAGACAGACACCCAGGGGTGTTCATTTGGCCAGAGGCAGACATTGACACCTGAGCTGGCCATCCCAATTTCTCCTTGGGGACAACAGAATGAAACACACCCCTCCAGAGTGATTCACCTCCAACCATTTATTATTGAGACCTCCCAGGCATAAGCAGAGACCAGACAACTCATTCAAATGTCGACATTAGAGATGTCTGTTACTAAGTGAATCCTTTCCTATTCATGGGTCTGAGTCACTCATCCAATATCAGATTAAAAATTACTATTGCAGAACTGAAATTGAGGAGTTGGATAAGCAACTGGTTATTTTGGTACTGGTTATATTTGTAAGCAACCACCCTCACATGGTGACTATCGTCTGCCTTTCACTGGGCCCCGTCACCAGTCACCAAAACCAGTAAAGTGATAAATACACCAAGGAGAAAGGAGATTTGAGCTCCGAGAGTCAACAAGAAAGTGGAGCCTGTCAATGTAAAGCACTGCCCATTTACCTGAGATAAACTTCATTTATCAAGTTGTTGGAGGCCCCTAATGAGAAGCCAGAAAAAGGCATTAGCAGAGAGAAATCCCCATTGTGCAAGTGATTTATAGGGTTGTTTTGAAGTGCAGTCCCAACCCCAGGAACAACTAGACTCTATCCTAGTAAAGGCTGACAGGAACTGCAATCTTCCACATAGTAATGAAGGTGATTAACCCCACTTCCTCCTCATTTGCAAGTTGTTTTCTGGGCATAGGCACCATATGGCACCCTGGGCTTCTCGTCATTGGAGCTCCAGAGCTCCAGCAACTGCTAGGAGAGATTTGCAACTGGACAGAGAGGTGTAAGATGTTCACCCCAGTCCTCTGCACCAAGTGCCTTGTGTTCAGTTACTTTTGCGATGTCATTGGGCCATTTCAGTCTTCCATGGGGAGAGCTCAAGACACTTTGGTCCCTCAGCTCTGCGATGTTCACCTCTTCCCAGAGGACCAAAGAGATTTCCCATGCAAGAATGACTGGTTTGAGTGTTTTTCCCGTACAAGCCAGAGCCAATCTGATGACAGCTGGTGGGGAAGGGACAAGTGCACAAGGAAACTGGCTTAATGATCATCAAGGCACATTTCCCTTTACAAAGTGTTCAGTCTCTTTTAATTGAATTTCACTTTCTTTAAGAATTCAATAATTGTGTTTCATGGGCAAAAATCCAATGTCTTTTAGGGACACTCAAATAGAAGGCTGTAAATAGGAAGCTCAAAACTTTGCTTTTTTTTTGCTATTTCTCTTTGTTGCAGATAAGATGCTGAATTATTATTGCAGAATTTATGCACAGTAGACCATACCAACTACACAAGCAGGGCTTTGGGCAGACCAGCTCCAAAAATCTGGGCTTGATCCCACATTTTGTTCTTGCTGGGCCAATTGCAAAGGCCAGGAGGTGCATTGGGTTGTTATCTCAGAAGATGATCATGGGTCCTGGGCTGGCATTCCAGCTTGCTTGGATGGGGCTCTTAAAACCACCTTGGAGGAAGAGTCCTTCCATAATGGACTGCACACCATTCCCGAGGAGAATCCAGGTCCACAGCCAAATAGGGACTGTTATCACCACTCACTAACTTCCTTCTGGAGCAGAACAAAGAGCTTTGTTAGAGCAAGGAAAACAGGTTTACACCTTGGACGGCTCTACATTTTTTTTTTTTTTTTTAATTCTGCGTCACTATCACCTTGGACTTCACCTGGCTCCTGTCTTGACTTTCAGCTGCAGGTTCAGGGACCCAAATCTGCGAGGGCTGGAGCAATTGCTCCTATTTGCCTTTCTGAGGCTCAAGAGATGTGGTGGGGTGGGGGCTTCCCCCCAGTTTTCAGCTGCTTTTGGGGGCACAGGTAGATTTCATTTTGCTTCATCCAACTGTACATACAGGTATGGTACATTCAGTAATTCCATTACATATTCATAATACAAAATATATTGTGGCTGTTCTTCTAGAGATCAATCCCAAGGAGGACCTGGAGGTGCAAAGTTCCTTCTACTTGCTTCCTTCTATCCATCTGCTGCAATGGACAACCCATTTTAGCTCAGTCTGTCCAATTTACCTGACTATTACCCTGTTCCTACAAGCAGGTAGAGCTGATTCCCAAGACTTTGGGGAAGATGCAGTCTGAATTTCATCAGATCATGCTTTGTTGCTGTCTCTTCCATCTCAATCTACTTTGGCCACCTAATGGGACAGAGAATTGTTTACCAGCTGCAGATTGATGGTTCATGGGTCTTTGTTATCCGAGGTTTTTGGTCTCTTCATGTTTCTCCATGCCTCTGACCTTGATTTTTTCATGGTTTAACAGTTCTTTTTGCTGCAGAAAAGTAATGACTGGCTCTTTTTAGTTTAAGAAGTTCCCAGCTGGGAATACAAAGCACTTTTCCTTGACAAAAAAATGGGGGCCGATTATTTCAATTATCCTTCCTAGAGCTATCAGTTGATATTTCCCTTCCTTTCTCAATTCTCTGTAACTGCTTCTCAGCTGACATGTCAAGGGCGTCTTGGAGGCAGCTCAGCTTCTAACAACTACTCACCATAAGCTCTGGTCCCTGCTTCTGCCTCTGACTATTTTGAAACTCCCATTTTCCCCTGTCTTGGATCTTGATTTCCTTCAGAAGGACTTCAGGAAAGGCCAGGCCAGTCGTTGGCTCTGACTGAAATTTCCCCAAAACTGAAGGAAATTGTATGGCAGCCTCACAGGTATCTTCAACCTGTGTTACCATGAGAAAATCCTAATAAAGGTTCAACAAGATAGGGAACTATCTACTCATCTACCCATAGAGAGATCTACATCTCTCCCCAAATCACCCATCTCACAAGGCAGTGATGAGATCTCTTTCTGGGAGACCTGTGGTTTTGTCCCTGATCTGGAAGTCATCTCAATATGTCATTGATATTCATAGGATTTGGGTCTTTGCTGCTTTTGGGGAGCATCTCCACACCCCAAATCCCCTGAGAGCTTCTTCCATCCATGCCTGGTCTCTGGAAGTCTTGCCCACTCAGCACAAATTCCTCATTTGCATCCTAGATAATGAAGGGAAAGCCAATGGTGAGCTTGAAGGGGTCCATGAGATTAATAGTGGCAGGATGGTGCCCCCTCTTCTAGAAAAGGAGACCCAGACCCAACTCATTGAGATGTTGAGTCAGTGCTCAGCACCTCTCCAGAGGGGACGCAGCTTGGCAACGAAACCTGAGCACGTTCTGCTGCTTGGATCAGGTACTGAAGCTGTCATCAGAAACATGTGATATTACGCATATTTGGACTGGTACCTTCTGGAGAAAATACCAACACAGACAGCTATATTAATCACAGGGGGATATGATTTTATTGGAAATTTTCCATGCACCTCCAAAATTACCACGTTTCATCAATCACAGGTTTGCCAGAGACATCTGTAAACGTTGATTTATTGCACTGTTCCCAGCTCCGAATTAAATAGCATTATAGTCAAATATATTGGCTTAATTGATGGACAGGAATTTAATCAAGTTAATTTTGTAGCTGGTCCAAAGCTTCTATTAACTCCTTGTTGTATTCAGTGAATTTACTCTAGGCAGTGTCAAGGCCTGGGGGTGGGTTCCTGCAGACCAAATCGAAGAGGAAGGACCCTTGGCTCACACCCAGCCTCATGATAATCCTGTAAGCTCTGATGTATCTCCCTTGGCTGGACACAAGAAGTAGATTTGGAGGTACTGGACCCTTTCCACAGCACCGACCCAATTTGCTTCCTTCTCATACTCCAAGAACTGCACCTCTAGAAAGTCATAGACCAGATCGTGTCCTAACTTCACTGGACTGCTTCTCTAGGGTCCTTTTGGCTCCTGCCTTTGCCAAGCTCACAAACATGAGCCGTGGCAGAGACATCTTAGAGATCAGATGAAGATCAATAGATGGCAGCTTTTCCTTGTCTCCTCACATCTTCCTCTGAAGCAGCCGAGGTGGAGTAGAGTCCTGATGCCCTTAAATGCTGGTGTATCAGGTCAGATCTGTCTCCCTTTTGGGGTCAGTTGTAGATGCCCTGTTATCCAGCTGCTCCCAGCCAAAAGGGACCTTAGCACAAAGGTCAGAGGTATAAACACTTCAGCCTCACCCTGATTGTATCTATGTGACATTAGCAAAAAACACTGCTCAGAAGGGGCATTTCCTTCCTTGCTGTCTCTCAGCATCATCCCCAGCTGCTGCTTTTGCAGGACACAACCAGGCTCATACCTTCATGAACAGCTGCAGGTCTGTACTGTGCCATGGCCACTGCCAAGGCAAGGAGGTGGGCATGCAGCATTTTCCTCTTCTTTGAGAAGAAACTCCTCCTCGGGTCCTGGAGTCAGCACGCAGCCTGGAGAGCTGTTCATCTGCCAGAGAAAAGGCACTTTAATGCATGTCCTCCTCACGGGATCTTCCTACCCATCCATGGTGGCAAGGTGGCCACGCTCTTTTCCAACTACCAAAGCTCATCTTGGCTTAGCGCTAGAGTCTGTGAACCCTTTAAATCCTCTGCTTCTTTGAAGAGGTTGGCAGGGGGAATAGCACAACTTTGTGTCCCTGGTATCTTATCCCAATAATCCTGCTCTTCAGGCAGCAATGGCCAGGGTACGTAAAGCCCAAAGGTGAATGTTACCTTTGGAAAGGAAAAGGAGAGTGGCTACAACCTCAATTATTCAAGAAAGAGACATCTCTGGGCCTCCTGTCTTTGAGTCTCACTAGAAGGTCATTGCAGACAGCAGCCACCCACACTCTGCACTCAGTCCTGCCTTAACCTGCTTTACAGCAAACCTTTGGGTTCCTAAATCTATGATGAATGGCCAGGCACTGGCCGTCCTTGGAAATCCAAGCTAGCAGCATGCAGAGGGACCCGAAAGCTCTGGTTTCTACCCATGGACAATTTAGGAAACTAACCACCTCTGGCAGTTTGTCAGGGCTACCTCTGCAAAGGAGTCTCCCTCTGCAAAGTAATAACTTCCTTCTACAAAGCAATAACTGCAGCAGAATTGGCCTAGCCAGAAGGGGATTTATTCCCTTTCAATGGGCAATAAAAGTTCTTCTGCTCTAAGTTTCACTTGCTTGTTTCAGGCTAAGCAGATTTCTGAGAGACATGGATTACTTCCAGGATGGAAATTACAAAGGTTGGAGAAGACGAGGTCATTATCTAGCTGAGCCTTTTGCCAGTGCTGGGTTTCTCCTTCCTTAATAACACACAACTTCAAAATCACATTAGATTATAGACTGGGTTTCTTTGGGAAAATAAGGTTGAGCTTCCAGGCACTAATTTACCAAAACGAATCCCCATATGAGTCAAAAAGGGAGCTCAATCCACCTGGAGTGACCCAGCATGTGCCTATGTAGCACTGTGCACAGCCAGGGCCACTGTGGCTGATGTCACAGAATCCCAGAGTGGTTGAGGCTGGAAGGGACCTCTAGAAATCATCCAGTCCAACCCCCTGCTCCAGCAGGGACACCCAGAGCACGGGGCACCCGGGCGCATCCCGGCGCGCTGGCAGATCCGCAGAGCAGGAGCCTCCGCAGCCTCCCTGGGCAGCCTGGGCCAGGGCTCGGGCACCCTCCCACCAAACAAGCTCTTCCTCACGGCCACGTGGAGCTGCCTGCGCTGCAGCTTGGCCCCAGGGCCCCTTGGCCTGCCACTGGCCACCACCCACAAGAGCTTGGCCCTTCCTCCCTCCATCCTCCCCTCGGCTGCTTGCACACACTGACCAGGTCCCCTCTCGGCCTCCTCTTCTCCAGCTCAACAGGCCCCGCTCGCTCGGCCTCTCCTCACACCACAGCTGCTCCAGGCCCTTCCTCAGCCCTGTCGCTCTGCGCTGGCCCCTCTCCAGAAGCTCCACGTCCCTCTTGTCCTGGGGAGCCCAGAGCTGCCCCCAGTGCTCCAGGTTTGGCCTCCCCAGAGCTGAGCAGAGGGGCAGGATCCCCTCCCTGCCCTGCTGCCAACGGCCTCCTGATGCAGCCAGGAGCCCATTGGCCTCCTTGGCCACGAGGGCTCTGCTGCCTCATGGTTAACTTGGTGTCAACCAGGACTCCCATGTCCCTCTCCTTTGAGCTGTTCTCCAGCACGTCAACCCCTAATCTGTGCTGGTGCCTGGGTTGTTCCTCCCCAGCTCCAGGATCCTGTCCTTGTCGTTGTCACCCTGCACATCACAGAGCTACACCCAACTCTGGGCTTTTCCGGGCCATTTTCCTATCAGGCAGCTCTGCTGCTTAATGTCTTTTCTATTTCTTGATTCCTCTCTTGCCTCCCCTAATTGCTTGGTGTACCTGGATGTAATTGTGATCTCTGCTGCGCAGCAGTTAACCTGTGCCGTGTCCTTCCTTTTTGCATCCTGTCAAAGACCTCCGCATGATGCTGCCCTTATTTGTTGTGAAGATGGCTTCAAAGTCAACGACAAAAACAACCATACCAAACCAAAAAAACAAAACAAAACCCTAAGACAACAAAAAATAAACACAGCCAAATGCAGGGTTTTTAAACATTCAGAAAGAACTTAACCAAAGCGGCAAATAAACTTATAGGAAACCAAGCCAGAGAAGTGTAGAGATGAGATGAAGCAAAAAAACAGGTTTTAACCTCATCTTTCTACAGATGTTGTGTTAAAACTTTTGGCAGGGTCACCCCTCATGTCTCAGCATCTTCTTTGCAGTGCAGAGCTTCCAGCATCCCCTTTTCCTTTCCATTTACTATACAGCTCTGTAGAGCACGGTCTGTTCTGGGGCAGGAGCATTAGCAGCAAGGAGCAGGAGGTGCTAAATTCTTCATCTATATTTTTGGTTAGCCTTATTAAAAAGGTACAGCTTTCCAGACTGCTCCTGCAGAAATCCTTACTTCAATTTCAGTATTCTCCAAAATAAACCTTTTTCCTTCCTTTTCCTCCTCTATGTCACAGTTCTGCACTTCCAAGGTGATGATTTATCCCCCATCACCTTGGGTGCCATCATCAATCCAGCCTGTCTAATTAAGGAAAGCACCCACATCTGGAGGGTAGGCAGTAAATTAACGAGTTCCAATTGCCTTTTTTTTTTTTTTTTTTTTTCCCTAATTGCAAAGCAATGAGCACCTTCATTGGCTGCCCACGTTTTAGAAGCCCTTTGCAAACACAGCCTCTTTCTTGGCTCACTGCTCCTCTCCATGCACCATACAGACCCTGGGCTGCTGTGTCACCTCCCCAGCCTGAACAGGGCAGGAATCACAACCTCCAACACCCTGCACACACCTCTCCTCTCCAGATAGACCCTGACCTCCTCTTCCCCATTCCTGACTTAAATCAAGAGTGTTTTCCCTGCTACTTAAAACCTTGGGACACGCTGAGCCCAGAATATGTGAAAAAAAAATTGAAAAGTTGAAGTAGTAACAAAAATCTCCTCCTTTCTTTGAAATTTCAAGGAAATTTTGATTTATCCTCAAAGGAGACAAAGGAGGTCTAAGATGCCTCCTTGAGATAACAAAATAGGTGTCAACATCATCCTACAGAGTATCCACTTTCCTGTGTGACCAGGCAGGATGCTAATCCATGGAGCAGGGTTATGCAGATGTCCTGATAGAAATCCTCACAGCAAATGAGATAGAGACAGTAAGTGAGAAAGGACAGAAAGAAAATGAAATCTGAATCTTGGCCCTTTGCCCAGGTTCACACAGGTGCATAAAATAAAGAAAAGAGAAGCAACAAAGAATAAGTCTGAGTTTCTGCTGTGGCTTCAGGCAGCTGAGCCAAGCACATTTTCCACAGATAAACATTTGACACTGTGATTCTTCATTTCTTTTTCAGACCTGATACTGTTTTATGCTCCAAAACTGAATAAATACATTAAAATAAGTCACACAAACATGCTTCTACCCAGCAATAGGAAAGCAGTTAAATCAGGAGTAAATCCTAGATGACTGTGTGGAGGCAAAGAAAAGCCTGGCGAACCCGTGGCCCTTTGGTCAGAAAATATTAATGTCTGTAAATACGATGATTCCATGGGTGCAAAAGGCTCCAGCTAGACCATGAGCTCCTTGAAGCTACATTGCAAAGGTGAGGAGAAGGATTCAACAAAGAGGAGAATCACAATCCAGATTCATATATGTGTGTGTGCAAACACACTGGGCTATTACGTGTCAAATTTTTGAACACATTGAATTTTTTGAATTAAAAAAAAATATAAATCAAATTTCAGTTAAGGCAGTCTCTGCCTTTTAGCAGTGAGATGCAAATGTTCACCTATGGTGCAAACCCACTCAGCTGCTGCTGATGCATCGCAGATGTAGGCTTTGGCATATGACAGCAGTGTATCCAGTTTGCAGCTGATCTCAAATCAAGAACATCATCCTAAGAGTTCAAAAAGAAAATAAATCATTTTTCTCTCTTGTTTCTTCCTCTCTTGGTTCCTACCAAGATCCATTTGGATCAATTAGGTATAGAATACCCAACCCCGGTTGGGGAAGGGCACTGTGGGCCATTTATGAGAGTGTGAAGAACTGCTGTGCTATATCCAAGGGCTGGGGAATACCAGCCCTGATCCCAACAAACTGCTCTCAGTTCCCATCCTGCCAGCTTGGGCACCTCGGCGAGCATGGATCACACAACACATCCGAGATGGACACTTCGCACTGGGGCTGTGGGGTGTCATAAGTAACATGGGTCCCACTGCAGACCCATGTTATATGTCGGACAATGAGGTTGGAGGGACGTTGCCATTCTCTCTACCACTGTAATCCAACCCAGGGCAGTTTTGCTCTCTTCCAGTCCTTGGATGCCATCACAATGCTGCCTATATACGTCCAATATCAGCCAACTTTAATCCAGCGGGTCTCAAAGCTGATCCCTGCACTCCCTGGCTGCCATCAGCCCCTATCAAAGCGTTCCGAAACCGTTACAGAGAGCTTAAGAGACACCTGGTAGGGGCAGGGAAATGAACTCCATAAACGTCAGGGCTTTGCCTGGAATCCTAGCAATTTCCTTGATCTTTTACTGCCCCAGTAAATAATTTATTGGGGCGACTTCTTCAGGTTTTACAGTACCTTGAACAAATCGCCTCCCAACACCATAAAGTTGATGGACCAGGTTCTCCCTTTCCCTTGCCAGGATCAGATAACAGAGCTGTAGGAAGCCTAGGAAGATGTAATGGGGTAAGAGCAATAAAGTAGGACTTACGTGCTGACAATAGTGCTAGAGGCTGGGCTGCTCCCCTCCTATTAGTTTCCTTGTGCATGTATTTATAACAAACTTTTATTTCGTTTTCCAGTGTCTTTTAGGATAA